TCCTTAGGGCCTAGGGCCTTACCCGGCATGTGTCTGTCATAACCCATAAGGTTGCATATAGACGTTAAATATGAATAATAATAATAATAGCATACTATATAAAGATCTATATACAGAGACTAAGACCTATCTTATAAGAAGATAAGAAGTTAGGATCTTAAACTACTAGCTATCTCTATATATCTTAAACAGTTTTAAAAAGTGATTACCAGAGCATCTATACAGAAATTCTAAGCTAAAGATATCTTTATTAGCTCTATTAAACATACTTTCTATTCTCTACTAGCAGCTTAGATAATTAAGAGGTATAACTCTTTATAATTATAACAAATCTATAACTCTTATTCTCTAGATTTTAATCTACTAAACTATACTATTATATTAGACTTCACTCCTTAGATTTTATAGCTTAAATATAATAATAATATATACTAGTAGAACTTCTAGTTATATTTTTAATAAAAATACTTCAGAATATAGAACTAAGATAGATAGAATAAAATATAATATATTACACAATTTTATAAATCCTATTTATTTAATATTATATCAAGATTCTTTATAATAAGAATAATTCTAATAAAAGACTATAATAGAGTAACTATTTAAGATAATTTACTATTTTTTAATATAAATTAGATAATAAAAGTATAAAGAATACTTAGATAAAATACTAAGTATATAGCTAGTACTAAGTAAATAGTAAGTAGCTAATTATACTTAATAAAGCGAAAATACAGACCCTAATTTGGTTATATAATAACGCTGAGCTGCTCAGAGAATATGAGCCTAGACTGAAATCTACTCAGTGAGCAGGACTATAAGCGCCCTCACAAAAGCAGCAGCAGCTGAAAAAGGAAATCCCCACCTGGCAGGAAAAATCAAGTTCGTATAGTGACATAGGTAATAAATCAATTATGCCAAGTAACATATGTTGACTTGAATAGATACAAGTACGTACTTCATCGCTTAAAGATACCGAGTTAGAATGTCGCACAGACCAAAATGTGTCCGTGTATCGTTTGATTGGACATTCATCTAGACACCAATGTTGGAAGTGTCCACTTATACTTGTCAATAGCCGACGTCAGGCAGAGAATTCCATCTCCCCGGTGTCAATGATTAGAGTTATGGCGTTTTAACGCTTATTCTTATTCCCTTCTGACTTTCATAAGATCGCCCCAATATCGGAACATATAGAGCAGTCAATTGCCAAGCTCTCATTCCTTACATGAACGGATGATTTCGACTTGGCCAGTCCTCGACATGAGGAGATTTTGGGAGTCCCCAGGGCKGGTATTGATTTGTGGAGTTCGGGGTTCGTATTTATGGGGAATTCGAGTTGCGTGACCTTTTATCTCCATATTTCCTTTATCTTTAGGGCTAGCGGAGTGTGGAAACAGCCCGTACGTAGTAAGCAAGAATTATGACGAGACTTTGTTCGTCGGCTATTGAAGTTACCCCCACGTGAGACGAGAGACAACGATTGCTAATCCCCCACGGTATTTGCCTCTCCTCAATATCTTCCTTGTTTGATGACTGAAAGTGTGGAGAAATTGACGGGCAGGTTCAAATATTCCACCTCTTTCTCCTTCATCTCCATTCCAACATCCCTGAAGAACATTTTTGAATCATTTATTCCCGTAACAACCCTTTAACCGGTTTTGATCTACCGGTGTACAAGATGACGGATCACAAGAATCAAGAACCAGGCACTTCCCACGTGGAAAGTTACAATGCCCAAGATGTGGTTGACAATGATCTCATGAAACCTACCATCACACATCCGCCACGAATAATTATCACAGAAGCCGAGTCCAAGCTTATCTGCCGCAAGACCGATAGGACTATCCTCGTTGTTCTTATCTGGGTGTATTTCCTTCAAATCCTCGATAAGACCGTCTTGGGCTATGGCGCAACATTCGGTCTCAAGACAGATACCCACCTCACAGGAAACCAATACTCGCTCGTTGGTTCAGTGTCATCAATTGCACAACTAGCATGGCAGCCGTTTTCATCGTATCTTATTGTTCGTGTCCCACATCGAATTCTCATGCCAATTCTCGTTCTCGGATGGGGTATCGCGCAGACATGTATGGCAGCATGCACTAGCTTTAGCGGCTTGATGGCCACCCGCTTCTTTCTCGGACTTTTCGAAGCCGGTTGCCTTCCACTATTTAGTATGATTACTGCTCAGTGGTATAGGAGAGCAGAACAGCCGGTTAGAGTGGCCGCATGGTATGGTACGAATGGAATGGGAAATATTGTGGCCGCTGGACTGAGTGTTGGTCTGTCCCATATTCACTCCGATGTTTTGAAGTCATGGCAGATGTAAGTGTTGAACCATTCTGATTCAAATCATACCGTATCACATTCACATGGTCGCTGGCGTATTAACTTATCGAAGCATCTTTTTGTTTGTTGGCCTTTTGACAATCGCCTCGGTGCCAATTATTTATCTTCTCCTTGACAATGACATCCCGTCAGCCCGATTTCTCAACGAAGAGGAAAAAGTCATAGCCATCGAGCGCCTACGTGCCAATCAAACTGGAGCCGGTACTCGCGAATTTAAATGGGACCACGTATTCGAAGCCATCATCGAGCCCAAAACCTGGCTATTCGTAGCCATGAGTATGATGCTCAATGTCGGTGCCAGTGTGACCAACGTGTTTGGACCTACCATCCTCGCTGGATTTGGCTTCAATGCCGAGAAGAGCAGTTTAATGAGCATGCCGTTTGGCGCTTTACAAATCATTGTCATTCTGCTCAGCTGCTGGCTGGCGCAGAAAGCACACCTTAAAGGTGCGGTCTTAGTAGGCCTGATGCTGCCTGTAGTTGCGGGATTAGCTATACTTTACGTGGTCCCTCACCAGGGAAATCAAGGGCCATTGTTAGCGGGTTACTACCTTTTAGCGTTTTTGTACGGAGGTAACCCGCTTGTCATTTCCTGGATTGTTGGAAACACCGGTGGAACAACCAAGCGATCCTTCATATCGAGCGCCTATAATGCCGCCAGCAGCGCTGGAAATATCGTCGGGCCACTGCTGTTCAACTCCAAAGATGCTCCAGCCTACCACCCTGGTGTTCGAGACTGCCTTGCTATATTTTCTTCGTTGGTGGGAATAATCATCATACAATGGGGAAATTTGCTCTTCCTCAATAAGCTGCAAGAGCGAAAACGTGTGCAGAATGGAAAGCCGGCCAAATTGGTGGATCATTCTATGCAGCAGCATTATCATGATATTGAGGAGAATAATGAGTCGACCGAGGGCCAAGAAGCTCGTGAGGAGATTGGTGACAATGCGTTCTTGGACTTGACGGATCGCAAGAACGATGAGTTTGTCTATATTTATTAGTCACCGATCTCCAACCCATGATCCCTAGATGTTCTCATGATGCATAGATAGTTCTGTTTTCTCTATACCTGTTTGTCAAATAACGGACTTTCCCTGCATTTTTACGACTTTTTGATATGCCCTATAGAATGATTCACGCAGTCTATCCTCGTGAAGCTTCCGCTTTTTGTTCATAAACCAGAATCTTGAATGTATCATACAGATCTGATATGGCTCAACCATCTACAGATATTTGTGAATGATAATCGCAGTAGAGATTAAAGTTTAGGGGTCCTCGGTTCACCAATATAACATCCACAGACTTGCCCTAATCGCCGTCAGATAAAGGTATAGAACCCCTTTTTTAAATTTTCATGGCAGACTCAATGCAAGTCTTGCTGTCAACAAAAAGCGTCCGGAGGATTTTACAGCTCGAGAAAAGGCGTACCCCTATGAGCCTCACTAAACGGACAAAACAACGCGACGTAATCTTGGTAGCTGATAACACTAGGATTCAAGATTGGTTGGGATCTTTAACTTTGATGGAGAAAACAAACGATAACTTGATACTCCCTAAAAGCGTTCTAGAAGGCTCATATGACAAGAATACCTTGAACAGCCCTCGGTTACAGATCTGCCCCACACGGCAATAGACGGATTACGCTCTCCACGAATATGCAATTGATAAGAAGCTTATGAGATCTTGAAAGCTCACAAGTAAATTTCAAGTCAGTTTGTGGGGTATAAAATGCGAGTCATTCGTCTCAACCTGAAAGAATTTTCTAAGTCCACATTTAATTCTATTTTGGCCGCCCATCACAAACCGCTTTCATCGTACACAAATTCGAACGACGTTATCCATCTAATTATCACCATGTCAAGCACAACTACACTCACCGAGACTGCTCCTATAGCGAAAGACTCACCAGGACCTAGTCTCACCGTAATCAAGAATGGATTTGGCGCAGAGATTACAGGTCTTGATTTTACCAACGGCGTGACTGACGAGGCATATAACTACATCAAGGATGCTGTTACTAAAGTAGGGCACACTTGAACCGAGTTTCTCGATTGAAAATCATAGCTAATACGCCGTCCAAAGCATAGCTTTGTAATTGTTCGAAAGACAAATCTCAATGACGAAACTCATATAGAGCTGGCTCGCAAGTTCGGTGAACTTGATGATGTAACTCCATACAACAAAGCCGGTCGTGCTCATCGCTTAAAATACAATGAGCTTTTTGACGTTAGTAATATTGATTTTGACGGGTCTATTGCCGATCTCAGCAGCCCTCGTGCTCAAGCCAACAAGGTATCCAACAATCTTAATCCCGTAATGCCTTCCAGGCTAATATGAGACAACAAACTCACCATCAACAGGGAAACTCCCTCTTTCACACGGATTCCAGCTTCAACCCCCGTCGCGCGGGCTTTTCACTTCTCCTTGCCCATGAGCTCCCTCCTCCCGGTACCGGTGGCTCGACGGCCTTTGCCGATATGAGGGCCGCATACCGTGATTTGGATGAGGAATTTAAAAGCTTCCTCCACGAGAAGAACTTCATAGCGCGCCACTCAATCCTACACTCAAGAAAGTTAGCAGCTCCTGACTGGTACAAGGATATAGAGCCGACTGATCACTTTATGAGCCGCCATCTACTCCTTCAGATCCATGAAAGATCGGGACTTCCTACTATATACCTTGCAAAACATATACATTCTTTAGAAGGTGTGTCGCTTGAGGAGTCCCAGGCTATTCTCGATAGGCTCTTTGAGCATGCGACACAGGACAGGTACGTTATTGAGGCCGAGTGGAAGGATGTCGGAGATATGATCGTCTGGGACAATACATGTACAATGCATCGGGCGATCAGTGGCGAGTTCATGACCAAGTATAGGAGAGATATGAGGCGGGCTACTGTACACGATGATAGCAGGCTGGCATGGGGCTTCAATCCTCATAGCGATGAGCGTATGGGATTACCTTGATTCATCCACCCAGCATGTATTGATATTCTCACTATATTATGATTCATCAGAAGATATTATCTATATTTTAATTACATACTTGACTATTTCTAAGGTTCAACGTTGTCGCGATAGATAACGGTGCAAAACCATTTTGCCTCGACATTTCCAAGGCTACTTCCTAGGTAAGTGGAACACATTCCAAGTACATTACGACGCCCAGAAAATAACGGCCTACGGAACAACCAAATTTTAAGCGGAGTAAGATATAGAATGACTCGTTTCCGATGAAGGTGTCAATTGTCCGGGTTACATTGTTGGTGGACGAAGACCCGATTCCGTTACAATAGCCGTCTATAGCCGACGACTTCCCACTTATTTTGTGTCCCTGAGCCCTTTCCGATTATTCACCCATCTATTACCGAAGAATCAATTCCAAAATGACGGCCAGCACAGGTAAACGGTCTTATCGTGCTTGCCTGCGCTGCCGCCAGCGTAAAGTACGATGCGACTTGTGAGTTCATCCTGCCATCGGAATGGAGGGACCGTGGCTGACCTCTAACCCTTACCAGTGACGGCATCGGAGAACCAAGAAAGGCTCCTTGCGTGTCTTGTCATCTCTCTGGCAATGAATGCATTCTTGCCGACTCACGGAGAGGGGGTAATTTTCGACATAAACGATCACGAACATCAGGAAATTTGGAGACATCGACGCCGTCGTTGAAGAGAGTTAGCACTAACCAAGAGGCTTCTGGAAATGCGTCAATTGATGTGCAAGGACCAAGCCAAAGCCCTTCGTGTGATGTAGACAGTGATCTGGAGCAAGGGCCTCGTGGTGTTTTATCCATGGAGCTCCGCAACCCGTCCGATGCTCTACAGATATTAGCCAGATCTGGAGAGACTCAGACGCCAAGTCCATCACCAGCCCAGGCGGGACATATACAAAATTCAACCAGCATCCGGAATGGCTTCTCTCGTAATGAATCGGTATCAACCATGCAGATTATCGAGGCCCAACAACGACCCCGAACTTTTCCGGCGTTCTTTGAAGACTATGAATTGGTGCAAAGAGGATTGTTGCGCCCGAGTCTTGTCTCCGAGCTATTGTTCACGTGAGTCAATAGAAAACTTGAAAAGTCATGCTATACTAATTGATTCACAGATATCACCAAAGTTATCATCCCTATTTTCCCCTCGTCCGTCCTTCTTTTTTTACACCAGGAAGCATGGAAAAACTGCAGAAGTCGGATTACTTCTTACTAACCGCGATTCTCACTATTGCGTCAAGAGACGAACCTCAACAGACACTAACTCACCGTTACTGCTGGGATCATACACAACGACTTCTGATTGATGTCTTGTTGGCACATCCCTGGACACAGACTCCGCGGACCGTAGAGGGTCTCTTGTTATTAGCAGAGTGGCTGCCCCATATTCAGATACAAGAAACGGCCTCAGAGTCACCAAAAAGCCTTTTCAGTGAGGACAGAACGGCTTGGTCTCTTGTTKGTCTTGCGGTGCGGCAGGGATATCTTCAGCGCTTGGATCAGGGCGCTTTCCGTAATAGTGAGAGCAGCGAGTCGAAAGAGCAGAGTGAACAGAATCGACTGATATGGGCATGTGAGTGTCAATATTACCATCGCCATTTCACGTTATCTATACTAAGACAGAACGACAGACATTTTTATGGCCGATCGACAAATCTCAGTGCGCCTAGGGCAATCATTCTGGTCCCGTGGACCATCTTTGAATGCAAATTTCACAGCCAAAGATTACCCAAGTCTCCGACCAGTTTCGGACAGCGACAGCGAAGACTACGCCTCAGTTTTACAGGCTTCCATGGAATTGATCCAAATCCTCCACAATGCGCATGCTGTTCTCTATTCGTCCAAAGACCGAACCATGGCAATGGTGTTAGAAGGTAACTATGCGCGATATCTCGACGACTTTCGAACTTCTGCTACGACATGGCACTCAACTTGGAGCAGTATCGCCGTGTCTACAAGTATCAAGACGACTTTGATGATCATGTACGAGTATATCTGCCTGTATACCAACGCATTCTCATTCCAGGCTGTTTTGACCCGAGCCTCGATGCCGCATGGTACAAGCAAGGAGCATTTCAATAAACGGCTGTTTACTAATATTTTCTCCGGGGGTATTATGTTATCTCCTGATGGCAGATACATATTTGATGCTATTAGTGCCGCTATAAATCTGCTGGGCTTGGTCAATAGTCTTGACCCATGTCAAGTGATACGATATTTGCCTTCGCGTTACTACCTGTAAGCCTCAAAAGATGAATTATTTATACAAACAATTTTACTAACATTGTTATCAAGATACGGAGTTTACGCAGCAGTACTATTACACAAAGCAGATTGCGCAGGCGCATTCCAGACGGCAGATCAGCGTCAAGAAGTCGCCGCCCTTGCTGGCGACTTTGTGACCGCCTTGAAGAAGGCACCATCCACCGAATCACATATCTGTCACAACTATGCTCGGATGCTGAAACAACTCTGGGATCGACGCGACAGAAGAACGCCACAAAGCGCCCGATATGCCGACGAGACAACCACAACTGATGATATACTTGACACAGGTATGAGAGGCTCTGAGCAGCATATGGCACGAAATAACGACAGACCAAATCGAGACCATTTCAATAATATGCCTCACTTCTTTGGCGCTTCGCCAATGGCGGATAGCGAATCTGGTGGAGTGCCCTCAATTGAAAATTATCTTCTTGGGTCTTTTATGCCGGGAATAGCCGATTTCAGCACGACTGATTTTAGTACTAACCTAGGTCAGGAGTATCAATATGTAACTGACTTTCAAAATTGGCCAACCAACTGAAATTGCTCCTTGGGTACATATTTGAGTATTATTGATGTGTGAATGGAGCTCAAAGTCAACGAATTGACGCCATGCATCGCATTTTGCATTCTGGCGTAATTTGAAATGTTTTATATATCGTTTGATCAACCTTGAAGCAATTCAAAGGTAATCATCACTGATATCTTACATTGATTAAGCAACAATACTAAAAAGAAAGGGTTTCCAGCACCCGTAATAACCATCCAGAAGCACAATCTCAGCTCCAACCATGTAGTCAAAAAAGCAAACTGGTGTATCTAGTGGTCCTCCTTGACAATATCAGCCGCCTTCTCTGCTACCGCGAAAACAGTTGCTTGAATGTTTCCCCTCGGCTCTAACGGAAAAATACTGGCATCCACCACCCTCACATTGGAAGTGCCATAAACCCTCAACTTTGTATCTACAACACCTCCATCTTCACGAGGAAGCATGGCACATGAACCACTAACATGATACATTGACAGAACCAACTCCTTGCACGCTTCTTCTGCTTTATTGAGGTCTGTAAGTCGTTCGGGGGTGTGGAGACGATCACCACCCTTCTTAAGCATAGAAGCTAGTGGTTCGGTCTCTGCGATTTTCTCCATGAAGATGGAATGACGGGCATGAAGTTCTAGGTCCACTTTATGGCGGAGAATACCCTCATCAATGACAGGAAAATCCTTTGGATTAGCAGACTTAATATGCACCGATCCTCGGGCGAGTGGATAACTCAGTAGCGAGACAAGACTGATAAACAAACCGGGATGGCTCATGCCAAATATTCCCTTTCCACTGGGACCTTCGCGGGGGAGTAATTGGAACGGAGCGAGAATGTATTGAGCGGTCGGCTCTTCCGGATCTTTGATAATCTCTTTCAGAGCCTCGTATTGCTTTGCCAGAGCTGGAGAGACGTTTTGAGGATCGATTGAGTCAACGAGTTTCTGGCGCTCCTTGGCAGAAAAGTCGGGACATGGGAGGAAGGCTGATACCAGACCTACCATGCCCAGAGGACCAGAGCCATCCTTCTGGTATGCTGCCATTGCGGCAGCAGCGACTTGAGGATCGCGTGCCATATCACCCGAAGGCGTACCATCCGCAACTTCGTAACCAAAGGAGACAATACCGTGATCCTGCAGATTCTCACCAACATTTGGGTTTTCCACGACCACATCAATACCGTGCTTGTTCAGAAGCCTTACGTCGCCAATGCCTGATAACTCTAGGATCTGAGGAGTCTGGGTTGCACCAGCGGCGAGGATGACTTCTTTATTGATGCGGACTTCATATGATTCCTCGCCTTGTTGGACTTGAACAGCGGTAGCAATTGCGGGACCATCACTTTCCTTCTTAAATACAATCTTTTCCACTAATGCACCAGTGAAAATCCTCAGATTCGGTCTTTGCTTCACAGCTTCGGTCAAGTACGCCGCACCGGCATGACTTCGCGTGTGAGTGACAGGATCAATAGCCCCCGGCGTCACAAACGGTCCCGTTCCTTGCCCATTGATCGGATCCCCGTTTTGCGGATAGCCCAGGTTCTTGAGGGTATCAAACCATGCACTATGAAAAGGCATATACTCCTCTCCAAACGATACCTTTACGGGGCCATCGATACCCTGATCCTTTTCGTCGAATTGCATGCCATTGAAAAATTGACGGACTTTATCTGATGGTGCTGATCCTGTATGAAATTTCCGGACGTAAGGTACGAGATCATCCCACCCCCAACCGGGGTTACCTAATTTAGCCCATGCATTCAGGCCGATTTTGGATGGCCAGACGATCATGCCCATATTGATGGCGGAAGAACCGCCTAGAGTGCGGCCTTTGGTGACTAGTAGTTGGCGGCCATTCAATTGTTCCTATATTCGCGTCAACGAGCTCGACAAGGCAAGTGAGTTTGTCTTTTCTTTTTGTTTCCGCTATGCATTGTCGAGGACACGCCTTTTGAGGGTACGGCTTGCATGAAAAAGCAAAGTGTAAAAAACATTAAATACCTGTGGAGTAGATATAAAGTTCCAATCAAAGTCGTTGTCTTCATATGTCGCAGGCGCAAGACCCGGGACCATAATACGAGGATCATTGAGGCGATCAGTGCCAGCTTCAAGGACCAGTACACGAATCTTTTCGTTTTCAGTGAGGCGATTGGCGAGGACCAGGCCAGCTGTGCCTCCGCCGACGATGACAATATCGGCATCCATCGTGGTTGAATATCGTTATGGTCAGTAGCCTATCATGAAGAACCTAATCCCCTTAGCTCTCGTCGAAGTACTAAGGTGAAGCCAAACTACCTTGTTAGATGCGAATGGATTGGTTGCTATTGTGAGACGTGCAGCTTTCAAATATTAATTATCATGTACTGAGTGAACAGCTGCCCCGCTAAGCATAGTCTACTGCTCTCCATATCAACCCTCGACGACCACTAGCGAGTCACGGACGTAACGGATAACGTGTGACAAAACAACCGACAAACAGCTATTTGACTCGCGGATAGCGAATTACGCGTCCAGACCAGACAGGGGATACTCGTGGGCACCAATTGGATGACATCTTGTTGCATGAGGCAAGTCTAGAAACTAAGTCTGCTGCGTTGTGAGTCTAGTTTTCTGGCCTACGCTCATTAGTGTCGGTTAGGGGCTTGGATAAAGCATGATCCTGGTCACCGAATATATGCACAACCATGTAAATGAGGGCACATTTATTACCATTGAAACACAGCAGAGTACAAATATATGCATATTAGGAGACCGAGATGACTACTTATAAAATATATTTTCCGTATTATAGATCAAGGGTGCGTGCTTCACCTGGAGAAAATGTCTTGCAGCATCAACCTTGCTAAGCAGTAAAGGGAAAACCCGTTCAAAATTCAAGAACAAACACAGTGCCCTGCCATTATTTGGCCCGAAAGGTAAAAACAGCACACAATTCGCTGAAGGACGTGCCTAGGTAAGTGAAGCACTACTCTTTACTGAATGTAGGTACCGAAAAGATTGGAAAGGCCCAAGAGTTAAAACTTAAAGGTCCCCCAGTTTGGCCAATTCTCATTCTCACGTAATAGTCGAACCTTTCCCGGCCCCCTATACCCTACTACGTAGTCTTTAATCAAATCCCATTCGTGTTTGATTAGGGTAGGCATTATGGAGAACGACCGCACGGCGTCTTTAGTTCGCTTTAGCTTTGCATCGCGAGCCGTCCCTAATCTATCCACGAGGTTGAAATCCAATCAGATGCAGCAGACAATATAGTGTGTTGATTCGGTCGAATCAAAATGGTTTAACTACAATAAGACAAGAAAGAACGACCTCGGAAGAACGGTTGGCATGAATCATGGATTCCTTTCCAGGGGCACGTGCAGCATACATCTAGTATGCGAACTGAATCATGTATGCTTTCTCTGTGCTTAAATCCTGTGGTGGGACGAACTCGACCTTATTCGATTTATACAGTTCTTCGGTTTTTAGAGCTAGAATACTTATTTATACGAGAAACTTTGACTAGTTAGGCGCAATTCTAGAAATTATCTCGCCCCTACAGCCAAGATGCAACAAGGTAAACAAAAGCAAAAACCTAACTAGGGCCGGAAATAGGCCGAGGAACTCAATCCGCTTAGTACGTACCAAACTTACTTTTGTTAGTAGACTTTTTACAGGGGGGTTAAAACCCAATCTATTCTGCCAAACATACCTGCTACCTAATCCGGTCTTCTCTTTTTTAAATCTGGAAGACCAATTACGGCTTGATTCTTAGACAAAGGAGAACCCTTACGCTAAGACGGTAGGGACGGGAGCCTGAACCCTTGAAGCTCGCACTAACAAGGTTACTGGGCTAGACCATAGGAGAGTCAAAGTCTCTCCAGACAACTAATAGAATAGTAGAATTCTCAGAAACGAGATACGTATCTAGTGACCCATAGATAATCACAGGTCAAACACGGGACATTGGACAATCCTTTCCTGCAAGAGGTAATCCTTCATAAAAGCAAGACAAGGTTTATTCACTAGATCGAGGTCTGTCGGTGTGTCTTGACAACATGGACGACCACTACGAGTACGTACATAGCCCATACTGAGATCCAGGAAAACCCAGACTTTACGGCCCCATCCTTGCACTGTTCAAGACGCCGAAACGATTCAAACTCGCATATGGACTACTCTATGAGCGAATATTAAAATGAATCCTTTCGCTTTTGGCCTTCGTCGCAATCTAAGTTGCCTCCATAGTCAATGTGAACGAACCACTTTCAATTCTCTGGACATGAGGTATATACTTTGCGCGCGGATGTAATTTCCACTCATCTTCGACTCTTTCAAGAACGAAAAATACAAATCTGATTTTCTTTTCAAGGCTGCTTTTCACTTGATATCGTCTTATTGTCATAACGCTGTCCTGGCATCGAGTCCTGGGTGATCTCATCTTGGGATACTTCACGATGGGAGATTACGGTCTCAAGGCCAAGCCCGGCCGCGACATTGTGATTGTGATTATTGTGTTTGCTATTATTTCAGTGATATCAGTAATACTGAGAATATATTCGAGAAGGATACTGAATATCAGTTTGGCGTTTGACGACTATCTTATCGTGGTGGCGATGGTGAGGCCCTATACCCTTCCGTGCGAATTTTCACAACTAACATCTCTTAGGTATTTGTCCTTGCAAATGCAATCCTAGTCATAACAAGTGTGTCTTTACTGCCTCCTTTTCTAACCAAAATTACATCAACTAACCCGTCACAACAGCCGTCACACGAGGCGGAGTCGGATTCCACATGATCTCTCAAGTCCCTATAGCAGATGTCAAATTCGTCCTCAAAGCAATTATCCCCATGCAAGCATTATACGGCATCGGTCTAGCTCTCGTCAAAACATCCATGATGGGCCTATACTGGCGACTATTTGGCTCTAAAACGAGTTTCCGAACCGCCGTCTATATTGTTGGTGCGATCGTCTGGGGCTGGGGTCTGAGTATCGTCCTGGAGGTGTTTCTACTATGTACGCCCTTTGAGTTCAACTGGAATCAGGCAGTAGCTGGACATTGTGCGAATCGAAACGCGGCGTTCGTTGCTGCCGGTGTGCTCAATTTAATGACGGATTTATTGGTTTTGTCGCTGCCCGTGACACACATTTGGAGACTGCAGTTAAGGACAGGACAAAAGATCGGACTGATTTTAGTATTCAGTCTTGGTTTGTTGTATGTGCTCTACATCCTTGCGCGCGTTTGGTCAAGGTTTGCTGACTTCCTCCAGTATCAGTGCTATCAGCATGATCCGAGTCAGGTCCGCTATCTAACAGGCATTCAAATCTTGTATTTTCAATAGATTATTTCTCAAGTCGTGGTTGGGTTAGGGTTCTTTATCAGGGAATGAGAACGGGAACAGTAACACGAAAAGAACGGAACGTTGTATACCCGAATGGTCATTCAAAGGAGGTAGAATGGTCTCTGATACATTTATTCTTGACGGTAGAAGTTTTCAGCACATTGTTGCAATGATTTGCTGCCTAGGTATTGTTACTGCCGCGGGGAGGGTCTCCTTTACAGCTTTTGTGAGGGCGCTCACAGATCTCGTACATCTCAGTCCGGACTCGGGCTCACTAAGTTGCTGAGCATCGTTACGTGACAAACTTTAGGGACCGTGTTATTGCCTGTGAGCATGATTGAACTCTCACTCTCACTCTTCACTTAACTAGTCACACTGGCTCGGTGTTTCATTTCGAGCATTAGTTACGCCCTCGCCAATCTGACGTATGTCGCAAAGAAGCAAGCAGTAGTATATAGTCACTGTTGAATTCCTGAGGTTATATAAGGTCGTATGAGTACCTATTCTTGATTGCCCTAGTCTATCATTTAAAACTACCTTGATTGCAATGAACATTGATACAATTTTTGGGAAAATGGGGCAGGGCTTATAGGACCGCGGAATTAGTTGTTCTTCTTTCCTTCAGCCTCAACTTCACAGCCGGCAGTATTCTCGTCCATTAACGTAACTGAAAGTGCCACTAGTATACCCAGTTGTTGTAGCTTAAGGTACGGAAACCCTTCGAATTTCATGTGCTTAAATTGTAACTCATGGTGAGAGGGCGATCGAGTTCTACCGTACGTCTAATAACAGATCGAGATAATGCTTGCTAATATTGTGTATACCCAGTCCGTTAATTGTTTCTTCCAGTTACCATGGCATGTGACATAGAAACTTTTCATTGGTAGACTTTGAAGCCTCTAAAATCTATACGCTTGGAGCTTGCAATATCCGGGCTAGCAATAGCAGGTATCCCAAAGACAGGCTCAGTATCATCTCTGAACGTAATTTCATTGGACTCAATACGAGCAATGTTTCTCACGCCAGGCACGCGAAACGAAACTTCGTTACATGTACCTCGCGACGAAATTCTAAAGTCTGATCAGTCTGTCGTAGAGTTAGAAACCTAGTCTGTGACGTCTTTTCATGTTCAGGCCTGTGACCGTGTTGACAGTGCTTGACGCGATCTCGGATGAACCGAGATCAACGAACACTTACACGACACGCACAGGTTTGAAGTAAAGTGCGAGACCTGTCTTGGCTTATTGACCCGCTAAATTGCCTCTTCTGCCTAGGGTTCGCTCAACAGGTTATTGCAGTTGCTTGCAAGCAGGTCTGACAGAGGCCAAGGAATTATACTGTTGCAGAATCGCTGAGGATGTCCATTTTGCTTGGAATCAGAGTGATTTCAGGCTGCATAGGTTCCAAGACATGATTGGATCGATCAGGCATTTTGATCCAGATAAAGTGTGATAGCACTAGGAAGTTCCCAAGCCGCCTGCTGATGAGAAATACCGACAACAATCCCAACGTAGCAAAATGATATCTTCGATTAAGAGATCTGGGGCCAGTCGTCGAGAGGCTAGGATATGGACGTCAACGAAGTCTCTCTTCCCATCGGATAACGGCCTTAGCCAATCGTACATACACCAAGCACAGCATCCAGAACATCTAGGAATTGCTAGCACTCAAACCTCGCGTCGACAATGGTAGGTGTAGAGGACTTGCTCGAACAGGCAGATTGAGTATTTCATTGATAGTAGGGAAAAATCGCGAGTACTTCTTTCAACCCTCGGCTGACTCTTGAATGGAGGAGAGGGGATAGGCAAATTTTTCAGTAATCAATTCTTGAACGATAAGAGTTACGTGATTTTCAGGCGAGACATGGGCAACAAGGGATAGCATAGGGATCAATTGAAGTTACCAATATGATTCTATCCTACCAGAACAGGTACAGGTTTAAGGCAAGACGTAGCTCAAAAAGTTATAAGAAGCTATTCGCGGCGGTTAGGACCCTACATAAAGCAGGCCGCAAAATCGGATCAGAGAATCACAGAACAATAGCGGAATAGGTTGGTGGCTGGTTAGAATGAAAGACTTCTACGCGGAAACAGTCTCGAACATTCCCAAAGGCCGCTTGGAATTGGTTCGAACTTCGCGCCCGCCACATTCCTTTTACGTCCAGTGCAACTTGTCCATTCGTTGATAGTAGTCAGAATCCGTCTCTCCATCTTCCTTAGGTTCGTCGACCGCTTTCACGCATCCATACTTACCGCATACGCCAATAGCATTGGTGGTTCCTGCCCGACAGTCGTTGTCGCCCCCAATGTCGCACCAGGTACAAACGCTATTTGAGTACCTGATACAATCCGAATCGAAACGACAAGCAATGTCCGAGCAATATCGCCATCTCTTTGTTAAACTAGTGCCGAGATCGTATGTTACCAACCAGTCACCGGCAGGTTCATGTTCAGGCAGTTTGAGCTCTGGGTTGCGCTTGTTTATTGCTTGTGCAAATATCACCCTAGCATATGGGGGATCAAAAACGAATGTTGTTTCGTTGGTCTCAGAATTTTTGATTTCTACAGTTGCCGAGGTCCCATCTATAGAGAAGTAATATCCATCTGCCTTCGGTAGCATTGCTTTCTCTATTTGTTCCTTCACATGACTTGCAGTCTCATTGTCAAAACGGGTGTCGATAAAGTACAATTGATTTGGGCCCGCCCTTGCCACGTATGGAGTATCTGGCGCTATAACTTGGAGGCCGTACCATGTTTCGATAGTCTTTGGGACGTAGCTGCCCCGATACTCCTCAAGGAAGGTTGGCCCCCCCTCAGATAGTCGGAATAGGTACAGTAGCACAACAATGAGTAGCGTCGGAAGCATTCTGGTAAAGGGATGAGTTGTTGTTTCTGTATTTCTGTGTTTTTGTCGAGTATTTTAAATGGTCAGAGACGCGCGTTCGTTTCAGCCAATTAATAAGCAAGTAGTTCGTATATGATTGCCTTTAAAGGCACTTGTAAGCCCTGAGCCAGCCTAGATATTTATAAAGTCATAAAGAATTCCTGGTGGCTTACCATGCTATGATCGCTGACATCAATTTTACAAGGTGAGAGCATGAGTAAACAATTGGCTAACGTATTGCTGCCGCTACAGCTTGCTGACCTCCTGGATGCTGACCATTTATATGCTGACCGCTTATGTCCTGACCGCATATACGCTGACTTCCTGTATTATTATGATTATTATTTAATCAAACTTAATATCCGTATGGAGCACTACAGGCCATAACAGCCAAGCCAACTTCCCGTATAAAAATGATAGTGAATGCTGACCCCCGCATGTGCTGACCACTACCTAGCGCCGGGAGCTTGAAGCTTATCTGTTGATTGCGAAGACCTAACTTGAATTGAAAGAGACTAGATGGTCAACAGTGATTGTTATTCGAGAAAGTTAATGCTGAGGTATGTACTGGCTGCTTCACAATTTCAAGGCTATTATAATTAATGATATCTATGTTGGGAAATCACTGTACATGGTATTAGTTGTGATAGTATTAGTTTTGTTACTTCTCGCTAATTGTAAGGGCCTATTTAATTAGGATCGAATAGAAGCAATATTTAGATCCAAAAAGAAAAAGAAAAAGAAAAGAGAAACAAAATCAGAATGAAAGAAATGGATAGAACTCGGAGTAGTCCCGTGACCTGGTAATGCCTAGATAAAGAAATTAGCAAATGCAGTCTTATCACATGCATGTTTGTGTTGTCGTTGGGGCAGTGCTGTTACATTTACTTCTTTTTGACTTGCTTTCTTGGAATCTTGCAAATCGTGAAAAATTTGAACAACCTTCAATCACAAACCTTCTTCCACACAAGAAAAACTGACCGATCAAATGTCTACCTACAACGAGAACAAAATAATACCTGACCAAGACGCGGTCAAATCCCTACACGAGCTGACAGCATCGGTCCAGGATCTCTGTAGTATTATCAGCTCAGAACATAGCAGCTCTCGTCCCGATAAATCTCGGGAAGAATTGAAGGCTAAAGATGCGATCTCAAGCACACTCGACGAGCAAATCAAAAATGGTCGGCCGGAAAAGATCCCGGACTGGAAAAAAGTTGAGCTGATGCCTGTCGACGAAATTGAGGTGAAGAACAAGCAATATACGCAGAAGTACGAAGGTGAGTATTCACTCAACCATGGTTCTGACAGAAACAAAGCTAATGTTTGATACTTACGTTATTACTTGGCAGACTTTTGGAAAGATGTTGATGAATCCACTAAGTTGGAAAAGGAGGCTACCGTTCAAGCCTACGCGTCGGCTTTTAGCAGATTTCAAGAAATATATCGTCTCATCGGATGGCGTGACATAGACGACGACGAAGCGATTTTTGACAATCTTGTTCTTACAGAATCCCGCGATCTCCTCATCGAGTCCATCTTTGGCGTCGAGTTATATCAAATGTCCAAACGTGGCCAATTTTGCGAACCATCGCGCATGCTCTTTGAGTATTCTCGCCTTCCACGACTACTCATCATCCTCGCCCGGATTGCATGCAGGCAGATGGGAGCAGACAAAGAATTAAAAAAAGGACCATTTGATGCTCTTACAATTGTGCGTGTTTTGACTTTTACAGCACGTATACTGAAGGGTGGTCAAGTCGCCTCGTCATTATCAATGGAAACGCTTCTTCATATGTGCCACGCACGTCGAATCCTAGATCAGCCAAGCGCTAATGATGTGGACTCTTACAGTAAACAGTTTGATCTATTGTATGATTGTTTGACGGCTCTAGATTTTACGAGGAAGTTTCGAGAAATCAGGGAACCTCTATGCGAACTGTTCTACATACGGTACAAATCCGAGTCAATCCGCGAGTTATTTCAGCGTGTGAGGACTCTTGAAGAGGCTACTATCGGAATCGAAAGGTATCCAGAGCTACCATTAGAAGAGAATACTGACTCGACGTTTCATCCCGAGATATTCACCATTTCCTATCTACAGCGATTTGGACGACTAAACATCGAATGGACTGATTGTTTGGACGAGCATCTGAAGATTTTTGCAAATCGGAACTGTATCAGAGTCTTTGCTCATCCCACATTCTTCTACAATGATATTGATTTACATAAGTAAGTACCGAATTGTTGAAATGGCATAGTTAATATCTGCTAACCTCAGGGTATTGAAGAGCTAAGCGTGACTATTATGAATCAACATACTTAGAGCTGTCGCGGACTTACGGTCTTCTGTTTCGACCAACATCGTCCAGAAGCCTCCAGCGTCTAAGACAATATGTCACCGCTGGAGATGACGATCAAATACTATGGTACAACAGTGAGACATTCAACGGTCGTCCTATCCATCGGTTAAAGCATCATGTGGAAAAAGAGGTTGCTACTAAACTAAAGAAAATCATGGACATCGATCCCATTCGATATCCAACCAAAGACATTCTGTCGGAGAGCTTTTACCGCTGTTCGATTCCACCAAGCATACAAGTAGCGTTCGATATCACCAACCCATTTAGAGCAGTCAAGAGAATCTTTAAGCGATGGGACCAACATACAGTAACATCGACCTCAATGCAACAAGTCTCAGACCTCACACCAAATTATCCAGAGGATCTCAGATTCATGATTGTTTCCATAATGGAAAACAGCTTTACCGATATGGAGTCCTTTGTGCGGTTCCCCTATTTTGCGCCTCGACTTCGCCGGCTAAAGATGTATCTGGATTCGCGCCAGCCAAGCACAATCCGTGAGCTATGGTATGATCGTAGGGATTATCAGTCATGGTGTATATTTTGGGGAGCTGGTTTCTTTGCTGTTTGTGTTTTACTCTTGATGCTCTTCATTCTGCTTGCACAGCTAGACTGTATCTGAGGTAGTGATCCCCAGATATTTCCAGAAGATGGACATTCCTCGATTTTGTAAGGGAGAGACTGGATTGTAGTGAGAATATTAAATGCCCATTACCTGTTTCGGGAGTTTTACACCCGCTTCAGCTTCTCTTATTTTCGAGTTTGACTTTCTTTTCATTGGAGCTTTATACAGAATTGTGAGGTCAATCCAGTAGGCAGATGCTATATTGATGTATTAATTATTGTCCTGTCCCATTGAAAGTGATATATACATGAGATGAAGAGCAAGGATGATGGGAAGAAACAGTCCTAGACTAGAATATTAAAACACGACCCATCGGTTGTTCCCAAAGTCAGTTGATTCAGCAACATGTGATCCAACTGATCTCTGAGTTTTGAAATTCTTAGAAGCTTCCACTAAAAGAATTCTAAGATTTGGATCGGCCGCGAGGATATCAAGGGAAACACCAAAGTCGTATAGAGATATGACTTTTTCGAGAAGCCGATCTGCTTGGTCACAGATACGAGCTCTTTGACTTTGTACTAAAGCGGCGGTTTCACGTTGTTGATTCGTCTGCTCGAAAGATAATCCTAGTAATCAGCTAATTGCAAATGTGGTGGTACGAGTTCATGACTTGTGTACTTTAATTCCATTGTCCATGTAGGATTCGTATCCTTGATGTCCCTGTAACAATTCATCAGGGCTACTAAGAAACTGGCCATCGATCTCAAAGTTATCATCTCGTTCGGCTCGGTCCAACATAGTAAACTTGCTCAGCGAGAGAATATCAGCGTACTTTGTGTGGACTATAAAACTGGTCTCGCACAGTTTTAACACTGCCTTACCTGGTCATCAAGTGTCTGGCCTTCTTGACTCTCTTGACCAGGAGAGAAGACAGATGCTTGTGACTTAGTCAGAAATGAAATCCTAATATTCAATTTTTAAACACTCACTAAGAGACTCAATCTGTTGTCTTGAAGAACGATCCTGAGATTCCTTTGACGATCCTGGTAGACTCAAATCCCGTAAAATTTGGTCCAATGTACCGAATGCAAGCTCATTTTGCTGAGTGTTGTCGTCACTTTTATCTGTAATCCCATTTTCCACTTGCCCTTCGCAAAAGGAGTTTCGTCGCTGTGCCTTCATTCTTTCCCCTGAAGATAAGTCAGACTAGATATATTCAAAACCTAATTCTGGGGGTGTACAAACGATGCTTGCGTTGAGCCATGCGATTCTGGAATTTTCTCCGGCGTACCCTGTCCAGTTCTTGGGAGCCATCAAAGGGGGTGTGGCTACTCATTTTGGCTCTCTGTTGAGCACGTACTCGTTACACAGAAAACGCCATGGTGCCTTCTATTTGTATGGTTTAGCGGCGCAGATTATAGTATGCGGCGCAGTCAAAACTTGATGCAACATTCCATCTTTGTATATCTACCAACACTCCATAACCGAAAAGAAACGATCTTCACCTAGTCATGCAGGGATTGCGGGCCCATTCTAATCCTGTCGTGTTGCCGCCATGATCACTCCCAAAATTTCTGTGTTCGTTGATCGATTCTATGCCCGGTCTCTTGAGAGGTAAGCGTATCAATGCTCCAAGCATGAATCGACATGAGAGCCATCGCAGGTGGTTCCTCTCATGAATGGAGAACACTATAATACTCAACAACGCTTCGGTGCCATGCACATCACATTGAGTTTTGGAAGACTCGCTGAGAATTGATTGGGGTGCACGAATCATTTCCTGTTTTTATGTTGGCTAATCCAAGGAGAGAAAATTTAAACATCCTTGTCCGAACAGTCAACCAAGAAATACACGCACCTACTATCAACTGACTACCTTGTGCAGACGTATGTACGTACTAGCAAAAAAAAACAGCCCACCCCTGTAGCCACAGAGAACTCACCGCCAATAGCATGTATCAAAGTGGATGTTTAGTATTTTTACAGCGCTTATTCCAGCTCCACTGTAACGAATGTTGGCTGCACTTCTGACTCCTATCTTTGGATGTATTCTACTGGACAGCGCCATCCTTATCTTTCAGATGAGAGAGCTCGACTCCACTATGAGAGGGGAATGTGGTATTGTCATGCAACCGAAGGAATCGGTCCAATAGGGCAAAGCCGTGAAATGAGACATCAAGCCAGTGGCCTCCTACGTAGTACGTAGAAGACCTTCTATAGGCTCGTTACTGCGGCTGAAAACGACTAAAAATGACTTTGCGGCGCAATTAAAGCACTGACCATGAGCAAATCATTAGACATACGTGATTCCATATTAATCCCCGCCGAGCTCACGTAGGCGAAAACTCCGGTTTGCGAGTAAGCGTATGTAATTGTAAAGAGGCCTTATAAATTAATACGAGGACATCCAACCTTACATATATAAGCCAGTAAAAAGGCTCTCTAATAGAGTTGTGGGCATAAATCGCAGACAGACGCCAAAACGCGTGTGACAGGCAAGTTTTCTGCCCCGAATGGAAACTGATGAACAATACTCCATGGATTATGTAGTCACAAATATACTTTTTTAGCCAATCATAGTGCATAGTTTCCAATATTACATTGGGCATCGGAGCCCGAGCTTTCATGCCCTTTCGATTCCTGGCATTGTGATTCACAATGGCAGATTTCAGATCTCAAGTATTCAAATGGGCACTGGAACCGCGTCCGGGGCATACAATGCAAGCCCCGGATTCAACGCCATTTGACCTCATACATTATCTGCTCAAGACGCCCGACAAGACTGATGTAACAATCAAACACAAGTCCAAGGCATCTGCTAAGATTTCCGAAGTATAGAAACTGCCCCAAGGACATTTTCGACCGGCACCGAACGCAACTCACAAGCAACTTCGACCGGCAAGAAAAAGCAAGCGACTCAGACGACGACTATATAAATTTCTTTGCGAAGGACGCAACACCAATCACTCTTTGTCCAAAGGGGGGGCATTCTAAGCAAAGTTGGAGATAAAAAACGAAATTATTGCAAAGTTCAACGCGAAGGTGCCGGTGAGAGAGATGCTCGAAGAGTCGGAGAACAACATGGCGACGTTCTGATCCGGCGAAAGGATTTTTATAATCTCGGTCACATAATTGAGGTTGCTGTTCCGAGATCATTGAGCCAGACTCAGAAGAATCTGCAACCCACTGTCAAATCTCAAAATGTTATATCTTGAGGTATTCGCTGTGTTTGCTTAAAAGCGACTGGAACATAAAACGGGAGAGTCATCATGCAGAGGACCCTGTTTCATCTATCTCTTCCCAATATCTAGTGGACTACTCCAAAGCATCATAGCTACTACTACCAACTTGAAAGATGTTTCATTTCCTCGCCGTCCTACCGTCCCGCTGTCCCGCTATCAGTCTGTGCCCATGGCCTTACCTAGGTGTAGCCGTGCCTACTGTTTCTCGTCTAGTACATCCTCTCAACGGATTTCATTTCATATATGGTCTTATAAACGATCTACTACGTAGGACATGTTCTAAGAGAATCGTCCCACCACAACAGGCTCAGAAGGAAAAGAGCTCCAAATCACGACATTCACAAAATCACTTCTAACAAGCAGCAAGGATTAGTAAACTTGGGCAACAGCTTTCTGATTTTCGTTTCCAGTTCAAATTAGTGATTGACGAACATACTGATATGCTCCGCTGGGCACTTTTTTCTGTCGTACTCAGATTGATCACTACATTGCGTGCCCATAGTGATGGTTAAGGTCAGTGAACCGCTAAGTTAGCAGAGAATGTTGATGAAATCCCATCGAAGATCAGCGGTTGGCACTCAGTTCGTTCTATATTGCACATTGAGTACGCCGAGTTATTTCGCAACATTCAGGGGTTCGCCAGCCACTCGCGGGACGTGGGGCGAAGCGGTAGCTAGGACAAACGTTGTATAGATTCATGTTTGCACGCCGTTAGAGCGCACTCTTTGGTTTCAAAGATAGCGTGACCTCTTCAGTGTTTTGCGGGGTTGATAGAAGATTCTAATAGACTCAGATAGCGCAGCAAGTTCAAGTAGGTGCGATATAAATAGGTCGTCTTTCGTCCATAGATATCCTATTTATCATCTAATCCATGGTCATTTCACCCGATTCCCGAAAACCCTATAAATCTACAAGCAATTCTGCCCAAGAGCACCATGAAATTGGCACAGTTCCTACTTGTTAGCGGGGCTTTTTGGCCTCTCGCCCACGGTGCTTTACTGGGATCTACAGTTACACTTCCAAACGGCGCCGGAACGGTTCAGGGTCTGCCCCGTAACAACAAAACGTCCATCCTCAGTTTTCTGGGTATACCCTTTGCCGAACCACCCGTGGGCAGCTTACGCTGGGCACCACCGCAGCCTGTCAATGCTTTAAGCCCCAACCCATACAACGCCACCGAGTTTGGACCAGGCTGTTACCAATCGGAGATTGCAGCTCCTGCATTTGGGCCCATTAGTGAAGATTGTTTGACTGTGAACGTATGGACAGGAGCCCAGGACACCGCGGAGAAGAGGCCAGTAATGGTCTGGATTTACGGCGGAGGATTTCAATTTGGTGCATCAAACCAACCAAATTACAACGGCGCGAATCTTGCTCAGCAAGGAGTTGTCCTAGTGAGCTTTAACTATAGGCTCGGGGTGCTAGGTTTCTTAGGATTGAGTGAACTAGATGTTCCAGGAGGAGCAAATTCTGGGAATTTCGGAATACAAGACCAACTTGCAGCGCTTAGATGGGTTAAAAAGAATATTGCCGCGTTTGGGGGTGATCCTGACAATGTGACCGTGTTCGGAGAGTCTGCAGGCGCACATTCAGTGGGATTACTGCTCTCGTCTCCATTATCCGATAGCCTTTTCAACAAGGCCATCATGGAGAGTGGTGCATATTGGGATAGCGAGCACGGTTCGATCCAGAACTTCACTCAGACAAGGACCAAGGGTTCGGCTCTCATGCAAAAGTTAGGTGTTTCTACTGTCTCGGATCTACGCGCCCTCAGCGCGGAGACGATCAATAATGCCGCACTTTGGAATAGCAGTACAGACCCGGCAATCACAGCATTCGCCCCAAATATCGATAATTATGTTGTACCCGCAGTCCCTGCCGAGGCATTCAATCGTGGGAGCGCGCAGAAGGTGTCGGTCCTGGCTGGATTCAACGCAGATGAAGAGTATCTATTTCTTTCAAGAGCAATACCTCACAACACCACTGCTCAATTCAGGCAATCAGCCCAAGTACTTTTTGGACCTCAAACGGTCGAGTTCCTGAACTTCTATGACGGTGCTACAGAGGCGCAGGCCACGCAATCCGCTCTGGATCTTGATGGCGACCTAATCATCCGTGAGCAAACTTTCGAGGCTCTTGATCGGCAAGCCTCGGTCAATCATCAGACAGTCTACGCTTATTATTTTACATACACCTCATCATATTCACCAGTAGCAGCGCATACTGCAGAAGTAAACTTTGTATTTGGCAACCTAGGCCCCAACCCAATTTTCGGTCAAACTCCAGGACCCTCAGCTACGGATTTCACGTTGTCGCGAACGATGATGGAATATTGGACAAATTTTGCGAAAATCGGGAATCCTAATAATGTCAGCGCTGGCCTCCCCGTTTGGCCTCAATATACCAGCGGCAATGGATTCAACTTCCTCGAAATTGGCGATAATATCACAGCCATAACCAACCCGTATCTGGCTCGTTTCGAATTTATTAGCAGTCTTCGCCATAATGGATCCCTCCCAATCACTTGGCGAAATGAATTTGATGATAATTAGGCTAATGGCTTGATGGAATAGGTCATGTGAATCTTGAAGGGAGTAAAATTCAAGGAACGAGGTATCGGTGAAAATCAGTGTTGCGATCATGCCTTCGATCCCATGTTGTCAATCATATATTTAGGATCTCCGTATACAACCCTACAAATATGGACTTCTACGGTCTTCGTTGAGTCATGTTCAACTTTCAATTGTAAAAACTCTTCTTATTTCAGCGTCGATGGAAAACTTGGAAGATTTTTGGCTAATCAATGATCAAGATCGGAGCATGAGGATTCTTGTTGTTTAATAATATGAGGTCGTGGGTCGATTGTAGTGAGGGCTGGTGGTAGGAAGATGAAGGTTAGATATGCAATTTTGATGCCCATCCTGGCCGGGAAAAGCCTCAAGATGAAGGCTTCGTGCAACACGTCTGATCCTGAGTCCCTGACTAGGAGACAAAGGAGACACCATAATAAGCGTTATTCAAGACTGGTATTATTGGTCTTTGAGAGCACTCAAATATCCCAGGTATCAAAATAAGTAATCAATAATGGCCTATAATCGTATTGAATGTAACTGTCCGCCCAGGTATCTAGCCCAGCTTAGGTTTCACACAAATATGTATCGGGTTGACAAGTTTACGCAGGATGCTAAAGAGTAAAACAGGAATTATTTCACCACTCAGCAATCTGCTGAAGACCGCTATTCCTAATTCTTGTAAAGCTTTTCACGAAGCCGTGCCATGATGATTCTTAAAGTCAAGCTCTTTCACTGGCGCATCTATGTGATAGTTCATGGTCTTGGTCAAATCTCCTAAGAAGAAACAAATGACAAGTGCGAGCGTACCAAATGGGGCCGCGATGATGAAAACGACACGCATGCCATCTGCGTGTGCTTGCTTCAAGGCAGCGGAACCAGCGTCTATAATAGACGTTGTCAGCCCGGGGATGCTTTCGAGCACTGTACTGTTGGCATTGTTCGATAGGGCTTCGATGAATGGCCCCACAGATGTACTCGGTAACCCTGTATCTATCGCTGCCTTGGCTATATAACTTGGGATATAGTTTGCTAGACAGCTATTCAGGGCAGCGGAATAGATGGCTGTGAAAACAGTGGCAGACACTGCTCGTGCACTTGTGGTCGCCGCTGTGGCTGTGGCAATCAATTCGTGGGGCGTGGACAACTGAACGCCAGCGATGATGAGAATGAGCGGTGCACCAAATCCGATGCCAGCGAGCCCAGCAAAAATGATCGCGGAGACATTATCAGAGGGCTCAATCGTGGCTAACCCGATCATTCCACAGGTGAAGATCAGGAATCCGACAAATAGCGGTAATCGAATCGTCCTTAACTTTGTGCTCGCGTAGCCATAGGGAACGGTACTGAATGCACAGGCAACCAAAATGGGTACATCTCTTGCTGTTTGGAGAAAGGGGTCTGTTTCGAACAAAAAGGAAGTCCTATTGGGGCTTGATCAGCATTTCTCCTCGACTTGATAAACTTGAAGCATTTAAACCCTTACATAATGGGATAGAATAGAATATAGGCAAATAGTAGAATGCCTTCAATAAATATGAGTGCCACACAAAGGTTAAATGTCCGTCCCCTTTGCTTTCCTCCCCGGAATAGATCATGATTGAGAATACCAGTCTGCGTTCCCTTCCATTCGTAGAGACCGAATAGCACAAGCACGATCAATCCTAATACCAGCGTCGCGAGAACCGGAGCGGCGGTCCATGCATAGAGACCTCCTCCTAGATTCAGTCCCACGAGGAATAGTGTCAGGCCAGTGGTGAGCAGTGCAGCACCAGGGAGATCCAATATCCCCTCCACTTCTGGAGAAGCGAAAGATGACCTAGGCTGGTGTTTCTTTTTGGCGGACGGTAACCAATAATTAGGCAGACTGAAGTGAGACCCCATAGGCCCATCTGTATCCACTGTAGCCATTTGGTATAGATGAATGGCAGAAGGGACATTCAAGGTACCACTAGCAAAGAAATATTGCCAGCCAGTATGCGCATTTTGTTTCGTCAACGCACCGATAATGAGTGGTCCGGTGGTGACTCCAATAGCAGCAGCTACATTCATGCAGGTTTGTGCCACTAGAATTGACGAAATCAGCTGCTGTAGTTTACATTTTCTCATATTCTCAGACATACTTGGTCGCCATTTTTTGGGCAAGATCTCACTAGGAACCGTGTATGCCAACGGAACAGTCGCGAAACCAAAACCGATCAGTACTTGAGCCACAATAACCCTGTAAATACTGGTTGAACCCGGTGCTGTTGCTGCTCCTATGAAGGATACCGTCGAGCAACCGACCATAATCGTTTTACTGAACTGGAATGCATCTGACGCTGACGCAATGACCAGTGCTAGAACTGCCTGCACGAGGGAAAGCGCATTCGGAATCCAAGTCTCCCGCTTGCTGTCGCTTAAATCTTTGGCTATGTAACTTAGTTGCCCTCTGTTAGTCTACCATCTTGGATTCATCGTCAACTGGACAACACACCGAAGCCGGCGGGCCTTGTAGGGCAAACMCCTGCACCATGTTCAAAAAAAAAAAAACATAGCAATCAGTGCAATCCAGGTCCGCACGTGGAATTCGGGCTCTTCATCTGCTTGTTCAACGCAGCTGGTTTCGGGGCCTGTCTTGTCAAAGTCGACTGCGAGAGAGTCTTTCTCAGCCATCGCCTTCGTTTCCAGAGAATTCGAGGGATCCGTTTAGCTGTCTCAATTGTCTTCCATTCGAATATACCGCTTACATGCTCTACATATTCGTTTTTCAATCGGCAACACTACCTCCTAGGAAGTACACAATAGTGAGTGTTCGTCCCGCCGTCCCACTTCACCCCGGCCCGGCACATCATTCTCATTCGGACATTACAGGGTATAAGGAAGTCTACTGTGATACAAATTAAGAAACCGCCCCGCAGGATTTCTCAAAACAAGTACGTCCTGTAGTACAGGCTCATACTTAATACTTTTGCGTTGTATTAAGCCAACCCTGCAGAAACTACAGCAACTCTCCTCGCAATATCACAAGCTTCAGCAATTTCCGCCTGTTCGGTTACACCTCTGGCTGAGCTACTATTGGCGAAGCCAGCCATTCACGTATTTGCCTATATATGGTACGGGAACCCCAAAGAAAGCGGCGTTATGAAACGCCTTAGTCTTTGTGAGGCATGGCGATTCAAACAGCACAGGACGGGGACACGGATGTCATCCAATTCACCTATACCAGACGCCCGCTTCTTCCGAATGCATACTGGTTGAGTTGCACGATGAATGAGAATACAGGTATTCAGACGGTAAGGCACTAACGTATCACGTAAAGCGACATTGTTTCTTAATCAAAATATTCATATCCAAGGTGACTACATGGCTGGTAGGCATCTCACCATTAACGCCGCTAGCGTCTGTCATCATAGAAGATTGGGTGCTCTATGCTAGTCACTGTAGTCGGTACTAAATACTATCAGTGAGAAGACTAATACTAAAGCACTATTTGTAAGAAATTCAATATAGGAAGCCCAATACTGGGTAGCGAATCCTATTTGCTAGTAAATCTTTAGAATAAAAGCTAGTATCTCATACCGGCCAAAAAAATTACAAGAGCAATTTTATTACCCGGGTAAGTGATGGATGAGGCAGGAAAACAAGATATTGTTTTTTTTCCTCACAATACAAAAATGACCAGTCAAATTCCCAATAAAAAAAAAGAATATCCACAGTGGACGCCTAGAATTACCAGTTCACAAACCAATGCACTCGAGGTGATTTTCGCTTGTAAGCGACGAATCTCCATTGGTCGGAGCATCACACGTATCATTATATTCAGAAAATACTATAGTCAAGTTGTATCATAGTCTCAAGTCGTACTCAAAATTGATAGATACGTAAAAATAGTACTACTGGATTTCGGTCGGTTCGAATTCATGCTGGCCACTTCCGGATATTTGTTGAAGTACGGAAACGGCAATGTTTATCACTGACACATTCCCGAAGCGTCTCCTGCACAACAGATGATACAGATGCAAGCGGTCTGTAGTATCACAAATCATACTAGTTTCGAACAAATCATGTTTGATCGGGGAGACTTTGCTTGCTGGCATTAATGCACTTAGCATGGATGTGGAGACTTATAGTTCGCCAACTCCACGATGCATCGCCGATCTAACTACGGCGATCTCCCTTGCTTCTTGCACGCCCCAATCTAGCGGTATACTACCTTCGCTATTTTCACCGTAACTTCGTGACTCGAGAAGGAATAATAAGCATACTGACAGACTTTTCATGCTCCTAGTGAATCATGGTATCGCTGATAAATCGCGTGGTAAATGCTTTTCTGCACCTTGATCTATATATGTTCTAGGGGTCTCAAGATCTACAAATGACGAGTCATTTGACAGCCCGAACTGCTAGAAGATGCGGGGTATATGAGTAGTAACTACTATGCTCTTTTTAGAGCCTTTAATCGAGAATGATCCACAAAAATAGACAAGTTAGTGCGATGCTATTGCGTCAGAGTACGCGATCTCATGATCCAGGGTCGTTTTAGCTTGATTCTAGACTTACTGAGGATCCATCGGGACTTGAACCTGATAGGTTCGGGGATAAGAGACGTGGTATTATAGATCAGTCCCATATAGAAAAGCAGTCTGTACAGTGTTTCCATGTAGGGTATCGTCACATAGCTCTTGAAAAGTACGAACTTCCCATCCGGGTACGTAGCATGAGACACCACTTTGGAGGACGGCTCGTAGTTAAGTGAGATAGCCCACCCAAACCCCCCGCCAGTTGTCAGTGCCTAGTGAGGAACATCTGGCTATGCATGCATTCGAGTGCATTAGCGCTTTTGTAAGCTCCCAGTCTTGATCATGTCCATTGCTGGTGGAGTCATGAGCGAAATGGTACTTCAGCTCAGAACCACCGAACTCAATAAATTTATTTCCTCGATCGGGATGTATTACAACGACATATTCTGCAGTTACATATTCAGATTTTGCAGGCTGAATATAAGTCCTTTCTGCGCACACTAAGCCAGTCACATGTTTTCCAGAACAGGCTTTCTACCCTTCCTGCTCGGGGTTGGGTTGTCTATAAGCCAACAAACAAAAGCTCTATCCGTCATACACACATCATCAGGACTGGTGCAAGGGAAACTCGCATCAGGAACAACGAATCAGGTTCAAGAGTATTTGGGTATACCCTACGTCAGTCTGAAACAAATCCGACAAAACATAAGACGGTTAAAGTTAATTTGCCGCAGGCTCAACCCCCAGTCAACGAATTACGATGGGCACCTCCTGAGCGATTCCATGGCACCGGTGTTATAGATGCTACAAGTTTTGTGAGTATATGCAATATTGCACCCAGATCTTCTGTCGTCAGGGACTTATATTCAGACAGGGCTATAGTTGTCCAGCGAATGCAACATTCGCATCCAGAGAGGAGCTAGAAACTCGGTCGAGAGAGTTCAGTCTCACGCCGCAGGCAATACCTATATTGGAAAACCTATTGGAACAGCCCAGCGTCCAATATAGCGAGGATTGTTTGACTCTGAATGTATGGACCAAGCCGTCTGTTAATACAACACTGAAGCCGGTTTTGTTTTGGATTTATGGAGGCGGTTTTAATACTGGTACTACCAATAACACAGCTTATAATGGCAAATATATCGTCGATCTTGAAGATGTGATCATCGTCTCTGCAAAGTGAGTATTCGTTGACACAATACCCCATGGGGAGAAGCTGACATAGATGTCTAAGCTACCGACTTAATATTTTCGGCTTCCCAGGAGATCCAAATATCAGAAATAATCTCGGGCTCCTCGATCAGCGTCTTGCAATAGAGTGGGTCCGTGATAACATTGCAGCCTTTGGCGGAGACCCCGATCGCATCACAATCTTCGGGCAGTCTGCGGGGGGAGAATCAGTCGACTTCTACACCTATGCGTGGACATCTGATCCAATCGTGGCTGGCTTCATTTCCGAGTCTGGCACAGTATATTCACCGGGAGCTCAGACTGATGAAGCTACTTCAGCTTCGAGATGGTACAATATTACTGCCACCCTTGGATGTGGAGATGCAAGTTCAGATCCCGATGCGTTACTCACTTGCATGCGATCCAAGGACTGGCAGGATATCCAAGACGCCATCCCAATCAGTACAGGCATCGCGAGCGTAATAGGCCTATTTGGCCCAACCGTCGACAACATTGTCGTCTTCAGCGACTATGCCGCCCGGTCAGCGGCAGGAAATTTTATCAAACGGCCACTGTTTCTAGGAAGCAACAACTACGAAATAGGCTTATTCCGTCCAATATTCGATGCCGAGAATGTGACTTTCACAGAAGCCCAATGGGACTATCTCAACTTTGTCATATATACATGTCCTACTGCTTACCGAGCCGAGGCTTCTGTAAGCAACAACGTTCCAACATGGCGATATAGATTTTTTGGAGAGTTCCCCAATTTGCGACTGACGGATTCTCCGGACTCTGGAGCTTGGCATGGAAGTGAAGCTATTCTTATTTTCAATACGGATGGTGATCTTGAGAAATTTGTCCCTCGAACAGAGCAGGAGACTGAAATTGCGGATTATATGAGGAAAGCATGGGTAGCGTTTGCTGTAGATCCGGAAAATGGCTTGGAGACGTAAGTCACTTTTCTTTGTGTGAATATAAGGTCCGGAAGCTGACATATTACTTTTAGATACGGATTTCCACAATATAACCCACTCGCAACTACTCTACTACAGCTGGGGTACAATAATCAAACCGGCCCACAACCTATAGCCCCATCTACGTACGATACTGGCTGCGTTCTTGGTACTACACTTGCAGACATACTTCTGACTTTGGAAAGTCTTGCATGACTTGGTAATTCGACATCTCATTCAACGTTGATTTATATCTTTGGCCTTGGAATGTGGCTTATGATATGTGAGAGTATATGTAATTTGTGATCACTGTACATATCTAATGAAATTTTGTGGTTCGACGTGGTAGTGTGATGGAAAATCAAGATAGATCACGAAGACGCTTTAATGATATTACAGCAAGACTGTAAAGTCAAAATTTAATTTTTAGAGTTGATATCGACAGCGATGCATGTTGAATTCTATGCAGGAATCTACCACTACCTGAAAGAAGAGACGGTGGCCGGGATACGGATATTTTCGAGATTCTTTTACTTTCTATAGTCCTATCAAGTCACAAGCCCGGCAGGATATTTGATTTGGTGGCAATAGAACAGAAGATGAACAAGGGTGCAATGGCTACTCAAAAATAGGTACCAGTTTGTCGGTCATCCGGTTCACAACAATTGCACTAATCCGATATAGGAAGTACTAATCTTCGCATGGCTATTTACTGGCTCTCGCCGAATGAGAATGTCTTCGAGGTAGAGTACGAATCTTGTGGCGACCCGCTTATGGTATCAGAAATTTACGGCGATATGACGTTTTTTGATTCTGTGATTTGTAAAAAGAAAACATGAAAAGCATGAAAAATCCTCATGAAAAGTTTGCGTACAAATTTTCAGATAGATGGCGAGTTTTAACATACGATGTCTCGGCCATCTCACCATAAGCAGCTCCTTTTTCGGAATGGCGGCAGAAATGTATTCCAGCCGCTGCCTCAGGAAGCATACACTCGGCAAAGACTCCGGTAGAGGCCAAGGCTGCTGCCAAGCAATCAATCAGAAAGTCTAATCAGAATTACCCAATGAACAGCCAGCTTATAAGCCTCGTGGGTCTAATGCAAGCTTGACTGACCAATGTTATGAGCTTGTGGCTTACACTTGAAATGGATCCACCAATGTCTGGTTGAGCCGTTGCATTAGTCCCCGCTAGTCAAAAAACCTTATCCGTCCTTCTTTTTCTTGCATCTTCTTTCTATGCTTGGTCATCTAATTGGGAAATTTGGTACATGATGTAAGCTTATACCAACATTAAAGAACCAATGGATTTGAATACAAATACAAGACTTGGTGCCGCGACCCAGACTTCTGACATTCGTGGAGCGACCTCCTCCGGCAATTGTCATCGGTTATCGGTTATCTTTGTTTCCTCATCGTTCGTCTCTTTCACCTGGGTCGACAAACACCATCCAAAGCTGGTACGTCACGCTGTTGGTGGCAAGCAGTCGCTAGCATGCTCTCGGGCTCCTGGATTTCGAGCATTCCCATTCGTCGTGGGTATCAGGAGTCGTGCACATACCTCTCTTTCTTCGTGAATGGTCTAGTCAGTGCTGAACAAATTTAATGCCAATCGGAATTTGTGTGTTGAACGCCTCGTCTCCACGTGTTCGCCCACTTTTTGCTTTATGCATAAGCGGCTGTATTATCCATTACTCATGAGCCAAGACATCTCGCAGCAAATGTTGAGATGTATAGAAGAGCTTTTACGCGAGCTAATCCGCATCAAAACACAGGGTATGGCTTTGTTCAGTCATTGTGAGATCAGTGAACCAGAATGTCGGGTGCCGAATCACTGGACCGGGTAAAAGGCACGCTCCCCCTGATACTCCAACATTCTAGAATTTATCCCAAATCGCCGGAAATGGCATAACCACCGCTATTCCAAAGAAAAGAAGGGTGTGTGGAGACCGGGGACCTGAGCGAAAACCTCGTGGAGGATCGCCACCCCGTCATTCCCCACGCCTCCATTGGATGTCAGAGACAAAGCCCTGAAGTTCCAAATCTTTCTTCAGGGGCGAAGATTCTATGAGGCATTTCACGAGGCGAGGAACAAGCGAGTAACCATGGAACTGGATTCAGGTGCTGAGTAAGATGAGGGCAGGATTTGAATATAAAAGGGGCCTCGAAATCATGCATCAAGTCGATTCTTCTTCTCGATCATCAACTCAAGTCATTCTCTCTTGACAGTCCTTCTCTTTTCAAAAGTCAATCTTTTGCAGTTTCATTCTTTCGGAAGAAATTCCACGTCTTTCCTTACCAACTACAAAACGTACTTGACATCTTTTGTCTTTCTTTCTTTCATCACCAAAACAAACAAAATGAAGGCTCAATTCATCGCTGCCGCCGCCGGTCTCTTCGCTGGTGCGCTCGCTGACCAGTCCATCTTCAGCGGTGCTGGCTTCGGTACCTACTACTACGATGTCGAGCAAGTCGACGCCTGCGGCACATCCTTCCAGTACCAGAACCTGGGTCCCGTCATGTGCAACCAGGAGACTGCATTGACCCTTGACGACATCAACTCCAACTACATCGTCGCCATGAACAACTCTCAGCTTCGCTCTGACCCTTCTCTCTACTGTGGAAAGAAGGTCGTCGTCTCCGTCAATGGTCAGGCTTCTGACCTTCCTCTCTTCATCGGTGACGGTTGCGAGCGCTGCGCAGAGGGCTCCCCCGATGCCAGTACCTGGAATGCTCAGGGTGCTCCCGGTCTTGACTTCAGCTTGTCTGTTCTCGATAAGATCACCGGTGGCAGTGCCTGCGCTGATGGTCATGCCGAAATCACCTGGGAGATTGTCGATGAAACCCTCTACAACTTCGATACCAATGCCCCAGGTCAGACCACCGGCCCTGTCTCCTCCTCATAAGTCAGTGACTATATGATATGGCTTTATGATATTTTACGGAATTCAAAGATGCCTTGATGGCATGAGGCTTTCCTTGCATTGGAGTTTGGCTCTGGTTTTTCTTTCTTAGAAGTACTATGTACTTTACTATTGTCTGGAACACACCACAGGTGGTGTGACTGGACTAAGTTCATATCATGTGTACTTTTTTTTTCTTTTCTTATCCAGATCATATCATATGTCTGGAAGACTTTATAGAATACTTTATAGATATCCACAATCGTTACTTTGATTACGCACTCATTCTTCTACCAGTAAACTCACGTAACATAGTATTACTAGACATTTCCATGAAATAGATTCATTTCCATATTTTCATTCATCTTAATAATCCCTTTCCTATAGTCAATTGTCTTCTCTTCTTTGTCGAACTCATCTCTGGATGGTCTAAACAGCTATAAGTCTGACGTATGCTCCAACATTAGGAGAGTCTTTAATTACATATTGCCAGATACTAAGTAATTCTCAACGATTCGATCATTGAATCTAGTCTATCTGATCTGATTGAGCTCGGAAGAAGCAACTACACGCCTGAAATACCGACTTTAAAGACCCAACCCATGTAAGGTAAACGTTCGCTCACAAGGCACGATGAAATTGATGCGGCACAGATACCTTTACACCGAGCTCTTTGGCAACATTAAGCACCCAAGCCGGATCGCGCAAAAACTGACGGGCGACAAAAACAGCATCTGCCTTTGGTTCCGAGCCGCTGACAAGAGACTCTGCAGCCTGCGCTTCATCCTTGATGATACCCGGGTAGGAATCGGCGCCTTCAACGATATCCTTAGCTTGAGAGGATGTAGTGACCAAACCCACTGCACCGACAAGGAGATTGTGAACCCCTGACTCGTGTAGTTCCTTGCGTACACGAGCGGCAAGGTCGATCTGATACGATGTGTGTGGGTCAATCTTTTGATCCTTATGATTTGCGCCAGAACTGACATCGATTAGATCCACACCGAGGCTAGGAAGTTCTTTGGCCAGTTTGATTGTGGATTCGGGATCCCAACTGCCAGACTCCTTCGCAACATCGGTGCCCTSGAGCCATTCTGTCGCACTGACTCGCAAAAAGAGTGGGACACCAGATGGGACAGCTTCGCGAATGGCTGATGCGATTTCTCGGACTATGCGGGTTCGGTTCTCGAACGATCCACCATACTGGTCGGTTCGCTTATTGGTAACTGGGCTTAAGAATTGATGAACCAGATAACCGTGCGCTCCATGAATCTCAACGACATCAACACCTGCTTTCACTGCTGTTGCCGCGGACGCAGCAAAGGCTTTTACAACATCCTTGACCTCATCAGTCGACAGTGTTCGCGGAACATGGTACTGCTTATCCTCCGCACCACCACCAGACCAAACCATATCCGGACCACCAGTTGGCGCAACGACGTTCTCAGGCCATCCAAACTGCGAACTCTCTGCCCTCAAACTGCGCACCCCTTGCTCAGCAGCTACCCAAGGCGGCGATACGCTCGCTTTCCGTCCCGCATGCGCCAATTGCACTGCAACTTTTGCGCCCTGCGCATGCGCAAAATCGACCAAACGCTTGAGACCGACGAATTGCGCAGAGTTTGTATCATGATCCCACAGCCCCGCATCATTCGGTGAGATACGTCCATTAGGCTGTACGGCCTGCGCTTCAATAATGATTAGCGAAGCACCTTTGAGCGCAAGGTGGCCCAAGTGCGCAATGTGGTAGTCCGTCAGAGCACCAAACGCAGGCGATTTTGGGTCTGGTTCAGCGCTGTACATGCACATCGGTGAGACGACAATGCGGTGTTTGAGAGTCACGTCGCGGATTTTGAGAGGGCGGAAGAGCGTGGGGACTGAGTTGATATCTTCAGTGATAGCGACGCCGGCATTGTTGGCCGGAGTGAAATATGTCAGGCCATCGGCTTTGACGACTTTGACGTCGGATGCGTTGATTGAGCCCATTTTGACGCCTCAACTGATCTAGGAGGGGTTGACTGTGGGAGATAGTGAAGTTCGGAAAGTAGTCCGAACTAAGATTTGCGACGATTTAAAGCCCCACCACCTTCGTATAACGCTCACAGCAAATAGGCCAACAGCCAGGTAAGAGGAGTATGAAGTAGATACTGAGTTGAATCGATAAAATGAAAAGTAAACAAGGATGCTTTGACTCTTATATAGATCGAAGAAAAGACGCTATATCGCGATGTCGACATCGAATTGCCACAGAAGCTTTCCCTGTCCCCGCTTTTAAATGATGTGTATTATAAATCAACATCTGAGAGTTACTCGTTCTTGATTCATGAGCTTTCTGATTGTAGCCGGTTATCGGCTAGGKAGGTTGATCATTAATAAACAAAAAAAGATTAATATAGATCAAGGTGCTTTTTTGTGTCGGTTATCCATGAAGTACATCGAGGTATGTTCGCAGATGCATATCCCCTGTAGGTCGGAAAACTGGATGAATACAAGCTTGATACAAAGTACATCATCGCCTACAAATGCATCAATTCAAGAGTTAGGAATACAATACATCCACCCCCCCTTAGAAATTACTAAGTGCTGCTCCCTCGCGCATTTACATATTTTATAGGGTTTTCGTAGGTGTAGTATGCTGCATGTTATAGGCTATAGGAAAGAATATTAATTACGTATATAAATACGTACAGGGGTGTCTGTGGAATCAAATTGTAGCTTATCGCTACTATTTCTAAAGTATTTGGAGCTTTGGAGACTATTTATACACCTTGGTCTATGTGTATTAAAAGTTCCCGGTCAATTTATAAGCACACTTTTGATGCCCATAACCACTTCGCTTGGTGGTAATTTCTACACAAAGTCCATGTGAACAATGTATTCTCTGTACATGTTGAATCTACGTGGGATACTCAGAATTATTGTTTGATTTGCTTTCTATTTGGGTAATGTAGGGGTGTGGATTTTTTCTTGGGAAGCATAATCCTGCCCAGCTACGACTTATCAATCTCTCATTTCAGAAGTAAGGAATACTTTTACTCGGTATATATATTGATATGGTCAGTGTTGAAATTCGATCCCACGATTTCGCGCCCCGTTACCTTCGACACGAAAGCGCTATTCAATGGCATGGGGTATCTTCATCCCTTACCTACCTAGGAAGTGCGTATAACAGCGTAACGAGTTGCTAACTGAATACTACTCTCTGCGTTGGAGGCTATCACCATTGAATGACTAATTCTGCGTGGAAGATTCTCTCCACGGCTACCAAGGCGCTCTCGTAGGAATGAAAGTCCGATGGCTCGGATTCTTCTATGCGCTTCTATAATCATTCAGCTTCTATAACAGAACGACGGGACAGCAATATATCCCAGACATCACAAACATGGTTTATCGTGTGGCTTCATACTAGAAATCCCGCTGACCCGATGCCTTGATTTTTTCAGAGGTTGGGTTCAAATCTAGAAATGGTAGGCAGCTGCCCAGGGAAAATCGTATCATCAAGACGGAAACTCGGACAAATTTTCGATCATTTCTTTTCGAATTTCTTGGTAGCACCAGATAAGATGCGCGGTTACCTCATAGAGTGGCTCTTTCCAATATTTTTTACAAATATGATACTCAATATAGTAATCCGAGGACGACGATCTGATGACTAGCCACGTTGACACACTACCAGAGGAAAAATATAATAAAAATGGACTATCAATAAGCCCGTATCTGCAACATGAATTTATCATATAAAGCTTAAAAGAAATCCTAGGATCCTTCTTATGACGTCGGATTCAGGATATACACGATATAGATTCGACATTTTCAGGTTCGTTCGCTCTTTACGGGTAGCCGCTATCTCGGTCCTTCGGAGTCGAGACCCATTATAACATTGCTCATAGACATGCGTGGCGCAACTCAATTCTTGATTGACTACGAATGTACGGAGTAAGCAGTAAGCAATTTCTTGATGCAGCATGAGCTATCTTGTGGCACCCGAAATCCAGTTGATGCCGGGGCAGGCGCTGTCATTCCACACCAGGTCGGTCTGGAATGAAACTAGCGGACGTTGTGCAACTAGTTTCAAGCCTTAGAACTTCTTTGCTCTTTCAAAGGTATGGATCACCAGGATTGACTGGAATAGGAACTATGTAAAGATTGATGATATAGTCATAGCAAGTTGGGTCTCGATCCCTGTAGTGAATTCTCACAATCAGACCAAATAGACCGACTCTATATGAATACCCATATAAGTAACGATGAATTGCTCCCAATCACATCTCGCTTCGAGTTTTAAAAAATTTTTTTATCATACATCCACTGAGACTTATGTATAGTCACAACCTCTATGAGCCTCTGGGGTTATTCACCATGAAGTTCCTCTCGATCATTTGCTTTTCCGTGCCTTTGGTATTAGGTTCGATCAACACTCGCGAATCCCATGGCACTGTCCCAATCAACTCCTACAATTACACGGCTCTCGGAGGTCCTCTGAACTGGTATGGATTAGATCCAACAGCCAATTCTGCATGTGCAGAGGGATCACATCAATCGCCCATCGATATCGTCACGGATTCGATTGATTATACCTCTCCTGGAACCGTGAATCTAAACATCACCAATGTCCCCTCGGCAGAATTTGAGAACCTGGGAACCACCGTTGAAGTGGTCATCACTAATGGATCATTGGTCGCAAATGGCACCACCTACACCCTTGCACAATTTCATTTCCACACCCCTAGTGAACACCGGATCAATGAGGAATACTATCCGATGGAGGCTCATTTCGTTTTCGGGTCCGAAGGTTCGCTTCTCCTACCAGTCACTACTATGCAATCTATACTAGTATCAAGAACTGATGAAAAGTAGACGGCCAAAATGCAGTTGTCGCCTTCTTGATCGAGCTCTCTACAAACGGCGATACCACTCCTCTCTTGAGCTCCGTCTTCTCTTCTTTGAGCGAAATTGCGACCCCCGGCACATATACCGAAACTGGTTCTCTTGACTTCACTGGAATAGTTCAAAGCTTCAACAGCTATGGCGTCTATACCTACAATGGCTCGCTGACAACCCCTCCGTGTAGCGAAAATGTTCTCTGGTTCATCAGCTCGCAGCCTTTATGGGTCAGTGCTAAACAGTATCGGGCTGTAAAGGGGGTATTGAAATTCAATGCTCGGTACACTCAGGATTCTTTGGGCCAGCCAAATCTGTTAGAAGTTGCTGCTAGCGAGTTGCACTAGGTCTTAATAGATCGTTTCTCAGTCGGAGCTCTGAGCGTAACGATCGTCGAATAGGGAGCCATGCAACTATTTTGATGTTAGCACTAATGGCCAATAATAGAATCAATTCAGATGAAGTTGGAATAAGCGCTGATAATGACGACGGTCGTTTTTATATAGTACTTTAATTACAAGTAACACTATTAATGAATTTACTATATGCGAACCAGCATATACATTCTTTTACGAGCTTTTTGGAGTAGATATTTTTCCAGCTATATGCAGGCGGTGCTAATATATTACTTGTCTTCGGCACTCATAACACATCACTTAAATAAATCAAACCTCCGAATCCTCAACATGAGCCCCCTTGCTTGCAGTGGTGTGTTCGATGTGAGCCGATCCCTGCAATTTGCTTTCCGCCAACATGTTCTCTCCCTGGATAGTGTGGTTTGCACCGCCGAACAGAACATCAATTTCTTCCAATGGCACATTCTTGGTCTCTGGGATAAAGAAGAACACGAAGACTGCAAGTAGGATATTGATTCCAGCGAAGAAGTAGAATGCGTAGAATCCGTCGTGGCTGAGGAAAGTTGGGAAGAATTGTTGGAAGATGGTGTTGGCGACGTTCTGGGTCTGCGAGGCCATTCCTACTGCTTGAGCACGAACGTTCATGGAGAAAATTTCTGATGTCCAGATCCAGACTGTGGCTCCCCAGGAAGGTTTGTCTGTAGTATGATGTTAGTATTTCTTTTGGAGAGAGACAGAAAGGGGGTTCGACTCACAGAAAAAGATGAAAAAGAACAGTAAAAATACCAGTGCTATACCAACGGACTCCGTTTTCGCACCGCTAGGCGTGTTTGGTGTTTGAGTTTCGACCGTCGCCACAATGATCATGATTATACCCATGCCGATACCACCAACAATCAGAAGGAATTTACGACCGAATCGGTCAATCATCCAGATGGCATTGAGTGTGAACAGGATACCGAATGTGGCGTTCAAAGCGTTGATCAGGGCAATCTGACTAGAAGAGGTGAAGACCTTTTGGTAGATGATGGTAGAGTAGGAGTTCAAAGATCCCTGTCCAGTCAACTGCTGTCCGGCGTTAATCACCAAGGCCAAGAGAAGACGTTTGCGGATAGACTTGTCTTTCCAGAGAGCACTGTATGTGCTGGAAATGGCCTCCTTTTCGTATTCTAAAGCTCCGCGAATGTGGGTGAGTTCTTCCTCGACTTCCTCCTCAGTGTCGCGGACACGACGCAAGGCATTACGGGCCTTGTCGATATCGTTGTGTCTCTTGATGTACCATCGAGGTGTGCCCGGAATTGTTGGCAATAGAATGAGAATGAGGATGGGAACCAAGAGTTGGAAAATGACGACCATCTTCCAGTCCCATTCACCGAGGCGTGCAGTGTGCTTTGTGCAGCCGTAATTCACCCAGAAGCAAATGAAAGATCCAACGGAGTAGAACGTCTGCCATAGGGTCATAATTTTACCGCGAATTTGAGGAGGAGCAAGTTCTCCAATGTAAATCGGACCAGAAGCTATGAGCAAAACCTTTATTAGCAGGTAATCTTCAATTGTCTCACACAGGTCGAATGAAGAACCACTTACTTAGAGCAATACCCTGTCCGATACCAATAAGAACTCGTCCACCCAAGAAGCAACCAATGTTGTGATACGGAGCAAAGCATTGCAAGAAAGTCGCGACGATAACAAACACGCAGCCAATACCCATACCGACTTTACGTCCAAAATAATCGGCAATGGGTCCTCCGAAGAAGAAACCGCCGATAATGGCTCCGACCGAGTAGACGGTGGTGATTGTACCGATAAGATTACTGCTAGGGTGGTTGAACCACGCTTTCCAGTGTGCAGAACCTTGGACCGAGTTGAAAACAGAGGCGTCGTAGCCGTATAACACCATACATGCTGCGGCGACGATTGAGATGTACCTGAGATGATGAGCATTGAGCGGCACCGATACAGGAGAAAGTGAGTGGCATACCAATTGTACAATCTCTTAGAATGGAACATATTGCCCGCCATGGTCGCCACGATAATTATCAATGGACACGACGTTTGTTTGTGCTTGTACTTCCGAGGCCTTGATCAGTCAGATCCTCAGTACACTCACAGAGCAATTGGGTTGACTGCAAAAATTATTTCTAAACCTGCGGTCAGCGACAATGTATTTATCATTATTTATTATCATCTTATCATGCATAGGACTAGTAACCAAACACGTGCTAATTTGTATTGCGCTTTATTACACTCCGGACTATGGCTTGCCTGACTGAAATATTTTCCACCACTCACGTCGACCCCAGATTCGCGGCCCCCTGGTTTTCCACACTCCGCAAACCCCAACATTGGGGAATTGCACTAATCAACGCAACCAGCTGACTTTTGCCTGAATCGAATGTTTTTCCGATATTGGTCGAAGTCTATGACTCGTATACTTGAATAGGTATATCGAGCGTTTTATTGCATGGCGACATTGTCCAATGTTCCTAGTAGATACGTATGCAAGTCCGAAATAGGTATAGCTTTGAACGTTATTATTGGTGTAGGGTTGAACAAAAGAATTACCATCTATTTATATTTAGGAGAGGTATTGGTCACTTGAACATAGTGAAAGTCCGCTGGCGTGGAACAGGGATGGTATGTGCCAAACGCATATAATCCCAACATAATGCCTGTGAATTGAAGGCCAATTGGAGGTGGCCTCGTCATTATCTCATTAGTCACTTCGCCTAGGTACTGAAATTGCTCATGAGTCGTTGTATCGCTGTCGATAATTTCTCTGAAGCTGAATCGATATCGATCTCCGCAATTAATCTGTAGGATAATATCGGAGTCCAAGCTTTTGAGTTCGTGCTCAATCACGTCAACGCCACTTCCAATTGGAGGAGTAAATCGGATTATTCTTCGCAAAGCTTTTCCTTTAGGGGAATCGTTAGTGCCACTGCTGTTATAGTCCTTAAGTCGAATGCCAATAGTGCTGTATGTGAAATAGTCCATCCACACAACTGTTCCAGCCTCTGTATACAGCGAGGAGGGAGTGAACGACAGACGGGTCTCCCAAGTACAAAAACGCTCGGATTGTTTGCGCAGAAAAAGCGTTGGGCATGCTGGATCAGATAATTGATATGGGCCTCCGTGAATTCGGAGATGACTTGGGCTTCCAATCAAGGAATAATCTCGTTTCTTAGGCGTATCTATGGGTAGAATCATGGTTAGTGGTCGGTGTTTGCTTGCTTCCCTGGATAGCAAACCAGCGCAGAGGAAGTTGTACTTGCTTTTACGATACCATCCGAGTTGCAAATCTGTGTCTGAAAAATCGTCTATCCAGATCTTTGGTTTCTTCTGCGCAACAGCCGGCTGACCGGACTGCAGTGAGATTTTCTGGCCTCCATTGAAGACAGGCCAGTCGTCCACCCAGTCAACCGGAACCAAGAATGTTTCGCGACCTTTTCTTGTCAAAATTGTATCAATGAAATCGCGAAATGCAGTTACTCACCGAATACAGATGTCTCCCACTTTCCCTTGCTCTTCTTGACGGGACGAACGGCGAGAAGCACAGCCCACCAATTGCCGTCAACGTCCTCGACGAAATCCGCATGACCAATATTCTGTACATCATCCTCGACGGTATTGTGACACAGTGGGTTATTAGGTCCTGCCTCCCATGGCCCGAAAGGGCTTTTGTCGCTTCGGCAAACCCATTCACTATGTCCGCTCTCGGTACCACCCTCGGCAGTGAAAAGATAATAGTAATCGCCCCGCTTGAAGATGTGTGAGCCTTCAGATATACCGGATGGTGATTCTCTGATAAGGCGCGGCTCAGAGATAGAGTTTCCGGTCTCAAGGTCGACGGTGCAAATATGAATGGCGAAATCTTTCAGGTTGACGCCCGGCGTGCGGTGAAGCTTTCGGCGGGTTGTGGAAAGATATACCGTTCCGTCGTCGTCCCAGAAGAGCTATGTAACTGATTAGAACTTATTACAGATTTACCCGTAGTCATTAGATATACTAGGTAATGAGAGTGACAAACATACATCCTGATCAAATCCTACTTCATCAAAATATACCGGATCCGACCAAGAAGTCGTGTCCCAAATATTGTCGGTCTTGACATAGAATCCTCGCGGCCACACCCGATCATCATCCTGGGGACGATAACGCTCAAAGCTTGCAGTAATTACATAAAATATGCCATTATGATACCGAATTGTCGTAGCCCAGACGCCACTACCTGGCTCCGGGGTGTGTATCTGTAGCTGGCTTGGTCGCGTCAGAGCATGGCCAATCAACTTCCATGAAACCAGATCTGTACTATGATATATTGGCGCCCCCGGGAAATACTCAAATGTCGACGTGACCAGGAAATAATCCTGGTCGACGCGAACGATCGAAGGGTCCGGATTGAATCCGGTGATGATAGGGTTTGCATAGGACTTCGCCACGCGATGTGAACTCATTTTCCTGACTCTTTGGCTCGATCCACGTGAGGTTCGAGATCATGGAGGCATACGTACTTCATGATTATTTGCCATGTGTTCATGCGAACTTTTATAGTTTGAACAGCAAAACGCGAGAGGTGATTGAAGGAATTACTTTTATGTGATTGGTGGATAAATTTCTGAACACGCGATGTGGATTCCCCGCATCCATGCTATCAACATGGGGGTGGATCTTAGCTGTTCATACAAATGACCTCTTGACAGCCGAGAAACGCCTACGTTCTTGGCGATAAAAGCAGGTTGTTGATGTGCTCGCGATCTTTACTATTTGTTTTAGTCGGAAGGAAGAATATTTGCCATGTTGTCGCCGTCAATTCTAGCCAATAATGGAGAGAATGAGACACGACAACCCTGTGCATTGACCTCCAAGTTGAATATAGACTTGTCCAGGCACATTAAGGATATCACGTCTTGAATACTGCATGGCCAAGCAGCTACTGGTGTCAAGTCGAACACACGCTCCCGAAGGAATCAATTCTCAAAACTGGCGCATTAGACCACTCTCCCACCTTGCCGTTGACAATGGATCTGCTTCAGCAAAAATCATACAGTGGGTGTACGCGGACCTACGAGGAGGGTGAAGAAGCCGATCGACCATCCGCTCCCAGAGTAACCATATAGAAGAGACATAATAAATAAGTAGAGTTGTCACTGTAAAATAGTGCTCTTCTATTAGCTAATGCCCGGTAGTTAGGTATTTGCCATGTTTGTTCGTTACAAGGGGGCAATTCGTCGGAGAAGGAGCCATGTTGTAATGAGATCAAACAGGGAGTGCTGTAGAATCTAGGAAGATTGTCCTTGGTAGTCGGTATGACGGAAGCTGGTTGTGGCGACTTCTGGAATAAAGACCTGCTCAGAGAATTGATGCAGACATCTATTGATGCTGTGCCTGAGACTGTAGCACTTCTCGCTTTCTTGAAATGTTGTGCATGTCATTGCACTATGCCCTTTCTGACCACAACCGTAACAAAGTCTCTCGGGGCATTTAATTTCGACTATATATGTTCACAGTTTTGAAGGCATTACCGAATTGTAGAGTCTCTCGTTATATCCTCCCCGAGTCCAGCGGCCCTGAATAGGTAGCGTGTTGGGAGTGGCACCAGATTAGAAAATATATGCTAATGAAAGATTATTGGAAAGAATCGTATCAAGGAGCAGTCGGTGGAAGGGGGCCTCCTTGCATTGTTTAATCAGTTGTGGTATAAAGCGGATTAATGCCTACGTACCGCCCATTAACGCCCACACGAGGTCCGTCATGTCACAAGGCTTGTTCGAACCAGGATATATCTACAATTACTTTGAACATTGCAACACATGACTGATACTTCTATCTACATATTCTGCGACATGTATCATCTCCCATGTACTGTAATATAACAAGAGCCCGTTTGATCCACAAATACGTCTATGAAGAGGATAATTATGTACAATGGACTAACCTTTAAGGGTATCGTGTGGTTTTGTGTGGTGAAAATAAATCAACCCTGCACTGTGGTAGTCGTCTCATTACAAGTGGTCAATGTTGCCGCATTAGGACCAGTAGTAATGGTCTGGCATCCCGGAAGCGCTGAAAGAACTCCTCCGTATGTCAACGCTCCCCCTTCAGGGTTATCAATTTCAGGATATGTCCATCCAGTAGCCTCGTTGGTCAAAGGCTTTAAGATGCAGGAAGCAATTTGCTCGTCGGTATAAATCCCTCCATGGTTTCCAAAACAGGTATCATCCGATAACGCAGGGTTACCAGTGTTTCCGGGTATGCATGTCGGCATTGTTGCGTTGAGAACGCCGGCTTCCCAGCCGTTCAAAAAGTCGACGTGGAACCCATAACCAGTGGCATCACCCATAGTCAAGACAAAAGGATTGTCGTCGGCTGTGTACAATCCGTCGAATGTGTCGATGTTAAGCCAATACTCGACGAAAATTTGCGGGAAGCGAGCGACATTATGAGTGTCAGGACAACCAGCAATACCATCAGCAACTGGGTATGCCATGTGCGCAGAGGGATTCGTTGCATCAAAGTCTTGTCCATTCCAGCAGGATGGCATGGTGATAGAGGCAGCAAACCCATTTGGGCATGCTGTAAAACCTGTGGGGAAGCCCACGGACTCGAAATCTGGGAAATCCGTGGTTCCATTCCCGTGGCAGTACCAGCTTAATCCATTGCCATATGGGCCCATAAGTGTGGCATTCTCAGCACGTAGCGTTGCATCGCCAGCCATCATACGGAACTCCTGGGGAAACTCCTGAATGTCTTTGTCGTAAGTGTTCGAGCCGGTGCCGTATTTATCTTTCACAAGGCTAGTCAGTATAATTGATTTTCAAATCAGATAAAAGACGAACAGTAAATCTTGTGATATGGCTGCTCAGGAACACGGATAAACGATCCATTTTTCGGGTCTTGGAAATACAAGTTCGGCATCCACTGAATATCATTAGTCTGAACAAGGATGTACTCTGTGTCAAAGAGGAAATCATACGTAGTTGGATTTATCAGCAATCGGTTGCACGGTAGAACATGTAGATGTCTGAGTCTGGGCGTAATCCATGCTTGCTGCGAATCCGTTACCCCCAACAACACTGTGTACATGCTGTGAAGGGACTTTTCCTGCACTGAGTATAGGATCAAGGCGCTCGATTGTGACTGGCATGCCCGTATTCAGCACGAAATAGTATCCTTGCTGGGCCGCTGCAGGCACGACCAGCAGAGCGAGCGCACGGTTGATACGTGACAACATTTTGCTAATCAAGAGGGCCTTCTGAACTTGTCCCCGATACCTAGTGAGTAAAGTTTATCATGTCCTACGATAGGCCCAGGGCCGATATGTTGGACATCTAAGCTTTATAGATTTGTACAAGTGCATATGGCAGATAGCTTGATCCATGATCGTCGGTGGTATTTCAAGCATTCGGTGAACTAGAACTGTAGAAAGTTATTACTGTAAGAAGATGCCCTGACAGTGATAGTATCACGTCAGCAATTGAAACCTTTCACAACGCTAAAAAGCTTAGTTCGATCATACTTACGTCCAGAGAAAATTTTTGGTCATCTAAATGCACCCGTTTCACCTGAATTATACCATAATTACGATATAGCGCGTGGAATTACCGATTTAAGTAGTACTTTTAATTTTTTGTTTTGAGGTTACATCGACATCGTGCTAATTTGAAATGCAAATCCTTACTCGTGCTAGCTTATATCCTTGATCAGGAGCCTAGCGAGTTTCAGGTACTCGATAGCGGCATTGCGTGTTCTTAGTCCCCCTGTTTCCTCAGTTGTGGGTCGTTCGAGAACGTCGTGACAGTCAGGCACTGCATGCTGGGGCCGAGTAGTGATCATCGATTCCGGTACAAAATGAAACGTTGTTTAGGGCCTTGCCTTAAGATTCATGACTACGTAAATATGATCCAGCCCCCGATTTTTCCAATTATCATATTTCGGGAAGTGAGAGTTTCCAGATGCTGATTTTTTTCTTTTTTTTTTATTAAATTTATCGTGAGCGAAAGGGTTGAGAATTGGTGTTTCAGGAGAATTAAGCTACCACGTTTTAAGGATAGGATCCGATTGAGTTGTAATTTCTTAACCTTCATGCCTTGTATCGGAAAGTTTACAGTAATCTAGACTACAACGAGAGTACCTAAGTGTCATAGTGTAACAGTATTATGCAGTCCTTCTTATACATGAGAAGAAGCTTTGATGACGAATGGATTCGGTGGAGAAGGAGCAGTTATTAATTCATCCTTCTCTACCTTCAATTTAAGCCATTCACCATGATTGGTGAATTATAATCCTTATTATCGGACGTGATTTAATCGTTCAATCGTATTCATTGAGGTTTATATGCGCTATCTTTCCGTTCATACCGACAGACCATAGCGGAACCTAGCAAACATCCATAATATGAAACCCGTTAACGCCTTTGAGTACAGAAAAGAAACAAAAGCGACGCCGGGTATATCAGGAAGACGAAGTGGTACATGCACTAGACGGGCAGTAACCATGATTGCAACAAAAACTACACAAGCCTAAGTACGAGTCATCCTCGCTGGCCAGAGGTACCCCGTTGATACCCTGAGTCGCTGGCGTTGGGACCGGAGTGCCAGACGAAGTACACGTGCAAGGCCCCGCAGGACAATATCCATAACTGCAAGCGAACGAGCATAGACCGACATAATTCCCTTGTCCGTAACCGGCAACACACACTGCAGTAGTCGTCACTGCCGCCGCAAAAGTCTCGGACGCTGCTGAAGTCGTCGTTTTGGTCGGTGTGTATGTGACTGTCACAACCGCCGTTACTGTAGGTGCTGCGGCTTTCTGGATCCCTCCAACCGCGCCTCCGACAATTACGCCAATAGCTAGAAGACTAGCTATGACTCCAAATACTATCCAAAATGCCCTTTGCGGCATGCCGCATATTGTTATTCGAGTTGGCGGTCTATTATTTTCACCGGGTGTTCGGATCGGAACTTCCGAGCCTGAGCCTGCGGAGGGATAGTGTCTCGCATCATTTGCAGCTAAGTAATCATAAATCCAGTCAGAAATCTTTCAAGCCTAGAAGTCTGATATCTGAAAGATGTTGTGGTACTTACCATGACCTGAAGACAACCAATTTGGGTAGAATGATCTTCGGACTTCAGACACCCTTCTGTAATGCTCAAGATTGCTTGGTGGAACAACTTCTAGAGTGCTATAACCATTTCCAGCTTTCTCGTTTATGCTATAACCATGGCTAACATCAGATGAGGGTGAGGAGGGCGAGAAAGTTTCGGAAGATTCGGAGGCAGGCATTGTCGAGTCTTTTGTGTTTTTCGTCAAAATCAATGAAGCAAGAGGAGTCGCTTACGTGTCAAGTCGCATTAATGAATTGTGCTCACGGTGGAATGAACATCATTGGATTGTGTTTGCAGTAAGTAAAAGTCCAAGATATCTCAAAAGTCCACTCCGTATTAAGAGATCTTCACGTCGCAACCACCAACCCATCATGTGACAAATAATGCTGGCAAATAGTATCGTTACTGCTTGTTGGCAAAATAATCGTTTTTTTACCAGGGTATATAAGCAACACTAATTGCATCGATAATATATCTCTAACAAGTAAAGTCTGGAAACTAGGCCAGAAAAATACAGCGCCTCACATCAAAGCTAGCTTCGGACTCCTGAACTGGGCTTAGATGGGTTAGACTTATGGACCCCAAAACCAACGGGCACTTAACAAAACCCATTTTATAGTCATCTTCATATCTATCTCACCAATAAGAAATTTCTGACTAGCACTAAATGAATTAACATGAACGCCAAAGTTCTATGGTGTAGGTGCCGTTCGCTGGGACTGTGTGAGTTGCAGAATTAGTCTATTATTCTGCCAATTAGTGGGAATTGATTTACGAGAGGCTGATGAAAGGCTCTTTTACGGTAAGGCCACTACTACTGTCAGAGTCAGCAGTAACTACTAACTACTGACTGGTTTAAGTAGCCAGCCAATTATGCGACATTATCAAAGCATTTACGTGAAATTTGGAGAGCTAAGCCTCCTAGTTACTCTCAAAGCTAGTTCATGTTTGGCAGCTTCGGTATTTCGTCCGTTATCCCGATCACCATGAACTGAAGGGTAAATGTTCTCGAATCATGACCGAGTGCTTATCAAGTGGCCCATCATTGGGTGGAGATTCGTTAAAGGCGGACCGAAGAGTCAAGTTCATTTTCTCGGGTTCTGGGAACCCGACCACAGAAGTTGGCGCTTCTCAACTTATCACTAGTTTCTAACATATATACAGCCTAGCTCGGGTTGGATACTTAAACTTCGGACATGTGACAGTGATTACAAATGGGTGTCCAGGATAACAAAGGTAAGTCTGATGGCTTTTTACAAGTTTAGGTAACTTCAAATCAAATGTTCATTCAGCTAAGTCATAGAAGACTCAATTGAGTAATTAGATCAGATCATCCTGCTTCTTTGCCACAGAAAACAGATTGAAGTAAAGCCGAAAGACAGTCTCGGCACTGAAGACTGCGACGTCAACAACGAATGAATATGGCTCTTCTTGCGCCGATTGGGTAATGTACGTTGCGAATGGGGGAAAAATAAAATCCTGTACCGCTAATCGCCGTTTCTAATAGGCAACCAGCAGTCTTCACTTGGCGGCCAGTTCTACGGAGTGCAAAGATAATGGGTTGTATGTCGCCTTCGAAGATCAATAGCATAAAGTCCATCATGAAAGCCGTCAGACCAGTGGTATTCATGCAGACGACCGAGAAAAGTAAAGCTGCAGTATCGTATGAATCTCTGCTGCTGCTTACTCGACTTCCCCCTGTATCTCGCTTCGCGTTAAGACTTCAAGTAACTCGTGGCATCCATTGATATTTCCAGCACGCAGTCTTGTCCTATCTTCGTTTATACTACCCTCTTCAGATATTCCAAGAGATGAAGGAAATTGCGCATTCTTTTCAGGGTTTCTTATCTGGTGGCGAGCCCATTGGCAAGAGGCTTCAAGCTCGGCACACAAGTACAGATTATCGCTATATTCTCATCCACGATTGACCACCGGAATGAGGATGCAACAAGCTCCGTGTGATCTTCAGTAAAGCTAACTTGGAGGAAGACGGAAACCAATTTGTCCAATCAAACATGTATAGTCTTGATATACAATGTCGGCTATACTGTAAGAGAATTGACTTTGGAGTTGCACGATGCGGATAACATCTACTACAATTACCGAGAAGCCAACACCAAATGTAATAACTAAGATTTATATCTGCTGCCAGGGTAGGCGCATTCGAGTGGGAATAGGATCGTCGGATAATGATGGCACGATTGTTCACTATATCATAAGACAGAACAGCCAGGGAAGAGTCGAAAATGTCCGTACAATTTTCGTCACTTTGGGTGCTGAAGCGGAATATTGCGCTCACTAGGTGGCACTGGTAGACTTCGCTCAGAGTCAAGGTCATCCCTATCATATTGACCACAAAAAGAGTCAAATAAATTGCAAAATGGAAAAGACCTCTGCCACGGGTGATAGCTCTAGATAGAAGACAAGAATGGGCTTTGTGACCATCAAAACTGGATTCTAGGTGTTGTAGATTAGTAGTATTTCTTTTTTGCTAGGAAATTGGCCAACTCACGTAAAGAATGTTATTGGCATAGAGTGCTTTATGACAATTCTTCGTTCTGCGGCTTGACGTCAGTGTTATGGCTTCCAAGCCCTTTCGATATTGCATGGAAGAGTGAGAATGATATCAGCATATCCATACGAATAACATCAAATATTTATGAATACCGCCTTCTTAGCTATGAGATAGCAGGAACTTAGATGTAATGCCACAAGAACACTTTCCAGAACAAATAAAATGATTGAAATCGGGAGAAGTTCCGAGTGCATATTGCCCATTGTGGTTTAATAACAAGGATTTCAATGCATTGCGAAGTCGAAAATTGAGGACGATGATACAAACAATAGAAAACCAGAAGTGGCAAAGCCTGAAGCAAACGGAGATGTGGATGCAATTTTGAGGCAATGTATTACGTACCTCGGTACCTACAGAGAGTACAACGACGAGAAATACATGCTCAACAAAAAGAAGGCGGAGTCACTTGAAAATTTTTGAATCGGAATAAAATTTCTTTCAAGTTGCGTTTTGTTAGTTTTTCGCTTACAATACATTAACTTCCCAAAGTGCAATTTAGCCCTTACTTGGAGGCCACAAGATCATCCACCTCACTGTCTCGAGCTCCACAGATTAAGATATCTCAGCATACAATACATCTAGACCATAATGGCCTAATGCTGCATAATATCCGAAAAAACACGGTTCTTAAATAGTCCTCGCAATGGTTATCACGCGTAGCCGGGTCTTACATTGCAGCATCTTATAACACAGAGAAGCAGTGACAGCCTTTGTTAATGAAAAATCGAGCAAGACTTCATCGTATCTGTACCTACCTTTGTTCCTCTTCTTGAGCCGTCAGAAAGCTTCTAGCTTCCATTAAACTTTAGCGAGTTCGTCAGCGGTTCAAATGGCTGGAGAAATCGAGACGCACCCATGGACGGCTAGGATACATTTTATCTGCCTACCTATGTAGAGATCATCGATATCAGAACGGATCTAAATTCCATTTTTATGCTATATTATATGCTAATTACTGTCAACATAAGACACGTTTATAATGGCAAGAAAACTCCACCCCGATTTAACCCCGTGTTATACCCCACAAGTTCGACGAGACTTGATAATGCAATGTATATGAGTGAGTCGTGAATAGAACCATATTTCATATGTAAGTTCAGAGCGTCGTATGCTCTAATCGCTTTCAGCAATGGTAACAGTCTGGTTATGGTATTCGACTAATGGATAAGTGCTTGCCTATGGCGAGTAAGATTAAATTAGTACGCATGTTCGAAACAGACGGAACTGTTTTACTTACCCCGACGAGAGAAAAGTGGGCAACAGTAACGATACCATTCTCGGCAGCGACTCCCTCGGGAATCTCCAAAGTGAAGTTCTGGTAAGGAGGCAAGTATGTTTCGTGAAATTGAGGGTCGAAGGGCCCATTATAAAGTACAGTACCCATGCTTTCCTCTGGAGAGCTGCACGTAGCGCCGGAGCCGCACTTGTTGATACCGATGACAACGGCAATTTCTTCAGAGCCAGTCAAGGAGTCCTGCAGCATGTAAGTTCGTTAGTGGCTATACCAGAGATATTTTGATATTTTCGATGGTAGAATTTAACTCACCGGACGCTGGATCTGAAATGTTGCATTGGTTGAAGTATAAAGTTGAGCGCCTGCTGTAGGTAGTCCGATGGAGACAGACTGTGCAAGCGTAGTGCTTGCGATGAGACCTAGTGACAAGATAGTTTTGTACATTTTGATTTAGGTGAGTAGTTTATTTCTTTGGGTAGCAGAAGTTGCTGTAATTATTTTTAGGTTGAAATTTGAATGTTGCTTCGAACTTGAAGGAAGTAGTCGATGTTTGTGATGATACTATCCGATTTGTACCGACCAAGGTGATGATATAGGTATTTATATTGATTGCTTCATGTGGATCGAGTCGAGTTTTCGGGTAAGATCTTCTACACATCCGCTTTGAACCTATCAAGTGGCATTGCAATTGAGACATGAGCGGCTGTGTCTATATTTAAGATAAGACAACAAAGAGGATGCCTAACAAATTGGAATACGTAAGCTTTTCTTTTCTTGTTCTTTCCTGTCTAAAATGTCTTTCTTTCCTTTTCAACTCATGATTCTCCATAAATGACGTGTTGAGGGTTGACCCAGCAAGGATCGACCTTGCAGCTCGCTTGATTTGAGACATGCCCAGCTTTTTCCTTCCATACAAGGCGGGAATATTTGCGGAGAATTTGCGAGTTCGACCATTCGGAGCCGAGAGATCATGGCTAGCTGGACCAATCTTCTTAATTCATTACTTAATAGAGTAGGTTCCGGCCTATGAGCTGTTCCTCGGTCCGCCGCTTTGTTCACAGAGCATTGTCGACATAAAACGTGCACATATCGCTCTGAAACTTTCTGTCTGCTGGTTAGCAATTAATTCTAGTCATGTCTCGGGTTCAAAATGCAACAAAAATTTCTCCAGGCATTCGTTACAATTGTTAGGATGTAGTTGCTAGAAAACCAGAATAACAAAAAAAAACAAATAAGCAACATGATCTGCAAGCCACTCAGCCGTTCCGGTGTCCTGGAATCCACTGCTATTGTAGGCGCATTTACGTTTCGGATCATCGGCTATCTAGAAGCCGCTCAAAACCTCAGCTGTCAATCTCCACCAGCTGGATGTCTTACCTATTTTTATTACGGTGATCTGATTATTAGGCCTACCCTTTTGATAGGTAGGATGAACTTACTGGTACAGCCTTACTTTCAGGTCACAATTCAATGAATATTCAACCAAGTCGCTGCACCACGAGTACATATTTGTCGGTTTCCTAGTCCCTAAGACTGATTAGTATCCATGTTGCGCTTACATACTTAAAACTTCTTTCGCCAAAAGTAATTGAGCATGAGCCAAGATTTAATGTCTTATGAGGAGTCTGCGCGCCACACAAAAGTACTTGGGCAAGATACCAGCTATTTTTGGATCGTAAGGCCCATATGTTTTAAACCATTGGTGATCAACTTGACACTGTCGAGGTCCTCTAATATCATTTTTACATGCGAAGCCATGAACTGTGTCATAAAACCCGGCCAGGGTCCAATCCACCTCACGGACAGCATTTCTATTGACTGATATAGCAGGAATTTAGTATCTCGTTGTTGTTCAAATCGTTCTGGTCATCATCAACATCATCCTGGACTAACAGTCTTCTCTCTTGGCCGATGGAACTTTCGATCATATTATAAATAAATCTAAACCAGCAACAACTCCCTTACCGCAAATTCTGGCAATTGATAGCTCGGATCCCATTCATGCGCGAACTGCCACTCCCACTTTTCACCGTCCTCGGAACCTGCAATTACTAGCAATGGTCCCTTAACTGCACCTTGGTACTGGAATGGGCGAGGAATGAAACTTGGTCCACTGACTCCACGATCTCTGGCAGAAGGAAGCAAAAGAGCAACCTCGGGATACTTTTTCAAGACAGGTGCGATCACGGAACGGATCTTGTAAAGGCTTCTCATGTCCAGCTTATCAGTTGCGCCTTTGTTGTAGGTAAAACCTTCACCGAGTTCAGCGTCGTGGTACTTCAAACGCAGCCATGTGGGCAGGGCTCGGGAGCGACCGATAACGCAAGCTAGCCATGTCGCTTCAAAGCCTCGTTCAGTGATAAAACCTGCTACGCTATCGTTTCCATCATATGCAGGATACTGTTCTGTTTGTGGGGTACCAGCCGTGGGTGGTAGGAGATTCGGGCGTGATGGTGCCCAGCCGAATCCATACTCTCCCTGTAGACGTGGACAGCTGGAGACGAGAAATTTGGTTGATAGCGAATTTCCAACCGCGGATTTCCAAAAGTCCACAGACGTCTTGAACATCTTGGAGCCGCACACCAGACTCCAGATCAGAGTTACGTCTCGGTCTTTGGTGGCGTGTCTGTGGTTCAAGAGGCACGTCGCCCGCTCTATTGGGACCGGGGGTATCTCACCTTCTGCCGGGCGATCGGTAGTGGAGATGTAGTGATGCAAAGTCAAGCATGGAGATACAAGAGTGAGACTGCTGTATGCTAGCACATCATTAAGGACATTTCTCAGAGATATAGTATGGTTGTCTTTGCACAAGATGTGGAGGTTCCAGCTGCATCGCATGCCTTCCAAGAGCGTCCAGGCACGAACATTCCAGTCACATACAACAATAGTTGCCACTATCGCCTCTTTTGCCTCTAGAGAGGGTGGATCTATACTAATTTCCATAAGGTCGCGGTCGACTAGCAAAGTAACCTTGCTATTCAGGAAGTTGTTATTGATTTGACCCATTGCCTCGTAACGCAGATCCATATCTGTGGGGATACAGGGGCTATCCATCCAATACGACGTGCAGCCTAATGTCTGCGCGAGCTTAGTATATCTGCGGTGTAGACAACTGTTAAAGCCAGACTCAGGCCGCCCTCCTTGCCCATGACTCCACACATGAGACACAGCCATGTTCTGTGCAGTTACTGGACAGTATCGAATATACTTTTCATCAGTCTCTTTCAAAGACACCGCCCTCGCTCCTTTGATACCTTTGTACGATTGTTCATCCCAGGTTAAGCGACTGCAAGTAGAGCCAGGACATTCAACGTCATGGGCGGATTGCTCCTGGACATCATCGGACTCGAATCGCTGACAATTTCCTGGCGCCTTTCCATCGCAGATCCTGCCACGGCTACCATTACGAGTAGACTCCGGCTTCAGATTGCATCGCGAAGTACGATTTGCAAAATGAATATTATAGACCTCAAACATTCTTCTAAAATCTTGCGTCACCGAGCTGAGGTCAGTTCGAAGGAGCTCAAAAGCCCATTTGCACATATAGTCTGGTCGCGATTTTCCGATTTTTTCTCGCCCAGGCATTGCCATATGGAAGCTATGCTGATCAAAAGCAGTCCCCGTTTCCATCTGGATTTTTGAATCGTACGAAAGTTGAATCAGCATAGTCTGATGCCACTCTGCCCATAGGAACGCCTGTAGAACAAACCAGGCTCGTGTTTCGACGGGGGACCTCGAGCTCTGGAGGAAAAACACCGTTGCCGTGTCAAGAAGTGAGGTTATATCATCCAGATACGTGCTCAAATAGCCGATTGAAGTGCCACGTTGCATAACTGAGAACAAAGCAATTCGCACCAGGTTCGTACTTGGCCGGGAAAAGACACGAAGACTAGATCATTCATATTGATTCAGTGTTGCGGTCGTCGCCTTTTCTCCCGTTGATGAAAATGAAGAAGAGGAAAAGTACTCCTCAGGCCACGGATCTTTTGCCGCAGGTTGCCCACGTTTACCGTCAAATTCGAAGGAAAGTTCTGGGGGGTACGAGGGCAGGCGAGCCATCAAAGTACACGCCCTGTCGATAATTTCACCCCTGTTCCATTTTTGCTTATGGATCAAAAAGCTACATTTCATCAGCGGGGAAAGCAATTCATCTAGCTTCTGGACGTGAGAGGCTAAATCGACGTTCCCAGGGGCTAAATATACAAACGCATCTCGACACCACTGCTCTAGCCTAGCCTTGGTTTCTCTAGCATTTAGCAAGGTAACATTTGGACTCTCGCCTATCTCGTTGAACGACTGAAAGCGCATTTCGATTGGTAGTAGCCAGCTAGGCTTGTCGCTTGGCTTGTAAGTATTATCGTCGAGTATCTCAGCCACCAGGGCTCTACTCAGGCCCTTAAACGTGAGATCTATCATCTTTCCCCTTGTTATTTTTATTGCTCTTGCGACTTCAAGTCCGCCGGTGATTGTTGTTGCGTTGTTGTGTTAGTTTAAAAAACTACCAACACGAGTTTTAGAGCGGGGCAAATCAAAAATCGTGAATATGTTCAAATTAAAAACCAGTCCATGATCAGGTGACCTCGTGGTAGGTTACCTAGACCCAATTTGTTTTCCGATCCGATCCAAGGTGTCAGCAGAAGCTCCAGCATCAGATTTTTATACAGTCCGTGACAATAGCACAGTCGGTGTCCTACGCTCGTACTGGTAGGGCCCGGATCAAAGCCTTACGCTGGGCCGCCTTTGAGCAGCCTTAAGTGATGTACATCTTCCAGATGCCGTGACCGCCGAGAATTGAAGATACAATTTTGCAACGATCTCATCGGCTAGAAAGTTCATATGAACAGGCCGACCAAGTTGTTCATGATGAACAGTCCACGCCCTGTGAGATTTCTTGTGCACCGGAATTTGTCCAGTCTCACTATAGCCATTGGGCGAAATAACCCGGGTCCTTGAGAGAGCTGCAAAAAGCATGTTCGTTGTATCAAACTCTAACTCAAACTTAGTGATATAAGATTAGTCGGAAACCGGGCTGAATAGCTACATTCTGAAGTAATCAAAGACAGCCCTGTCAAGACTACAGACATCCGTAACTTCTCTGGTAAGCTTGAATTCAAACTCTCAACTAAAACAACACTGACTCACTGTATACAGCTCTTACTACCAGCTTCGACATTTTAAGGGGTAACTCCTAGCTCGCGACCCCTGAGATTGGGAGCAGCTTTCTCGCAATCACCGAAGAGAGGCATCACCCGCCTACCGAACGGACGAGCATTTGGCATTTAGCAAATCTCGAAGCTCAAATTTTTATCGATAACTTTGGGTAGTAGCAATAAAATACGTATGGTCATTGACAACAAGATCCGCCAGAGACAAAAAAAAAACAAAACGGCATTTTGTTTTGACGTCATCCCCCGTCTCCGGACCGGTATCGGCAGCGGTATATAGTGTGCAGTCTCCGCATTAAGAGAGACTTCGGGAAAACAGTACCCATTTGTTACAGCACACGAAGCTTCTCCATGACGAGATGGAGATCTTATTAAATGATCACTCTCTGGCAGACTTTCCTCTAGATAATCTTGGCCAGCAATCGCGAATGAACAGGCTGTACATCCAAATTACATTCTGTTATCCGCTGGCTGGGGATGGTTCAAATATTCAAACCGAAATTCTAAACACGTTGGAAAACGGATTTCGACGTCTCGCGGGAAGTTTTCCATGGATTTCTGGCAAAATAGCAAACGAAAATGGCACATTCAAAATCAAGGCGAGCAGCGGCATCCCACATATTGTCGTGAAGGACTATACGAAGGATACATCAGTGCCGGACTGGGATTCTCTCCAGAAAGCGAATTTTCCATTTAGTATGCTAGACGGGTCGGTTCTTGCACCATGCAAAACACTGGAATCTTCTTCGGAGGGCCTTCTTATTTTTCTAGTCCAAGCCAATTTCATCCGTGGCAGAGGGTTATTGCTTACCTTGAACGGCCAGCATGGTGCAATGGATATGGCTGGGCTGGCGCAGATGATGTTTCTGTTTTCAAAAGCCTGTCGAAATGAGTCTTTTACGGGAGATGAACTAGCTATTGGAAATATGGATAGAAGGAACGTCATTCCCCTCAACGATGAGACGCATGAGAGTTCAAGTATTGACGGCAGTCCCCCAGCTGCGGAGGAGGAGTCTCTGCAATTGCAACAAAGAGAAACACAGGTATTATCAAATACTTGCACATGGGCGTATTTCAGCTTCAGTGGCGAAAGATTAGCTGCTCTAAAAGCTCAGGCAACAGCTGCCTTGCCATCGGGGGCAAGCAAATTCATATCCACGGACGATGCTCTGACCGCTTTCATTTGGCGCTCAATCAGTCGTATCAGACTACAAAGTTGCATCCAGCGCAACGACAGTAAGCGGAATGTAAGAACAACATTATCTCGAAATGTTGATGTCCGTCGCTATCTTGGTATTCCAGCTACATACCCCGGTATGGTCACTGATCAAACCGTACACACATATCCACTAGAAGAGGCCTCAAAGAAATCCTTGGGTTTTCTTTCGAGCGAACTGCGTTCTGCTCTTGATCCCGAGTCATTGAGCCGACATACCCGTGAGGTAGCCACTCGAATCAACCAAGAAAAGAACTCAAAACATGCAGCAAACATGCCTAAACGTCGCGCGGATTTCGAGGTTCGATTGAGTTCTTGGGCAAAAGAAAAGTGTTGTTACTTTGATTTTGGCTTTGGATTGCCAGTCGCGGTTCGGAGGCCAAGGTTCGCCGAAGGTTCTAGGGATGGGTTGGTTTACTTTTTACCTAAAAGTAGGGACAGTGAGATTGTGGTAGGAGTTTGCTTAAGATTTGAAGATATGGATCTTTTGAAAAATGATGACCAATTCATTAGGTTTGGAACTTTCGTAGGCTAATTATTCTAAAGAAATGAATCGCAGGATATCAGAACAAAGGACCAGTAGAGCACGCTAACAACTGAGTTGAAAACAATCTTCTTGGAAATCACAACAGAAGATCTCCACCACTGTTGTTAATAAACACTCCAGTCGCCGTGGTATCCTTCATCAAGTAGATATAAGCCTCAGCAGTCTCCTCTGGTGTACCCATCTTACCCAAGAGTGCCTTTCTGGCAGTTTCCTCGATGCGGGCCTCCGCTCCTTCGCCCCAGAGTTCCGTAATCACCGCACCTGGATTGACCTGGTTGACTCGGATGGGTTTCAGATCCAAGGCCAAATTTCGGGTGGCACCACTAAGGCCAGCTGCGTAGGAAGCAAAAACTGTGTACTGGGGCAATGGTTTCTCTGCGACTTTACCACTTGTGAAAGTGATAGATGATTTCCAGTGGGACTTGAAGAATCGTGGTGCAAGCTTTCCGATGAGCAGCGGAGCTGCGAATCGTACCTGCCCACATCGGTGAATGAAGTCGAGGTCGATGTCGCTTATTGGTCGATGCTCGATTGGGCCTCCAGCAGTAAAGACAAGATGATCTAGCATCTCCTGACCATTATTACCCCCGAAAGCAATAGTGACGTCAGCAAGAAGTTTTTCAAGTTGAGACTCGACGTCGTGGTGGCCGAGGTCCACGGTATATCCATAAACTGTCGATGCTTCGTTGAATGATGATTTTTTCAACCGGTCAACTGCGCTGGCTACTCGTTCCGGGTTTGATGAGGCGATTGCTACCCTCATACCTTCGGCTAGGGCCAGTTTTGCAACGCCGAAACCAATACCGGAGGAGCCTCCGATGACGAGAATAGTTTGGCCGGAAATGGAAGGCATGATTGGGTAGATGAAATGACTCTTTGAATATATTAAATCGTAGGCAGAGTTTGTAATATTTGTTAATCTACACCGAGGAATGTACAAAATACATCAACACTTTTTAAAGACTTCACTGGTCAGGCGGGCATCAAGAAATAGTTGTAGATACGTCAAACTCCTTAGTTTTTCGCACATCTCGATGCTCCGATCATCCGAGGTGTCCGTATGCGAGGCGTTGCAGCGGATTTAGGCGGAGGTAAGTTTGTGATCGTGATGCAGAAGGACACAAGTCGAAGGACAAATAACAACCATTTTATACATCAAGAAACCAACCTTTGTGAACGATCTACACTGCGGCGATGTACGAAGTCCTTTTTCCTGAGAAGCGTGTAGGGTTAGGGTTAATAAAGAAGTGCTAAGCCACGCATTGACGCAGCAGCCTCGTATTTGAAATTTGCTTAATTCTCGCGACGCGTTGGGGGTCACCTCTGTGTCTAGGTGTCCCTTGACGAACAGTCCATACACATCCATAATCCGAACAAGTGATTTCACATGGATATTCAGAGAGAAACAATAAACTTAAACTCCAAGAAGGTATCCGAGCTTCTCCTTGCAGGAGCGGATGTCAATACTTCAGGAGGTGAATATGGAAGCGCGATCCAGGCTGCGGGGCAATTGGGGCGCGACGCGATTCTGGACATACTGCTAAAGAATCACGCGGATATCAACACCAGAAATGTAGGAAAGCGGAATCCACATGGTCGAACAGCACTTTCATTAGCTGCGGAGAGTGGGCACGTTTCAGTTGTGAGGCAGCTTCTGGCATGGGACGGCATCAAGGTCGACCTAGATGATGACAACGGCAGGACGCCATTGTCATGGGCTGCTGGGAGTGGAGAGTCTTTTTCGATCATAGTAGAATTACTTGGAAGATCCGCTGCTGACGCAGAATCTAAGGACATCAATGGTAGAACACCGTTGTCTTGGGCTGCAGGAAATGGGCAGGAAAGAGTGGTTCAATTTTTACTCAAGCGGCCCGACTTCTATCCTGATACTAGCGATAAAAATGGCCGAACACCGCTGTCATGGGCTGCAGGTAATGGGCACCATGTTGCGGTGGATCTTTTACTTGAGAGGGATGATGTAAGCTTCGATCATCCGGATCGTGGTGGCAGAACACCATTGTCATGGGCAGCTGAAGCGGGCGAGGTTTCTGTCATGAAAATACTTCTTGGGAAACATGAAGTGGACCCGGATTGTGAAGATAAGAACGGAATGACTCCTTTGTCATGGGCAGCGGAAAAGGGGAAGAAAGACGCGGTGTACTTACTTCTTTCCCGAGCCGACGTCAATCACAATTCTACGTCCTCAGAAAGTGCACCACCTCTCTGGAGGGCTGCGATGAATGGACACGATGGGACGGTCGAAGTGCTTCTCGCTGCTGACAATATCGACATCAACCACAGAGATAAGTATGGTAAGACGCTGTTATCATGGGCTGCGGAGACTGGGCATGCCAAGATAGTCAAACTGCTTTTGTCAACAGAAGGACTGAGTCCGGATTCTCCAGATAAAGTCGGCAGAACGGCATTGTCGAAAGCGGCAGAGGCTGGTCGCAGTGCCATTGTAGAGATACTTTTGAAAAGGAACGATGTCAATCCAGATTCTGTGGACGATGAAAATCGCACGCCACTCATATGGGCAGCAATGAAGGGGCACATCACCGTCGTGGAGCTCCTGCTAGCAAAGGAGGGGGTTAACCCGGACTCTAAAGATAATAGCGGACGAACAGCATTATTGTGGGCGTTAGAGATGCACCACGATCATGTTGTTCGGCCGCTTATCCACAGGGATACGATCAGCTTACATTCGTTAGTCCAAGAGGGTAGTCGACAATCAGCAGCAATCCTTATTTCCGCGGGATATGATGTCGATCGGTCCGACTCTAGCGGAACTACTGCACTTCGTCTGGCTATTCGAAACAAAGATCATAAGACAGTCGAGTTACTGCTCAAAAATGGTGCAGGTACACGAGGGGTAGTGGCCGGCGAATGGCTCGATGTATACGGAAGAGCACGAACGGATATTGTACAACTTCTACAAGGGGCCGACGGGCAGAAACACGTAAGCTTCATTGAAGGTGGCTCACTGGCTGACCTCCCGACACTTTCATTGCAAGAAAGACGACTTCTGTATGTTAATCCATATTTTTTGTCTCTCAAACTTATATCACTAAGACTTCTGCTGCAGCGTGATTCCAATCGAGTTGAACAAGCCCGGCGAACCGTTTTCTATTAAAAAACACGATATAAGTCCCAACAAGTTTCGAGTTTATTATGAAAAGGTGGATAATCATGCCACCAAAATTCATGTTTCATTGTCGTTTCCCGTTGGGGAAGGTTCCCTTCTCCAGCCACAGTACATCATACCTAGGTCGCCGTCATCTTATGTAACATGGACAATTATATGTCCCCCAAATCCGCACATTCGTCCGTGGCGTTCAGTCGATCATTACAGCATGATGCCAATTGGCTGGATTCCTGATGATGGTAATGATTTCTTTCGGCAGATTATTCTTCATCTGGAGGAACGGTGGACTAGGGTTTGCGATACAGCCGATGAACATTTGAAATTATCCGTTAGTTGTCCTGTTGTATATTTTCCGTAATAGGCCATGCTAACGTACCAATTACCGGACACAGCGGCTTGATCAATTGCGATCGGAGGGCAAGAATCCCGACCTAATGCGTCAACTAGCGAGAGATGCACAGAAATGGACAGAGCTTCGTGCTATACTACAGGACCATATTACTGTTGCGCAGAACTTCATTATGACTTATTCTATGCGTTACAATGCCAACCAATTTCCAACGGATCTACAGAATACGGTCAATGAATTCAAGGCTAAGATCACCCGTCGGCTTGATCAGCTGGATCAGACAATTCGTGATCTTTTACAATTTGTACGTTTTCGATCTCTCTGAGTTACCTTCTAAAAATGCTCATTTCATGCAGGAATTCGCCTGGGCATCGATAAACGAAAGCAGAATATCAACCAGATTAGGGCATAACGTCATGCTATTCACGTACGTTAGCATATTCTACCTGCCATTGGCATTCTGTGCAGTAAGTTAGCTCAAACGAACATTCCTGAGTATTTACACACACATCTTGGTATTAACCATAATCAATAGTCAATATGGGCCATACCCAATATCACCGACTCCGGAACCAGGAATCCATTCATCATCACCTCAGTGATTGTGGGGTTTATTACCCTATGCATATCCTTCAACCTTGAGAACATCACCACACTTGGTTGGAGACTGTATCAAGGCTGGAGAGCTAAAGTGGTCAAAGATATGCAAATCGTTGACGATGATCATTGGAGGGAAAGAGGTTACAGACTTGAATCGGCCAACAATCCGAACTCAAGCTTTTCTTCCGAATGGTGGCTAGTCGGATACTGGTTCTGGAAGCTGGATGCCATGGTCAGAGGTCTCTTATCGAAGCGCGGAAGACCCTGATAAGCAACTTTGATAGACATACCAAGAATTAAGATATTGAACTAGAGTGCCGTTCAACAAAGCAATAAAGGTACCACGATAGCACAACTTTGACACTGTTCAGCCGTTGCGATGACAAGAGATGCCGATTGTAGGCAACGACCTAGGTTACAATAAATAGTAATACAACAATTCTCCACGTGAACCGATTCCAGCAAGTGCAGTATCGGGAACAAGAAATCCAGCATAGCCATTTCTAGATTCCCACATATCTTCGGATCTAAGCGGACGTTGACCTCAAAGCCGCTCATTTGCTATACTGCCTATCAATCGGATCAACGGGTTAAAAGAATGCGTCTAAACGATGATCTCCCGTCAAGAGTGTGCTTCCATTGTGATCCGTGTCAACTATGACGTCGCAGGACAATGTCTTATCTTTATCTCGGTACAATAACTATCCGACGCGGTCATTGTCTATGTATGTGATAGTGACATCTATCTTGCATCCGGTCCATACGTCTAGCTGAAAAGATGCGAGTTGCGTGGAAATATCCACACTTATAAGGCTGTGGAATGAATGACACTGTGGATAGCTCGTGTATCCTAAACAAAGGACGCATGTGGCCTTGGTCAGGCACTCTTAGCGCGCTGCGCACGCTAAGTACGGTGATTGCTGAGGCACCCAACGTTCCCTAAACCAAGCTCGCTGTACTGATAAAATAAGTGTGCGTGCTAACTCCGAAGACTAAGATCCCTGTTGCAGCACACAGATATTGTTTTCTATCTGTCTGATCTTCCAATGGATATGAACAAAAATGTCATACTATATGCCTGACATTTCAAGATTGCATGCCGTTAATCTAATGTCATTTGCCGACACCTTATAGAGCCGCACTGTCTAGCATCTAGATAATCTCCTACACTGTCGGAGTCGACTCGGGATCAATTCTGGCTCCAAATGACTTTGTAGCCATCCCATAGCTGGACCTCACTGCCTCACTAGCATAAACTCTCATCTTCTTCTCATACTCCACCGTCATGCCTTCCTTCCATCCCCCAGCCTCACGCAGCAGGCGTCCCAGCAAAGCCGAATCTCTCACAGCCGTATTAGCACCAATTCCCCCAGCCGGCGTCATGGCATGCGCCGCGTCGCCAAGGACCGTGACTCGTGGCTCATTCGGCCATTCCGGTACACCCGTGGGCGTTGAACAGGTAATCTTCCAGAACGCCGCTTCCGACTCGATCATGTCATCTAATAAAGGCTTAAAGCGCGGATGCCAATCCTTCGTTAACTCTTTGGCGATGTCTGCCGCCTGCTTGCCGACTATCGTGTAGTCGTTATTGGGCACTTGGATCACGCCTGGCACAGAACCCAGCGTCCATCCAAAGTTGATATCGGGATTGTGCATATCGCCTGACCGCACATTTGTGATAATGGACACCTGACCTTCCGGTCTCGAAGTGTCCGTGAACCGGAAAACGCCTTCTCCCAGCCCTTTATACGACGTCGTCGGTGCCTGTCCATGTATTCCGCGTGCGCCCGTATCATAGACCTTGAGTCGTCCACCGGACACTTGTTTTGCAACTGACGACTTGACCCCATCAGCCGCAACCAGCAGCGACCCTTCCACAGACTTGGAACCATCCGCAAAGATGGCCCGAACCCCACCATCCGTCAGTTCATAACCCTTAACATGCTTATTAAATTGCACAAACTCCTCACATCCCTCCATAAACAAGCTTCTCATATCTCCCCTCGAGATACCTACGATCTTCCCATCGCGCGACCCGAGTCGTTCGCCGCCGGGATTACTTTCCGTGACTTCACCCGTGATAGCGTCGTAGCCCACAAATCCGCTACCAGCTGTTTTCCCGCATCGGTCATAGAATTTCGGGAACCCCTCTGGACCCGGGCCGAGGACTTGCTCGATTGCATCGAGACCTTCGTTGGAGAGACGGAGGCGATAGCCTTGGCCACGGAATTTGAGGGATGCGTCCCGTTCGAAGACAAGGAAAGGGATTTTGGAGAGGAGGAGGGAGCGCGCCAGGAGAAGGGCGGCTAAGCCGGCGCCGGAGATAAGGACCGGTTTTTGTGTTTGTGTCATTGCATCTATAAATCAAACAAAAACATGCGAACAATTCTATACGAAAGACCAAAGAAAGAAACAGGGGTTCATCAAAAGGATCTATGGATTACTGCATATATTATATATTTACATCCAGGTACGAATGCAGTACTCGATTCAACCATCATCTTCGTTAGAAAGGGAATCAATTGACCGATTTCTAAGCGGGGTATGTTGATTACTACAAAAAAGTTAGTTGGCTCACTACCAAATTGCCCGTGATTAGAAATCCTTGTGAATGGCGTGCGCGATTAGTGAGCTAGTCTAATTACTCAAGATGGTTACACTGTTACCGCGATCTGAAAAATAGCTTACCATACATGAAAGTGGCTTCTAAAGTACTGTTACTAAGTACCTTGACAGGGCGAGTATTTTGCTTAGAAATAATGCACCTATAAAGAAGTTCCTATGAGCAGAAGATTGCTGTACAGATAATATAGCCTTAATGTCATAGAATCAACACGTCACAGACAATGGATTGGCTCTTGGCGCTAGTTATGTAACGATGGATTCAATTTGAGAGAAGTTGCACATTTAAAATATATTTCTTTATTCTTTTATCTCACTCCCTATTTTATAGTCTTTTTTTACTTCACAGGTTGAATAACATGCTAAGAGTTACAGAGATAATGTACCTTAGGTGCCCAGACTACTATAAAAGGTCGTCCCCGAAACACCAATCCATGTAGCGAGTTGGCAAATACCTTGTTACCGGAAGCAGCACACGCAAATCCCTGCCTTGAACGTCTTCATCTCATTAAGTAAATGCTAGCCAGGCCCACCCTCCCTAAACGCCTCAGGCGCTTAGACCCCTACAATACTGCCTAGTCAAAAATAGGTGCCAGTTCTGGTTTCCTTATTCTCTAACCTGCTATTCTATTAATATGGGCTCGAACAGTGGCGTCGCTCGTTGCTCATCCTCGGTCGAGCCTTTAATCTTGTTAATAAACTACAATTTGACAAGACTCAGGTCCGCTTTGTTTTAGAAATGGCAGTTTCATAGCAAAATTTGTAGAAAGCATTCGCAATTCCTGTGCAAAATTCCTGCTAGGAGAAAACCAAAGAGGACTTTTTACTCGTGTCACAATGATATTTGCTTGATTTCACAAATTACAACGAACAACGAAAACCAAGGAAAACCAAGGAACACAGCAGATAGTGGATAAATATTCAACCAACGTACAACAGTCAATGGCCATGCATGTCGTATTCCGCTAATCTTGAGTCAAACTGCCGTCCTGCGATACAGTTAAATCAAAGAGTATACCAAGTTATGCAGGCCATGATCCTGGCATTTTTGTCGAAGTTTCTTTTGCAGTCCCAGGCGCATGCATTAATCCAGTCCTTTGAGGTAAGAGCCAATTTCTGCAATTATACTCCAATGTAGCAGCTGCATTTATCACGTCGACAGATAGTCGATTAGTCTCACAGTCACTTGTATCAGCAGTAAATGTGTGATCTCCAGATACTATCTTTGCCAAAGTCTCCAGATGTTCGTCCAGACTGTTGTATCTTTCTTGATATAAAGGGCTAGCCGTCAAATATCCTTGACTTGTATGAAGAAAGCCGGTCTGGTACACTCCACCGATGTCCATATTTATGGAGAATAATTCACCCTGGTCTTCGGCATGATCATCTTTCAATATTGCCTCTCGGAGCACGCTCTTTAGAATTGACAAGATCTCCTGGTATGTTCCCATACAGGCAATGAAAGGATAAATGGGCAAGCATGACCATTCCGGCGTTATCGGAGCCGTTGTATATTTCCTTTCCTTATCAAAATTATTGGAAACCAATAGGATATTTTGAAAAATTTGCCAGCGAAGTCTGCGTTCACGCTTTAGGTTACGTGCTAGTTGCAACATTGACAAGAAGTGCTGGTGTCTTGGGACCTTCTTATCTGCCGCTAAGACTCTTGTGGGATCGAAACCACTGTTTTTCAGGGCTTCAATCCACAAGGAAAAATTTCCGGTCAATCTTGCAATGTCCGTTGGAGTTCCATATTGATTGGACGCTGTGAAAATATTCGCCCCTTTCCGAATGAGTAATTCAATTTTCTTTCTCTGATTTTCACGGTCCTTGTCACTGTAATGATATGAGGACTTCATTCCTGGATAGCCAGCGAGATCTTGTGCAGTTATGAGATAGCTTTGGTGTTGCTGTTCGAGGGAAGCTATAGCTGCATGAAGACAAGTAAGTCCATCTATCGATGTGATCGATATGCTCGCTTTGTTATTCAAGTGCCAACGGAGTATCTCAGTATCGCTCTTGGGATTTGAACTCAAAATAAAGGTAGATGTTCGACCACGATTATCTTGCTCGTTTAGAACGTAACGAAAGTCATTACATATTGATTGCCAAGAAAAGGACTCTTTTTTTAAAGGGACATTTTCGCATAGGATATGCCAGAAGTTCCGGCCATTCCAGTCAGGCTCTGAAGGATCCAATTGGCACTTTTCCGCTAAAAGATTGTATATGGCCGAATGATCCGTTCCAAGGAAAGAAATACCACGTGTATCAAAACCATACAACAGAGCGTTCCTGATTTAATATTAGTCAGATTACTTTGCCGTAGGACTTTCCATTCAGGGTAAATTACCTGCCAAAATCGTCAACGCCTTGACTGATTGCTCCAGCATCGAGAAGGAAGCGAGCCAAATCAATTCGACCTCTTCTACAGGCCTAAATGATGCACGGTGTTAATCTGATTCCTCCCTAAGAGGTAAAAAAGAAGATTATATACCTTACTAAGAAGACTCCGCCCGTATTCATCCACAGTATTGACAGAATACTTTCCCTTCATAAGTATCTTTCTGATGCTCACAATATCCATACAACGAAAAGAAGTCCATATCTCATCTGACAAAGGTACAGTATGCATGACCGTCAGACTTTGCTGTAAGTTATAACTGCCTGATGCATTCGTCCAGAGCCTAACTAAAAGGCCTTTGTCGAAATGGCAAGACGAGCTGAAATTGATTTTTACCTCCCAAGATTGAAGGGAGTTGTTTTTCTCTCCCTTTCGCACCCTTCTATGTCTTTTTTGCACATATGCAAGGGATAGTGTTCCGAGAAGCAAATCAAAGCGCCGGTGCGTGATGCTATAAATCTCACTAGCTTTGAGGAAAGTTGATCCATTATTGTATTTCAATGAATCGTCAATTGTATCATTATGACTGCTTGACTTATGTGGTAGAGACTGTAATTTGTCTGTAGTAAGCTTGTCGTCCGTCAGTGTAGCAATTATTGCAGATTCGCTTCTATCTCCAACATGCCACTTTTCAAATGAACGTGAGGATTCCACCAACTTCTCAGGGGAGACTTTGGCGTTACTCAGAGATGGCTGATGGATGGCAGCCTCTAATAAAGTTAGACTTCGGGATAAATTCGTGATCGAGTTTTGAATATCATTTGAGACTGCGAAAGAGCTGACCTCCTTGGTCTGTTGCGCAGCAATCCAGGTTATTTGTTCGTTCATAGTGGAGAGCTTAATGCTCTGCATACGTGACTCGTAACTTTTATTGCAAATTTAGACTTGACTGATGAGAGGAAATGAAGAACATACAGTTGGAATACAAGTAGTCCTAGAGACAAACTGTCAACTGTCTCTTTCAGTATCTCAGATGCCTCAGATAGCCTCTTGTCAAGAGCTATCATTCGCAAAGCTCTCTTCACTTTCTTTCGGTTAGTTGAGTTCGTATCCGTGATATCCTGAAGGATTTCTTTCAACACCTTGAGACGTGGACGACATCGTTCAAGACACATGGAAACGCCGCAATCATTTGCTGCGTCTGCAGATAAAGCTTCGATCTCGTTTAACAATTTTTCTGTTATCGATAGTCCGATCTTCACTTCTGATGTGATTTTCAAGACATTCTGCGTTAATTTCATGGACCGATGCACTGATTTCACAATTTTAAGCAGCTCGAGGGTCAAGGTAAAGACGGCGAAAGCGCCAGTTGCAACTCCAAAAGCTTCTGCCATGGCGAAGAGCCAAATTCAAAATTATATCTGGAATATTTAGACAACAAAAAAGAACATATTTCGAGGTTTGTGGTCCATGGTATATAGTCAGAACCAGTTTCTAGGAATTTCTATCATCCTCTCGCTCTGTCGGCACCACTGTGAACGCCACTGTGAACTGGTGGAATAAACGAGAAGCCTGCTTCTGTTTCAGCCTGATCATATATGTCACAGACAACCTGCAGTTGATGCCTTTGTTTGATTGGGTATATGACAAGGCTGTGACTAGCCTGTGAGGCAGTGCTATGTCAGTTTCGCAATGGCCATTGGCTAGCTTATATGTTAGCTTGTCAAACGTAAACCACCTTTCCATCTATGCCTTTTGACAACGCATCGCTTCCTCTTTGTATCGCTGGAGCTAGAGCGGGGGGTAAGGCAGACTTGGGTCACTCTTTGAAAACCAAATATTCCTTAGGATAAACCTCCATTGAATTGTAGGTTTGGTGCAGATCAGAGTCCGATTCTGGCAGCAGTATACGAGATACAAGATGGTGACGAGGAGTGCTTTATGTACCGCCGCGCAGGAATTACCTGCATAGAGTAGGAGTTCTAATAAGCTAGTTATAATTTGTACACACTTAGACGCTGATCACCCAACAAGGTCTACAGGCTGGGATTGTAATAATTCGTTTGTAGGACGTTCGAAATTTGCAACTCGTCCAGATTTACCTGAATTCCATGCAATGCTTCCCTACCTGTTTGCAATAGGAGGGGAAGGCAAACTATATCTATTATAGTGAGGAGTTGCAACTCTAATTTAGTCTAAAGACTATAATCTTATAAGAAAAGGAATAGCTATAAAATTATAGAATAAACAATACTGTAGATTGTCTTATATATTCTAGATATATAACTATAATATTAATAATCTTAGTTAAATCTGGTTATATATTAGTCGGTTTGAAATACCTAGCTGCAGTGATTACAGCTTCTAGAAAGCAGTAAATAGCTGTAAATAATATCACATCCATGTTTCTAACCACTCTCACATCACTGATGTATTTGCAAGTCGCCCAATAATAGGCAGAGAATGTGGGACAATGTCGATAAAGGAAATCTAGGCAGTCGATGACAGTCTTTCTACTTATCTTCTAGTCACCGCACAAAGTTGTCATACGTACACAAATGAATAAATTGGAAGGTCTGGTCTATCAATTCATAGAAGATGGATCAAACGTCGTCCACCAGTCCGGTCCATTCATGAACGGTTGACTGATTGTCGCCGAACCATCGTTTTCCCAGCTATTCTGTAAATATGAATTAGTACATAAGACTGGTTCTCGATGTAGTTGCGACGTACCATGATGATTTGATTGTTGCTCTGATTACTGTGCAATATTGAATCAAATTCACCGAGATCGAATTGAGACATGTCTACATTATAATTCTCCCAAGACATAGAACAGGGGTCATGATTGAACAACGAGGGATCTGTAGATGGAAGTTGGGTTATCAGTGCTTTTGCCTTGACCCATTGTTTGCTAGTAACATACCTATCATATGAGATATCATTGATGTATCATCCTGTTCGAAGCCAGTATTTGCTGAAACATGGTCAAGTCTCCCGGATCTCTGTGCCTTATCAAGTATGAATCGTAGCATTGCGACTGCCTTTTGCGACTCGCGAGTTCTATCACTTGATTGTACCCATATATTGTAGCAACCTTGCAAGGCTTTGACAATCTTAGGAAATGCCTCCTTTCCAAGTCGTTGTTTACTCGGCACTTCGGATAGATCGTAGTTCAAATCAACGCACAGTATAGTGGCTGCCAGATAGAATATATGTTTGACCGATGCTTCAAATTTCCAGTGTTCATGGGACAGACGTCTCCCAATCTGGCACTCCTCACGGATGCATTCCTGGATCCGCAATAGTTCCAGCGCGGATTCAATACATGCTTTGCGAGAATAGCGATATCGATCATCTGTGCGTGCTGCGAGTAGGTAATGTTGATGAAGCATACATCGTGATTTGTAGCTGACCAGAGCCAAGAATATTCGATTTGCAATCACGCCGCTACTGTCGGTAAGTGACTTGCTCATCGGACGCATTTTGAGAGGCCCGGGGATATTTTGAAATTGTTCTTTGACGATTTTATCAAGTTTTAGAATCTCCTTGTAGGAAACAGACTTATTCGGGTAGCTTGTAAGGTCGGTAATGATGTTTCGGGTTGATAATAATCGATTTTTGATGGCCAGAAATCCGACCAGAGTCGTCTCGTGATCTGGTCGTGAACGTGGCAAGCTTTCCATATGTGGACTGAGATCCTCATCTAATAGATTCGCTGGTCCATGTGCATCCACCAGCGCCTCATTTACCATGCGTGGAAGACCATACTGGTCGGCCGCTGCCGAGTCGAGCATGAACAGCGCCGCCCAATTCCGGCGTCGCATTTCTGCTTGAAACGGTGATAAGCACGTTGAGGTCGTAGCCTCTCGATGATAACCCATTCGTACTGCGAGTCGAATGACGGTACCCAGTAATAGCCAGAGTCCGGTCTGATTGTCCGAAGTTTGAGCATACTCTATCGACAAATAGAATATCATTGTCTCTATCGTGTACGGTCCACATTTCGTATAATCGGCCAATGTTAGACACTGTACCACTCTTTCCCGATAAACCTGTATCCGTTGATCGGCGTGTTCGGTTGCTTCAATCGCTCCTGGTAAGGTTGAAAGTGCTGTGGAGCTCCTTGAATAGGCGGATGCCATGCACATGATTGAGAAGAGTAACCCAACCCACATAATGGAAGCTTTCTCTGGGCACTTCCAAAACCGATCATACTAAACACGTGTCAGTAAACTCCTTTCTTCAATCACGAAGGAAGGGCTTTGTATATATACCTCTTCTAGAAATGTTGGGCCATGTATACAGACTAGCGACGGAGTTAGCGACAAAAACCGTTGACGGAGAACGAGCCTGAAAACTTACCGAGATATAGTGTTGCGGTATTGAAGAATAATGAAACAAGACTATCAACTTCCTGCTTCGGCGGAATAGTCGCGAGAATTTGTTGCTGATCCAGCTTTTCAAAGTTTCCCAGTAGAAGCGCCTGTCCCGATTTTTGATTATCAAACATCTGCTCAGTAGCTCCTGGGTTATCATCAAAACAGTCTTTCAACTCGGCAATCTACTTGGATTTCATTAAATGATGCCGATAGTAAAGGAAAAAAATTGGTGTAGCGCACCCCATCCAAGACTGCCGTCCAGTGCGAGTTCTCGACATAACTAGTCTCGGTATTCTCCAAGCCTATCTTCCCAAAACTTGCATGCAATTTGGTCGAATCATCAGGATTATCGGATCGAGTCCTGTCTTTGTTCTCTTTTGCGACAGCAGTTTCGTTCTGGTTTGTCATAGATACCACTAGCTTTTCCAATTGAGCAATTCTCTTGTGAAGGGCAGTCGACGACGGGTCAATCAGTCTCTTGCCGCTCTGCAGAGGCGTTGATGCTGGATATGTGCATGATAGAGATAGTCCGCGACGAGCGCATGTTTCGCATGGCAGGCCGCGGTCACATTTCAGCCTGTTAAATACTGTCAGAAATAGTACAATATGACCAGCACATTTGTTTTTAGTTACTTTCGTCTTCGGCAAAGGTTGCAGGACAGTTGTGGCTTGTCTCTACGACGGCTCGACGGCGGAAGAGGAGATGATGCGGGAGGAGAAAACACCATATTTTCGATGTAACTAATAAACAACGTCTCTTAATCACTACTGAATTTGCTTCATATTTTCAATTGTACTTATTTCATTCTGAGAAGTGTGTAGATTTTGTAGTTTTGGTCTTTCGTGAGGATTGAGGAATGATTCGCCTTTATCTCCGACGCGCCGACCGTCCGCGCGACACTATGCCTATAATGATGTAGCGTGTTATCCTCAACCAATCAGCGATCTTGCACTGCCAAACCTTGAATTTATTGGAGGTTCTGGTCGTGCGTGAATTCAGTAAAAAAAGTGATCTTTGATATGCTAAATCCTGGGCTCCGCCGTTTGATACTGTAGCGTTGAAAAAAATTGGGTAGATTAGGTTATATCCCTACTACTTCAACGTACAACAGAGGGTGGTGTTCGGTGTTTGATAGGGCAGCAGCTGCAAAAGATGAAAGTCATGATGCATATTTGATTTATAGTAAGGTGAGCATTGCACATCTGTCAAAATTTGTTACCAAGCCACCAGGGACGGAAAGCCCAGAATGAAAGTTTGGACAGAACTCAAGCAAATCCAGGAAGATATCGTACCTCGCGTTACGGTGTCCTATTGATATGTCTTCTAAGGTCATTTTTCGTGCGCAATTATGACCAAATCCAGGGGAAAGAACCTTTCACAGGCGTGGCAGATGCATCAGTAGTACTTCGTTTACAATAATATCTCTGATATCATTCACGATCTATAATCGGAGCACGATTGAAGTTTCACAAATTCCTCCGAGAGGTGATTCCAAGTCCACAAAGACGAGTTCTCGGATCGCGGCTAGCACTGGTATGGCACTAGATACTCTGCTCTAAGAAGACCTTCAAGTATTAGACAAGCAATCCGAGATCACACGGTGTAAGACCAACACGGCTTCAGTCAATAAGTCTTCGTCCACATAGGCAAAACATATCCTCAGCATATCCTTATATTCATCATGTCGTAGATTACCATGCGGCAAAGCCGATGAAGTGCCTTCGCCAACTATAACCCCTGCTTTTAGTGCAGCAGCGGCTACTTGCTTGGCTGTAACAGGCGATGGGAGCTGAAGCCATAAGAAAAAGCCACCTCCAATAGACACATTGTTGAGTTGCGGGGTAGATATCAAAGTCAGGCCGAGGGGAACTAGATGTTTCTTGGTTGCATATGAGAGTATAGATAGTCTTCTTTCATAAGCGGGTATTAGAGTTTGTCGGATATGTCGTGCTATGCATCCATTTTGGAGCATCTCGTTTATAAATGTTGATGTAAGTTGAGACGGTGCACCACCAGAGCGTGTGGATCCTCTTTCACTATCGTTAGGACTGATTGGACTTTTTAACACGAATCATAAGATATTGACTTACACTTGTGAGAGACCATATATGAAAGCTGGTGTGGCTTCAGCCCATCCAACTCGACATCCTGGGCCAACGATCTTGCTGAAGCTGCCATTGCTGACACAATGACCGAAATTGTCAATTGGGCCACCATCCATTTTCTGATCAATATCGACTAAACGTGGCATGAGGGTTCTGGACGCAGTATGTGTATTGGATGGTGAAAGTGATGATAGAGATGAGCAAATGGAAGGTTCTTCTGACGAAGGAGATTGCGAATAAGGTTTGTCTGAAGGTGAAGAGGCGTATTCGTCTGGATCTATTTCCCAGTGAACGAAATCATAGACGTCATCTGCAATCACTAAAGCATCGTATTTCCGCGCAAGTTGGATGAGTTGCTGACGTCGAAGGAGACTCATTATCCTGCCGGATGGATTGGAGAATGTCGGTACGCAGTAGATAACGTATCTGTATAATTTTCTGTATTGCCTTGATTCTTTCAGTGACTGTAGAAACCCTATTAGTTCTGTTTGCTTATTAGTTGAACATGTTCAGTGACACACCTCTAGGTTATCGTGTCTGAGAGGTAATCCCTCAGCTTGGTCCTGTAGACCTTGCTCTAACATCTTAATATCAACACCCTCTTCATCTTCGGGTATGCCTTTGAGTTTTCCATCAAACCCAGCATCCGTAAAAACTTGAAATGACAAAAAATAAGCGGGCTCAACCACGAATATCGCTTTTGTATAGACGGGATCTGTGTATAGTTGCAATATGCATGCCAAATTTTGGCTTGCGCCGCCAGTCACACATATCCTCTCAGCGTCCGGCTTTCGTGGATTACTTTCAGATGATTCTGTACGGTCGTCATAGAAGTCTGTTAGCCACTTTGCAATATTTTGCCGTAGTGGAAGATAGCCTGCATCAGCGCCGTAGTTCAAGCCTTCCTCCCATATCGATGGCGATGTCAGAACTGTGTTTGCCGCATTTTGTATATCGTGAACTGGGATAAGCGCTGGTGAAGGTGAACCACTAGCAAGATTGATGACTCGCGTAGTCATTCTGGTGGTACTCTTCTCCAATGGGAATTCCAAAGACTTCTATCGCGAAAAGGACATGCAGAAAATCAATCTAGTCTTCCACACAATATCCCGGGAGGGGTTATTGACCCTTTGTCCTGATGGTCAATGCCTATACGAAGCTGGCTGATTAGGCACAGAAGGACAAGATAAGGTGAAAAATATCAATAGATAATGAAGAAGCTTCATCGCTCTTCGAAACAATTTCTTATCTTCGAAGAAAAATCATGGCGACTGATGAGACAATTTGAGAAATATTTCCCCTTTCGGTCAAATTGGCGATCTAGCCAATCAGTGTGCAAGAATATTTTCGGGTAAATCCCGACTCGCTTCGCCGTGCTCGGCGATAAGCTTGCGACGACTTCAACCACAATTTCTGTTGTCATATGTTCGGATCATTGTTGATGGGAAGCTTCGCTATTACATTCTATTACCCTAGACTAGTTTAGACGGTATTCAAGTCCATAATTAGCCTCAATTTATTCGCCATTTGGTGTACAGCTTGGAATTGTAAATCGACGAACGGTTCCCTACATAAATTAAGGGATCTGTCCCGAAAGCAAAATCGATCCAGTCAGTTGCTGCAGCATAATCTCTGCATTTACAATCAAGACGATATCAGTACCAAAAGCATCATCATGGCAACATCCACAGTTCAACGAATTCCTTACTCGGCACCCCGAGAAGAATTCATCAATGCTTTGAAGAGAGACGGATGTGTAATTGTTCGGAACTTTACGGATCTTGAGACTCTTGAACAAGCACGACGTGAAGTTGAGCCCTGGTTGAACAAAAATGATAACAGCCAGGTTGGAGGTGAGTATACACGTTACGAACATTGCAGTTAACGATATCACACTAATCGGTGTTGCAGCATTAAATGGAGGCACAAAAACATGTACTCGTTTGATCGGACGAAGCAAGACCGTCCGCGAGAAGTTCTTTTCTGATCCTTTGTATCAAGTAGGTTTCTTGATCGTCTAATCGCGACAGAGGAATGTCCTTATTCATATGAATCCTAGTATCTTGGGGAAGAATTCTTGGGCATCACTACCACCAACTGGTACAATGAAGAGCCCTCAACAAACACAACCCACCCTCTTCTCTCTATAGCCATAACCATGGACACCCGCCCCGGCGCTCAGGCCCAAAAACTGCACCGTGATGACAAAAACCATCACGCACGACACCAAAGGGTCGACGCCTACCACACAAACCGCGACATGCTCCTTGGTTTATTCGTCCCTGGTTGTGACACAACTCGCGAAATCGGCGCTACAAGGATCGTCCCCGGAAGTCACCTGTGGGGTGATGAGCAACCAGACTTTGGACCAAATGGCGATAAAGGTGTTATTGATGCCGAACTCAAAGCTGGTGAAGCTTTTATCATGCTCGGTAGTCTCTACCATGGAGCTGGACAGTACTATAAGTCCACGGGCAACCGTATGGTTCATATTATGTTCATGTGTAGTGGCATTTACCGTCAAGAGGTCAGTTTTTTCTCCAACTACTATATACTTATGAGACTCGATGGCTGACTTCAACCTTTGTAGGAGATTTCATATCTTTCCTATCCAATTGAAGATGTCAAGACTTATTCCAAGCTTGTGCAGCAAAGACTGGGATGGAATCAATCCGAGCCAAATCTTGGTTGGGTAGACCTCATGTCGCCTGAAGCTCTATTGAAATGACGTGTTTAATATGTACAGACAATGATGTATTGAATTGGATGTTGGAATCTGGAAAATTGGGGTTTAGTCAACAATGACCTTATCTACTGGGCAAACTCTATTTACTCTAGTAAGACATATATTTGTAGTAGCTACGCATTTCTGGAAGCCATGTTTTGCACCTTGATTTCATTGGAAGTCATTCCATTATCTTGCCCATGATACATGGCTTCGAACTTCCATTGGATCTTCCAGATGTAGGGATCATATCTGACTCGCAAGCTTCAGGAGCCGATGGCGGAAAGAAATACGGCCCCACATATTTGTTCCTTCGTTCCGCAAGATTTAATGCTTCGTCTTATCGCAGCTTCCCAATTGGTTTAATCGCCTATGTCTCTGGGTATGGTTAGCGTCTTTTAGCCCTTATTTGCCCTTCGGAATTGCTCCGAGCCTTCGAGGGGAAATCTTCGGAAACTCAAAAAAGTAATATGGGGTGAATCATCAGATAACCTGGCTAGAATGTCTTCTTATCTTTTAGGAGAGAAAGATAACTCCATCGGACACGACAAGCGCGTTTGGAACTTGAGGCGAGTGATGTTATATACCTACCATTTGACATCCCGTTGTGCACTTAAAGTTCTAATGTTGTCTACAATTACATTTGACGAGATATCACTTTTGTACGACAACGATGGGTACAGAGAAAGAAATAAACATCTCATCAGATGTCGAGCCAGCTAGAGCTGACGTCAAGCCTGGCGAGACCACCAAGCGTGGCCTCAAGTCGCGACACGCCCAGATGCTCGCTCTTGGTGGGACTATTGGTACAGCACTTTTCGTCAGCACTGGCCAGACCTTAGCCAAAGGCGGTCCTGCCTTTCTTTTAGGGACATTTCTCTTTATGTCCGTTGTTGTGTATACTGTCGTCACTGCTCTTACGGAAATTGCTACTTGGATGCCCGTGTCTGGTAGCTCTGTAAGTTATTATGCCAATCGTGTTGTTTCGCCTTCTTTTGGATTCGCGACTGGATGGCTGTAAGGGTTTAGTTTGCTGTTTACTTATGTGTTGTTGATATATTGACTTTATTATAGTTATGTCTACTGCCTCGGTATCCTGGCTCCGTATGAGGTCACTGCGGCTTCTTTGGTCATCAGCTATTGGCATAGTACAATCAATATCGGCGTCTGGATTACCGTCATGATTGTTGTTGTGGTCGCATTGAACTCCTTACCCGTTCGATTCTATGGCGAGTCCGAGTTCTGGTTTGCGTCGCTCAAGGTTATCATGATGGCTGGACTCTTGGTTGTGTCAGTGGTCCTATTTTTTGGTGGTGGTCCAGATCATGATAGACTTGGCTTCCGATACTGGCATCACCCAGGAGCCGCGAATGAGTGAGTGGTGATGTACTTATCTCCGGTATACCACTTCATAAAGCTAACATACTATTGTACAGGTACATACTAGATGGCAATACTGGCCGACTCATCTCACTGCTGGCAACCCTTGTTCTAGCCGCGCTTCCATTTACCTTCGCTCCCGAGTTCCTGATCCTGACAACCGGTGAAATGGCCGCACCCCGCCAAACACTCCCCAAGGCTGCACGTCGTTACATTTACCGTATCTTGTTTTTCTACATCTCTTCCGTGCTAGCTATTGGTGTCATTTGTCCTTCTAATGACCCAGCTTTGACTAGCGGCGGCAAAGGAGCCGGCGCTTCTCCCTTCGTTGTAGCCATCAAAAACGCCGGCATTCCAGTCCTCGACAGTGTCATCAATGCCGGTATTTTGATCTCGGCCTGGTCTTCCGGGAACTCCTTCTTCTACATGGCAACTCGCTCATTGTACTCTCAAGCCCTAGCTGGCAACGCACCCTCATGGTTCTTAGCATGTACAAAAGGCGGCGTTCCATATCGGTGCGTGATGGCAATCGCACTCTTCTGCCCCCTCGCATACCTCAACTTGAGCAGCAGCAGTGCAGTCGTGTTCAATTGGTTCATCAACTTCACAAACGAATCTGCATTCATTTCCTGGACCTGCTGCTGTATTGTGCACCTACGCTTCCGCAAAGCTTGCAAGGCCCAGAACATTACCAATTTGCCATATTCGTCCAAGCTTCAACCTTGGGGATCGTACTTTGGAATTGTCTTCTTCCCGTTCCTTGCCCTCCTTAATGGTTTTGATGTATTCTTCCCCGAGAATTGGAGCACGTCGTCATTTTTCACTGCCTATGTCGGGATTCCATTGTTTTTGGCATTCTACGTTGGCCACAGGATTTACAACAGGAGTGATCCTTGGTTGTATGACCCTGCCTCGGTCGACCTCAGTGTTGATGATGTTGAGGGTATTCTTGAAGAAGTGCCGAGAACAGTTGATGGTAAGCGCAAATGGTGGCAATTTGTCACTCTGCTATGGGAGTAAATTCCAGGTCATCGAGTCCCTTGTACAGTAGTGACGTATATATCTATACGCATGAGAGAAATCTTACATTCTTCCACAAGAAACAAGAAGCGCAGGAAGATCAGACACGGTTATAAGCGCACATAACGTCGTGATATCTTTAGTTCCCTGCACTGTAATATGTTCACTAGAGCAATCCGTCCATAATCGTCCGATTGAGTACTCGCACATAATTTCCGCATTGACCGACATGCAGGGTGACGTAAATACTTTGCGAATAAAGCTCCCTCTACCATCAAACTTCCAGGATACATGCCAGCAAGGTATACAATCACAATGCCCATCGAGAATTTCACAGGATGAACTCGAAAAATGCCACTTGCTGGTTTGAAGATCATAATGTCTAATTGCCGAAATATTTAAGCACTGTCCTTATCAATGAGATGACTTTAGAAAATAACCAGCTTGCGACTGAACAGAAGCAATGCAGATTAAAACCTTACAGCCCCCATGGTAGTCTAAAATGATATTTTGCTGTTTAGTACGGGTCTCGCTAAGCCCTAAATGTAATCAACCCGTGCCCCCTGCAGCGAGCACGTAGAGAGGTTAGAGCCCCAAAAGTTACCTCTCCAACCAATCTTTGGGTCTCAATTTCATTTTTCCAGAGATTCTTTTAGGATGATACAGATTCGTTCGAGTCAACGGACAAGCGCCACGGCCGAAGGATGAACCTGGTGCGCTGGTCTACGTGTATTCTCAGATATGTAAAGGAATGTCCACCGCAAGAATTCTTGCAAATAAACATTGTAATCAAATATCAACATACAGTTATTTTGAAATCGACAAAGGGACGTTCGGGAGATACCCGGTTACAGGAGGCAACAGGTTCATAACGTACAAAAATCTTCCTGCCATCGCATTCTTCAGCTCAATAGGCGGTTCTATCCTAGCCTGCTTAACCTTGGCGCTCCAAAATGGATACCGCTGCCATAGGTAAGTCGTGATTCTCAATCAAGTCATCAGTAACCACTAAAAGTTCATCTCAATGATCCATAATCCAGAGAAGTTGAAAAATCTTCTCACCAACCGCGGCATCTACGACTCAGCAATCGCAAATATCCTCACCGTCACAAAAGGCAGGTTTTACGAAAAAGAGCTTGTTCACAAAGGCTCACTATACGCTAGTAACTCGGTAGATATAATCATCTTCGGAACCCGCGGGAAGATGAGTTTCGAAAATCCTCTCAAATCGACTTTCGACAAATCGACTGTGTGCCAGGATGTCATCCTAGTTGTTTCCGTTACGCAAGAACAATGGGCCCGGGAAACGAAGAAAGTGGTCCTGAACATAATCGCAAATCATTTCTTGCAGTTCTCAGCACAACGGGTATCAGCGAAAAACGAGATTTGCCTATTCTGATGATACCGATGTACAAATGGATGTTGAAGGTTCCGCATATCGACAAGAAAGCTATGGAGAATTTGATCTTCAAGTAATCGCGCTTTATGGAGCAAAAATAGAGACTGAGCACTATATTATTGTGCGGCCGAGCTTTTTAACAGATGGGAAGGCGAAGGATTGGCAAATAGCAAAGTCGGGACTGAGATCTGACCCGCTGTCGGTTGTACAATTTTTAGAAATGATGAGGGTGTCTGGTGGTTGCAGAATGCTGTACGAAATGGTCTGAAGGAGGAGAATTTGTATTGGCGGATAGTAGTGACCAACACTACTTGAGGGAAGACTTGTATGAGTTTAGTTTATGAGTTTAGTCCAATTTTTTCCTTTGGTCAAAGCCAAGAGGAATTATAGCTTTACACATAGAACTTTCATACGACCGTATCAAACGGTACTTAGATACAGTTCCCGTTTCTAGATTTGTTATTTACTATTCATGCATGTGGAAAGTGGAAAGGAAGCTTGTTAATTGAAAGTGCTCTTCACATTTTGTAGGTACAGTAATTGGTAAGTGCGGTTTATGATACATGAAATCAATATTACTCTGAGGAGCCTAGTTGCCCCATGTATATCATGTTATTTCTTTACTTGCTCTTCATACTATCCCACAACTCTCTTTTGTAGACTTGCAGGCGAAATTTCTAGAAGAATCATGAGCCAAGAGTAGTCCGTATTGGACTGAAAATCCATTGGTTTAAAAGTAAACGGTTCATGTTGATGGGTGGATTGGAATTGAGCCTTTAGAGAGGAAAGCACCATCAAACGACTTATACGCGTGATGTATGTATAGTTCTGTCACCGATTGATCTGTGAAGTATCAATTAACGGTGGCCTCTTCACAGAGGCTTTCATCTTCGCCACAGTTTCCCGAAAATGACTCATATATTCGGCGCCAAACCTACCAGACGAGTATTCCTCAAAAACATTGTAGTACTCTGCGAATTGCGTCAATGCTTGCTCTACTTTGTCAAAATCTCCCCAATCATTGTATAGTTGGACAAGACGTCCCATGTGGATCGATACAGCCCAAGGACTTCCTGCTCCATGCACAAATTGTTGCTTTGTTCGAATGACATTTAACATTATTTTTTCGGCTTCTTGGTATCGTCTTTGACTCTGGTATATCGTTGCAAGAGAAAATTGAAAATCCAATGTTGGCGGACTGTTAGGGCCATATATCTCTTCACTCAATGGTATCGCCTCCAAATAACTCTGTTCAGCATCTGCATATCGTAATTCGTGTTGGTACACCTCTGCAAGACCGGCATGATATTTCAAAATTTCTGTCCAATCTGGAAGGGTCGCAGATTTGGTTGCATTAATCAACTGTAAATAGATCCTCTCTGCTTTCATGTTTTGCCGTAATTTGTGGCACTGTGTTGCGAGACACCTTTGGCAGAGTAAGGTATTGGGATGATCTGGCCCCAGTATAATTTGACTTTCGCTGATAGTCAATTCAAAGAGAGCTTCGGACGCCGTGAGCCCACCTATGTTTCTGAATAGTATTGCTATGATGCGCTGACAATTCAAAATATCAACAATGTCAGGTTCCGGGGTCTCTGTAATCGCAGAACTGGATTCTTCGACCATTTCATCATCTTCAGATTCGGCGGATGATGATATCCAAGATTCGATGGTGGCGCGATACTGTGCCAAAGTGGTCACTAATCCATCCATGTATGGACTGAGTACGTCTTTCATCTTTTCTTCTTGTTGACAAACATAGAAAATCTTTGTTAGAGATTCTAGTATATAAAAAGTGACGTGGTCAAACCTTTCCTGCGTGCTCGAAACTCGGATGAATTGCATACATAAATCCTCTGCCTCTGTAAGCCTGATATCGCAAATTAAGCAATCAACGACCAGCCCCAGAAATTCGTAGTGTTTGATCTGTTCTCTTCGAATACATTCCTCTCTCAGTAGTGTCATGACATGATTGTAAACGCCTCTCAGTGACATTGCTTTCTGATACATTGTAACAGAGGACAATTCACACCGTTGGAATTGTTGATGAGAAATTCTATGGTCTTCATACAGTATCGTTGACTCTAACTGGGCAAAAGTTCTGAGTATCTGGTTTTCAAGCGTGAGTGATTTCCTCATAAAGTTTCGGGTTGCGATATAAACAAGGCGGTGAAGATTCAGTAGCTTGCCTTCAGCAAGTTCGGAGTCAGTCACGAATGCATAGGATTTGAGAAGACCGATTGCTTTGATCTTCTCATTTTCGGACGCAGCCGGAGGGAGTATGTACTGCGGGATGTCGCGAGGGTCAATGCAAGACATGAATGATAGGTATTCACCGGCCAAAGGATTTGATTGCTGAATTTGCTGAAATGAGATCCACCAAGTAGACGCCACAGGATTCTGAACGTCCTTGTATCGCCACTTATCCTGGAAATTTTCGCTCAGAAGGTCAATCATCTCCATTTCCTGTTTTTCGAGGATCTCGATGTAAGTGGATAGACCAATTTGATTTTTATTGATAAAAGCGACTGCCTGTGTGATCGCTAGGGGAAGAAAAGTCAACTTAGAAAGCAAGCTCAAGACGGTGTTGTGATCATTAAGGAGGTTCTGCTGCAACAGTGACCTTTGCAGAAATTCCGTTGCAATTTCGAGATCGAATTCCACGACTTCTACGATATTGGAATCCGCTAAGTCAATCGCAAGCTGACCATTGCGAGACGTAAACAAAGTACGACCGCATTCTTTGTCGGGCACAAAAGCTTGTAGCGCATTATCATCCTTCATCCACATATGTTCGCTATCGGCATTATCGAATATGAGTATCCATTTTCCGGAAATCGTTTGGCTTAGATACTCCTTGACCGCGGTCTTTACATCAGTCTGACTTGGTAATCTCAGTCGTCGCGCGATATCAGAGTATGCCTGCTCCACGCTTGTCTGTGATGTGCACGGAATCCAATAGATTGAGCAATCAGGGTCTGCATCCCGTAGCTGGTAAGCAAGTTCGATAGCAACCGCAGTCTTTCCGACTCCACCAAGTCCAGTGATTGCCAGTTCTCTTGGACCATTCGGGTCGGACATCAGAGCTCTGAGCTGCTCAAGCTGATCACGACGACCCACGAACTTGGGGTTTCTCCGAAAAGGGACTGTCCACTGAGTCTGTTTATCTATCATTAAGACTTAGTAGGTGTTATTTGAATCTTATTTGATTAGTACCAACCTATATTAACCACCGGGCTCACTATTCTGGTATCGATGTTCACGTATTCTAGGAATGTTTTCGCAGCAGCGGCCCCATTTGCAGCCGCAAATAACTGCCATTTGCTGTCCTTGTGGCTGTCTGCGTAATCACACACGCCCTTGATGATGATACAGGGAAAATTATCCCAGACCCCCGCACCTTCCATCTCAAGCGCAATAATTCCCTCTGCAACAGCGAGCTTGTCGCGGTGTGTTCCCGACTTCATGACTGTGTCTGCAGACGCAATGCGTCCGATATGAACGACTACTTTGTCCATATCTGTCCGCGGACGACGACGACAGATTTTACTTTCCTCGCAACCAAGAGCAATACAATCAGCCATCATGGCACCTTCGCAGATCGTGTCGGAGATGCCGTCAGACAAGCATAAGCAGTTATCCGCTCCCGAAGTTTCGTGATGTTTGTGTGTGTAAGAAGGCTCGAATAGGATGTCGTCGGAAGTAGGACGGTGCCACTTGGATCCTACTTGTTGGAGTTTTTGGGCGTGCATGGCCATCTTACTTTGGAACTCTATGCGAGTTTGATCACCGCTAAGACCAACGAGCATTGCTCTAAGCGCGTGAGATGGTCTACCCAGGGTATCCTTCAAATCACTTTTCCGTCGAAAACCGTCCGGGTATTGTTTACCAAGGTCGTACTCTATCACGGAATCGCTAATGATTATGTCGCCGAGGAAGATGTTCTGACCATTCGGTATCTTGGGAACTCCCCCACATATCCCAACAACAAGAGCCAGTTCAATCCTGGTGTAGCTGAATCGCAGATCTGACGATACCATTGCAGCGCTACCTTTGCCCATACCGGGCATGTAGCACACAACGACATTATGTTTGCCGATCCGTCCAGTCAAGTATGCATTTCGATCGCCCGCAGTTTTGCCGTAGATCTCTCCGAATCGATCGTAAGTTTTATCGAATATAGCTTCAACGGCATTGGCCTCCTCTACCAGAGCACATATTATGGCAATGGTGAATTCGTCCCGACTGCTCGGAAACATTTTAAGCAGCAGAACGAGTCTGGAGGAAACCAAGTAGGAAGAAAAGGCGTGACGGTAGGTGATCGGGTGTCAAGTCTCCTATTTCATATCAAGATAAGTTGGTGCAGGGTGTGGTAGTAAGAGAAATCTTGCTTACCTCTGAACCCCCTTCTAAGCCTCGGATCTAGCACGGATGGGAAATAGGTCTTCGAGTTGAGCAGAAGCCCGAAGACAAGCAAGAAAATAAATCGGCTATCAAGCCTCCAGGTGGTTGTCACGCTGTCAATTTGGTGGAAAAATAAAGAAAACTAAACAAAAATTTTTTTTGTTGGCCGCTCAACCTTTTTCAAGCCTCAAACAAGAGAGCGGCAAGGCTACGCACAACTTGGAGGTTTAGTGATTTGGTGCTTATTGCATCCCTGTCAAACTCTATCATTTGATTGGCCAGTATCTTTAACTTATTTTTTTATTACGTGTAAGTCCGCCTTGGGATGTTGGAATTCGCAGCCTTGTTCGATGGGAACCTATCAATTTTTGCTTTTTTCGGGGGGTTCACTGTTCGTGAGGCTGGGTCGCATAGTTAGTCCAGCTCGATATGAGCTTTGTTGATCGCGATATTTGAGTATTTCTCAAGCAAGGGTATTGACGACTGTAAAGTTCGTGTTAGAATTTCCTGACATTGTGACTTTTCGTTCAAGTTGATCTGATAGTAGCGCTACCTAGATAGGGTTATCGGAACTAGCACCGGATGTGGGTTCCTTATTTAAGGTTTCCACATGCTGACCCACGGGAAGCGATAAGAAATAATTCCTCCATCTTTACTTTAACTCCAAGTTTATTCCTCCACCATTTTGATTTGGAAAAGGACAATACTATACTCACAATGGAAGCTACACTTAAAACGAGCGCCCCCGCTAGACGACGTAAGAACGGCTGTACAGAATGCAAACGAAAAAAGGTCAAGGTATGAAGAAACATCTCTTAGATCCATCTCAATGCGATGGCACTGATAGCGATGGCAGTGCGATCTACGTGTCCCGGTCTGTACAAGATGTACTCGCTTTCCGAACGAATGCAAATATGAACCAAAGTTTATCTATATGCATGGCCAACAATCGGAGCCATGCCGAGGAGGAAGCACTACTCCGAGGAATGTTATCAAGCATGTCAGTCCAATCAGCTGGCCATCCAGGACTATGACTGTCTTGACACAACCCTCGCCACAGCCTCAACGTGCATTAATTTCAAGCCAGCTGGAGATTAATTGCCCAGAGAAATTCACCGTGCCATCTCCCTATCTAGCAAACGCCCACTCGCGGGTAGAAATGCACCACCTAGTCGCCAAAACCGCCACAACCGTATTTCCATTAGCATCTCAGTCGTTTATCGACCGATTGATGCTCTCGGCTAKGGGAMCCCCGCCGCTACTCTACGCTCTTCTCGCGTCTTTCGGGAGCCATCATGCGCGTCGTATGACATCTTCCGCATCCGAGTCCGAGAAGACTACGCTCATGTTCACTAATCAAGCCATTTTCGGCCTTAGGGCAGCTTTGGCACATGACGATGCTAACAGGACGGTCAAAGCGAGCACTTTGATGACGGCTATAGCGTTGTGTACGAATGATGTGTGTAATGGCAATTTGGATGTATTCAGGATGCACATGAAAGCGATACGGCAGATGCTCTTGTCATTCATACGGTCATTGCCAGCGGGCGAGAAGAGTTTGAAGGGAGATTTACTCAATGTCTATCTGATTAAGTGGTTCGCGGCGCTGGACGTCGCGGCCAGTTTGTCGTTATTTAATCGGGGGGAGCAGTATGAGCAGGAAGAAGGTGAAGGTGGTGAAGCAGCCAACTATTGGACGAGCCATAAGATCTTCAGTCCGTCGGAAGATGAGGTGGACGATATTTGCGGCTATTCGTTGAATCTAGTACCTATATTTTCGGAAATCGGAGCTCTGGCGCGAGCTCAATACGAAAGCCTGTCGTCAGACGGGACTTGTATGAGCGAGATCAATACAGAAGACAGCATGACATCCAGAGTCCAAATCCTCGAAACTCGACTTCAATCCCTCCCCCTCCCCAAAATCTCAACCGGAATCTGGACCGATCATCAACGCCAACTCGTCGAAGAATTGCGTGACACCCATCCAGCCTTCGTCTATACCGCTCTGTTGCACCTCCATCGTCGCGTCCAACTCCTACCCAAAAGCCACCCCAAAGTCCGCAACGACGTTACCAATATCCTCCACGTTGTGAAGAATGTGCGACCCTTTTCACCGGCAAATGTGCTACTTATATGGCCCTTGTTCAGCGCCGGATGCGAGACGGATAGTACGCCTGAAAGAGCGGTTATTGATGAGAGAATGTCTATTATGCAGTCTTTAGGAATGGGAAACTTCACGAGAGGAAGAGAGGCGCTGAATCGATTCTGGGAGTCTGGGACGGAGTTGAGGTGGGATGTTTATTTGAGTCGATCTGGGGTTGATCTGGTTCTATTTTAGTGATAATTCCTATCGTTCGCGGATTTAAATAATCATGGTTATGGTACACCTCATTCTCAAATACTATGATCAACTTCGGCATCATGACGTTGGAATAAACGGAACATAGATAGAATCAAATCAATGCGTTCCTGGACAGCAGTCACATGATAACCAGCCCTAGAGGCCATTTAATCCATAACTTCTGCGTAGAATGCTATATCTATGCTACTCTTGTTCAAATATCTTACAATGACGCAACTCGGCGAGAAAAGCTGCATTAGTCTATACATCATACGTAGCCCAGCTGAAGCTAGATGATTTGTCATTTATATTATTTAGAATTAGGCTGTTTAAGCATCAGGAGATTGGCGTAAACGTGTATGTAAGACAGGGGCGGAGACTGCCTAGGTAGGTAAACTAGATATCCAGGTGCATCGGTAATTGATTTGAGAATTTCGGAATAGTTTGCTATAATATAAAAACGTGCCGGCTGACCCGTTTATTGTGCCAGATATCCGAGACTCGCGATTGTAAAGGTTATATATACGCTTGAAGACGATCAATCGCGAGAATTTCCAAGGTTGACTTCTCAACCTCGGAGCTAGCTATCGCGCGCGCAAATCTCTTATCGATAATAGCAACATCAACCAAATCAACCATCTTTTTTGGCACGGCGCATTCCACGGCCCAGAATGGTTCGACGTACTTCTCCCTCCTCTCAGGGCAGCCGGCTTCACTTCCATGAACAACGACCTAAAATATCCAAACGCAGAAGTAAACTCTCTGCGAGTAGTCTGCAGCAGGATATTGATGTTCCCCAGGCTACCGCATTGCATATTCTAGACGACGGTAGCAGCGGTGAGTGCGATGGGGACAATAGAGTTACAGGGTCGGATTGTACCGTATTAATGCACTCTTACGGCGCCATTCCTACCACTGAAGCTCTCCGGGGTCTGAGCCGCGATGGAAGAGGTGCTCAAGCCACGGCGGTAGTGAAGACGGTGTAATCGTCTTGCAATATTTCAAAAGTCGGGGATAGTCAGTTGGGACAGATGACAAACTATCTCCAAGAGTTGGGGTGACCGACTTATCTTCCCGTTAGGGCTTCTGTGTGTGTCAAAGGTCATCACCCAGATGGAAAGAATGATTGCTCATTTGAAAAGGACGATGGTGTGGTGAAGCTCACCGGTAGAGTGGTCATCGTGGGCTTGCCGCGGACGAGCAGGCCGCTCTACAGGCGAAACTGAGCGCTCATTCAACGGTATAAGTCTTTCTATCCTACCCGGAAACATTATATTTTTTGGGATGAAATCGGTGACATACAATGCCATTGAAGGGTCCTGTGGCATATTAATTGATTCCGGCGTGATATATCATTTCCAAAGAGGATAGGACATTGCCTGAGGCGTTTCAAAGAGTGTGCATCAGAGTGGTTGAGAATGTGATGAAGAATGTTGACGAGGTCTGTGCTGGTCATGGCAGCTTTCCGATCAAGCCGGACATTGCTACGGATTATATCGAACGTGCCGCGAAGAGTGTATCGTGAAATCTATCCAAAATATCGTCATAAATAGAAATTTCTCATTGATCTTACATAGGTATATTAAAAAGCACAAACAGCCCATCGCCATCCCTAACCCAAAGCAAAAACTAATATATCACAGCAGCATTCATAACAAGAACATATTCCAAAACCGCCGCCCCGGTAATCACAACCTCCTCTACCAGCCTTTTATTGTTGCATGCATCTCCAAAAAATTCGATCTGACTCATTCTCTTCCACTTGAAATTACTCGCCTTGATTCGCGCAACCATCACACCGGCCGGGTCACGGAACTCAAAATCCATCGTCTTCCATTTCCAGCTCGTCTTCCATGTCATTAATTGCCCTTGTAAGGCTGGTGACGAGTAAGATAGTTCATAGTTGAGTTTCTTCTTGAATACAATCGTAAACATGGGCGTATCCGGCAATGAAACGTCCATTTTCATGGACAGTTTGTGAAATTTGACGGATGCAAATTCTTGTTTTGTGTCGGGTCGGAGGAAGGTCAAGTTCATATTCCAGCCGACTGTGACGTTGAAGATGTCTTGCGATGGGTTTGTGAGGTCGTAGATACGCAGGGCTGTGCCGAGCATTTTGGTGTTTTCGGTTTGGAGAGTTAGGGTTGGGGATTGCATGTGATGCGCTTGTGGGGGGTATTTTGAGGTCGCATCATTTTTTAGCTCTTGTTGCTGTTCCGCAGAGTATGCTGGAGGAGGAGGTTGATATTGCTCTGTGTTTTGTTCGTATATTTGTTGCTCGTGCTGTTCTCTTGTTAGAATCGTGGTAGGATATCCAGCACACCAAGCGAAGACCTACCTCGAGCTTCTTAGACGATACGAAGGTCATTTTGCAAGGATTGTCGAGCGTGTAGTAGTATTTGTAATTTTCTATCATGCAATTGATGTGTTCTGTTGAACGCCAAAATGTTGTGGAATATCAGCTCTTATATACATGAACCTCACTGTACATTTTACAGCAATCTACGTATGACGTGGGCCTTAACCCAATTAGGCTCAACGTGCCGCCGGCAGTCATATCATTGGCTAGAGCCTTCCAAAGTGGATATATATGACCAATGACAAGCCGTATAGCCAAGCCACATCCTTAGGCACTCCGCCCCGTCGCAAAGAGCCCCCAAAAGCCAAACATCGCCAACTCATGTTGATCTTCACTTCGAATGTACCTTTCTAGTCCATGTTCATCGGCTGAGATGTGCTTTAAATTGACTAGAATGCCTATGCCATACAAGTTGAATTGTTCCGTGGTTATGAGACTAGGATGTTAATGACCTCAATCTTGATTCTGCGTAAAGTTCCAGCACCTACATATGTGTCGACCAAGACCTTGCAAACCGCGCGAATAGCTATGAAAAACAAAGATTAACGGAAACATTGCGATACGGCTAGTTCAGTGCCGTGACATCAGTGTATAACCTTTGTGATGTTTTTCATTATTGAGATGAACGGATAAAAATATTATCTTGTAAAATACTACATTTTGACCTGTGAGCACTACCTAACACCAGGGCGGGTTGGCACGGATGTCTCATGAATCATTGTAAAAAGGTAAGACAGTCCCCAGACCGCCTTCCCATTTCGTTTTGGTCTGAACTTTGAGACAAATTAGCTTCCTTCACTTCTTATATCATTATAAATCTAGTCACAATTCGGCTTCTCCAGCGAATATCTCAGACTTGTACATCAGATAATTACGCCGAGGCAAATTTGACAAGTGGCTGGGACGAGAGCAAACCGCCATGCCTCAATCTCTACCCAATGTAGGCGACGTATTCCATTTTGTTGCTTCCAATGCAGGATCAAGTCGTCCATTGGATAAGTCGTCTCGTCGGTTTCTCGCTACTAGAGCGACAAAGGCCAAACGCCGAAGGGACGAAACACCGCTGAAGAATGAAACAAGCTCCACTCTTAAAAGATATTCTACAAAATTAGGACCTTACATGAGTAGTTGGCGAGTTAAAAACAACGGCCAAAACGACCAAGAGTCTTCTGCCTATATCACCGGAAGATCACCCCATGATAATCATTTAAATGTGGATGAAGCTACAGATAACAGGGCTACCATTCACTATCGCCCAGAATACTGCGGATTGAGCCTTCAAGTTTTACCGGCCCCAGACTACGGCGTAGAGCCTTGGGCAGCAAACTTGCTCAATTATTACTTCCATATGCTAGTAATGTGGCGATATCCGATGAAGTTCCGTCGCTTCTCCAGCCTCTTTTCTCCACCATATGCTGAGCACGAGACTTCGTACTCATTACGAGACCGATCCAACTTTTTTACTACCCTTGCTGTGGCATCTTCACATCTGCAAATGTATAAACGTGAAATGGGGTTTGATCCCTTCCGACTGGGTCTTCCCATCAATCGTCATGCTTACTACAGTGTTGTGAGCTTGAAAGCAATACGCCACGACGTGTGCAACTACGGCAAAATGAGCTTTGAAAATAAGTCAGCTTTAATTTGGGCTATTTGCAAACTAGCTCTGGCAGGTCTGTTTTGTAACGATTTCGCCGCCGCAAAAATACATCTGGCAGCGATCGCTAATATCATTCGTCAAGCGGGAGGAGAGTGGCCTAACATTGAGGATTATCAGAAACACCTATTGTTTATTGTCGACGTCAATACGGCAGCCATGTTTCTCGAAATGCCACTTTTCCCCGCGAGCTTCCAGCATCGCAGCTGTGACTTGATGGATTCTACATTAGCGTCGACATGTGATCAAACTACGAATAGCACAAGAGCAAGGGGATTCTCTGAAAACGGATTGGATTTGGCTAAGGGTCTACCTTTTCTGCAAGGTATAATATCTCGACTGGATCATACAATCACGTATCTCGAGTACTTGATGGGAACAGATGGATATGTGTCAAATCCGGAATATGTCGAATGGGTCACATATAATATCAATGCCATGGACCACGAAATACTAACAGAAATAGCCTCATTTTTCAAAACTTCATCTTCAACGCGAGAACGATTGTCACAAAACATTCAGGAAAGCTGTCTGGTCACTATCTTATGCCTCAATTTCACCATTGTGAAACCAGCATCATGCCATAGGGGCATAAAACTGGCCTCTTTCTTAATAAAAAGCCTCTCAAAGATAAAAGAATTGATATGCAACCCTACATATAGAGAGTTATACCTTTGGATGGCCTGTGTTGGGGTATGCGTTACACCATGCCGTATTCAGCAAGAAAGCTTGTTCAAACTGCTGATGGAACCAGCGATTTCTTTAAACTTCTCCTGCTGGACCGATGTTGTGCATGTTTTGAACAAATTTTTCTATATCGAGTTTATACATGGGCAGCGACTTAGTTCGCAGTTTGAAAAGAGAGACTTTTTCGCCCAAACGCAGACAAGGTTAACAACGATTTTTAGCTAAGAGATTCCGAGGTTTTTGAGGAATCTCAATGTAAGTGACCAGGAATGACGATAAATATTGTCAAAATGAAGATCAAACAAAGTAACTAGTGAACTTCTCAAAAATGTGATAAATATAAGCAGAATGTAAACTTGTTGGCAGCTGTCCATTTAGTCTTAAATATGGTGTCAACTGGTCGCTTATAGTTACGCCCATGACTCTGATAATTCCACTTTCAAAGAGTGGTGAAAGATTTCTTTTGGCTGAGCTCTTCTATAATTTATAGCAAGGATTTTAATCACCCTATACTTCTTATCATCTGGGATCTTTAGTCCTTTATTACTTATAGATCATAACAATAATCAAATTCGGCAAGATGTATAAAATAGTCAGCCAGTGACACTAAGACTCATTATGGTTCAATACTCCTATTGATAAGAGAAAAATAAATCCTACTTACAATCTTCGGCTGTCACGCGCATAACTTTTTCGGCTTATTAACAGAATACTAGAAGCTACTTTATTTATAGGCCCGGCATTCTAACATAACCTTACACAGCATATTAGGATCACATTTAGCTACCTTGATGAAGTCTTATAGGTTGAAATACTGTGCTTGATCAAAAACCTCCAAGTCTTCTATTTGTGCCTAGCGCGACCAGTGATATCTGGAGGTGCTTCGTCAATAATCTAGCTAGGTGAACGTCGATAACGGCTAATACATTTGCTCCGGTGTCGAGTAATGTTCTAGATGCGGTTGATAGTGAATTTGTTTGCCAGTCGAATTGGTTTGGTAAAAATATCCTTGTCATCGCCCAATGATCAACACCATTCTAATCTAAGAAGGAGTCTTTCCCTACGCCCCATCTTTTTCCTGGTCGACGGGAGCCTTTAACTCCCCAACGCTCCTGACAGCTACAACCGATTCTTGGGCAAAATACAGTCACGGTTAAGATGACCCTGTTGCTTGCAGTTGAAGCACAAACGCTCGTCCTGCAACTCCTCTGAAATTGGAATAAATAGCGACCGATAGTAACAAAGCTGGCAAGAACAATGAATGACTGGATGGTGATAACAGAATTTGGTAAATCGGAGATTTTTTGTTCAGAGAGCAGAGGTATATAGAGGCGGAAAATTAGACATGGCTTTTTCATTTGGAAGATACATGTTAGATCGATTCCAGTGAGAATGATGGAGCGCCTTGTAGACGTTTCAGACCTGGTGGTCGAAAACGCTCTAATACCTCACTCCGCTGGGCCTCAAATAGTGAGAACTTCAGCCGTTGCGTCGTAGGACACGAAGAAGGCCACGTGTAGAATTTTACAGTGTCGATGTTTGTAGCAACCTTCGCCTAATTGGACTGAACAAGCATACTAACTCGAGATAGGGCAATGGCAACGCCACAATCGAACATGCATGGTGTTCCATCTTCTTTACCGATACTTCACAATTGCCAATCGTCCGACAAAGGGCCACGGAGTACTTGAAGCGAGTAGAAACATTGCGGCGCCTAATGAAGGATGGGAAAGCAACCCATCAGCGGAACTGACGAGGAAGATGCGTCATTAGCTTTGTCTTCAGGTGGGCTGGTGAGTGCTTGGCATTACTGCCTGATTAGGATATACCCTGTTATAGTACACTGCAACACTTCAAAAATATAAAAGTACTTAAAAATAAACATCTCGAACAAAGGATGTTGTATACAGACGTTGGCTGTGGATGTTTTCTGAAACAAAGTCAGAGACGTACCTGAGATAACTTTTCTATACAAACTCAACATGGATTCTGAAAAAACCCGAACATTTCTACAGAACATATTTGAATCCACGGACTTTGATTTTACCACGTTTCGCGACTATCTTAGTGATGACCTCGTTTGGACCGCAACTGGCGACTCTCCTCTGTCCGGACGATACGAAGGAAAAGAGGCTTACTTGAGACAAGTTCTTGAGCCCCTGCATGAAAAGCTAGCCGTGCCTATTAAACCAATCCTACAGAGAATATTGGTAGATGGGCTCTGGGCTACTGTGCATTTCCGGTCAGAAAACGTTCGGGCGAAGAACGGAGCTGATTTCTCCATGGATTACTGCTGGATGATAAAAGTTCAAGGGGAGAAAAGTGTCGAGGTAGTCGGCTGGTACGATCAAAAGAAGATGTGGGATGTCTTTTCTTAGATGATTTTAATATCCTCCCTCAAGAATGACTACATGATGTCAGAGCAAAAATTGGATTTATCAGTCTTCTATGGATCGGGTGTGGAAAAAGAAAATCGATTGATGGGAAACTGATATCAGGTGGTCTTGGTGCGAACAGGGCAGAGACTGTGAAGTATTTTAAAGTTAGTCATCAGCAACGAGTGGTGTCAGCCGAGTCAGAAGCGGCTTCACATCACTTTCACCTTTATGCTACACATGAAACTAGGATGGATGGTAATGACAAATTGAATCGCGACGTCGTCTTGTTAAATCCGGCAATGTTACATATTCATAATACTTTGATTTGTATTCAGTACCGTAACTAGTAGTTTTGCCGGAGTTTGATGATAAAAAAGACTTTTTCAATGTTTTGGGAATCTGATTTTTGAAAAATAGCATCTTTACTAAGAGAAATCATGGAGTAGCAAATCATGTATGGTGAATTTATCAGACTCATGAATTGCAAAAAACTGCTCTAGGCGTCGTAATAATCGGCCTCTGCGATTTCTCGTTAAATAAGATCATCATCAGCTTGCTTATGTCTTTCAAGAGCCTTACCTTTGAAAGGTTTCTTTTGTTGAAAGTTGATTCTTCTACTTCCTAAAAACGCTCGGAGTCAATTGAATCTCATTGTGAAGCCAGAGATTAAACTGTCTCGCTAAAAGTATGAGGATACATAGTTCTTCTGAACAGATCACCTTGTCCAATATGTTTCATATGACTTAATGCTCTATAACTGCCAAATTTCCCTCTGACCAGCCATTTTCGATAACCAATTTCGACATTCTCCAAAGTCCGTCTTCTGCCCTACGCAATTCAACGTTGTACCGATTCCCCATTAACAAACGATTTTCCGTTTCTTCTGGTCGTGGACCGAGCGTAGGCGGATAATGCTGGGCCAAACCCACGCCAGTCATATAAGCTGTGTCCACCTGTATATGCACTCTCCAATTACCGACAAGATGATGCGAGTCCATTCGTCCTACGCCATTGAGAGATTGCGACACAATGGCATCACGCGTGGAGGTAACGCCAGACGTCAAGCCGATCTTCTGGATAGGCGTCAGGTCGAGAATGGCGTCTTCAGTCCATGCAGAGGATATTAATAGCTCGTTGCATTCGTCGAGCCCTTGAGTGAAGCGGAGGAATGTGTCGATGCAGGCTTCTCTATCCGAGAGGCCACTGAGGTGAATTGGAACTGCCATTGTTTTTGTTGCTGACTGTATTGCTTATTGAGAATTTTTATGTTGTTTCTATAAACTTACAAGTGCGATGTCTGTTTATTCTTATATGGCTTTCCACCTTTCTTCCGAATTCAGGTCTGAGCAACGTTAGGTGATAATAATAAAAAGCCCGGAAATTGTGAACTAAAGTCCGGGTTAAATCCGTTCTCATAAGTGAAAGGATAGTGACAAGGTAAAGGTTCTAATCAAGTTTTTCCAAGGAAGCTGGATGTGTACCATTATTACTGCTGGGTCTTTGCAACTCAGGTGGTGTTCCTAAAGAGGAAATACCCATATCGGGTAATTTTGCCAAGACTCAGACACTTCTTATTTGCGGAGGTGGGAATTGAAAAATTGAGTGGGAACGCGTATTGTATTGTATCCCTGTGTGTCTAATAGAATGAAAGTAACTAACATCTGTGTGTCATTGTTTGTACACAGTCGTTCGGAGGTTATGCTTAATTGGAGGACCTGCTGACCCAGAGGATAAGGACGAACAATCCGGTTCATACGGGATAAACCATTTTATTTACGTACAGCCGCAAAGGAAGTTCCGGAGGCCCTCTCTTTAGTGAGCCCAGTGCCATTGCGGTGTTACTGCAATATGTGGCCAGCGCTGACTCATTCCGTGATAACAAGCCACCAAGGAGGTTGAGTCAGAAGACTGTTGGGGTCTGGAAGAACTACGCGATTAGGAGGATTAGGAGGATGTTGTTCTAGTACTTAGGTCCAGTTCTTATATAATACTCCTAAATAGGGCTCACTAGGAGTGTCCTTGTATCTGAAACTATAGGGTGTGGTGGCCTACAAGCAAGCCCGCCGGATATGCCGCATAGAGGATATGTTCTCATCCCGTGCGTAGGATGGCTTGTGATTAAGATATGGCGTTACAATGTCTTCCCCTGCTTTCCCTTCTTSGAGCCGTAATCTGCATGGCTTTTAGGTCTCTTCATACTATCATACTACCCTGTTATCGAAGTAGATTAATATAGTAAGGGTATTTTAATTGACTGCTATTAATATGAGGTCGAGTAGATAGATCGGACATTGAGAGATAAAGTATATGGATTTAGATTCAATGTTGTGAATATGATATTTATAGAGGAGATCCAGTTTATAGTGATTGAATAGATGTGCCAGCACTGTAAAGGTATTTATTATACTTAATGAGTAAATTAGCGTGTTTGTCTTTAGATTATTGAGTATATCTGTGAGCTAATATAAGGCTCGCTAATCTGATTATAGAGCTTAGAGTCGTGCTCAGTTTTACTTAGGGAGTAGAAATGGCGAGGGGATGAACACTAAAATGGAATAGGAAAGCTGCTGGGCGTCAGAAAAAATCAAGTACGTAGGTGACTATACGAACTTGATTTTCCCTGCCAGATGGAGTTTTCCTTTTCGGCTGCCGCCGCTTTTGTGAGGGCTCTCATGGTCCGGCTCACTGAGTAAATTTCAGTCCGGGGTCACGCTCACTGAGCCCTTGAGCGTCATCATGTGACAAATATTAGGGACCGCGTTGTAGCTTAGATAAACAGGGGTAGGATTTCTAAAATTATAAAGTTATTCTTTACTATATCAGTCTCAGTTTCACGTTCTGAAGCTGAACAAAAACTGCTCCCAACGTTTCTTAGTAAGATCAGTGCAGCTCTCAGCTCCACGTTGAACCTCAAATATGTCATAGATATAGCATTTGCGCAAGCGATGTGAAGATTAGCCAGACATTATTGACCTTATTTCCCTATACAATGGAGGGCTATCGGTTTGCAAATGGGATGAAATGTTCAGAGTCTGCTATAATTTCCTGGGCAGCTTTCCGAACACTGGCAAGCGAGTCAAGCATCCCCTCAACGAAGGGGATTCGCACAGACTCTTTGGATACCAGATCCATGACATCAATGACACTTTGCTTGCGCTCGAGCGACCGGCCGAATGTATCAGGCGCTCTGGAGAAGGCTTTGCGATACCTATAGCATTTTGACTGCAAATTCTCCTCTCGATGGGTCCAAAGTGGCGAAGGTTTTCCCCTGAATCTGATCTTCAAACGCGACAACAATGCCATGGCCTTTGGTAGTAAAGTCGATTTCGCCCATGCTGGCCATAGATTTCGAGCGACGAATGACAGAGGTTCCACAGGGTACAAAGTGCTTTGGCCGCGCTGCAAGTTGGAAATACGTGAGCATCCCTAATGAATATACCGCTAGATAGGCGAAGAGATTTTGCGACCTTACACGCTGCCAGTTAAACCAGAGATCGGGTACAACGGAATTCTTAAGGCCGTAACAAATGGGTAACACGGCGTGAGCGACGTAATGTTGGGTTTCCAGCCCTTACAAAAGTCCCCTCCGCTATCGAGGCCTTCGGAGCTCAAGGTTAAGATGACTCTAGGTCAAGACTACTTAAATGACCAATGGAAGCCGCATATCGATACTCAACGGGAACTAGTGGTTCATTTGACATTAGGTTGGCGCTAGTAAGCGAGCAAACCAATCAAGAAGGCACAGCGGATTTATGCGATCTCGGCTCATAGCCACTTGCAAGAGGGAATGCGGGACTGGCAATGCCTGAATAGTTACATGCATCTTGGTGTTATTTCATAAAATTTGTAGATATTTGGCGTTAGGAGATATTATGCTTAACCCCGAGTAAATTTCTAATCACTTTCGCAAAAGTCCCTGTGGCTTAAATATAAATAGGAGCCGAGAACCCACGAAAATACTGATTCATACTTTCTCCAGCAAGCGAAATATCTACACATCTTGTTCGACTTCCTCGCCGAATTGGTCATATTCTCAACAATACTCTATCTCATTTTCATTGACATCATGTCTCCGGCACCACTCTCCGAGACTATTGTCCTCATCACGGGTGCAAATCAAGGCCTCGGATATGAATGCGTGAAGAAGCTTGCTCTAGAGCAGCCCAACTACCGAATTATTATCGGCTCSCGKGATTTATCTAAAGGACAAGCCGCAGCTTCTAGTGTGACGAAGGTGGCCAAAAATACGAGCATTGAAGCTGTGCAACTAGACGTTACATCTGACGAGTCAATCAACGCCGCTGTCAGCTATGTCGAAAATAAGTACGAACGACTGGACGTTCTTTTTAATAATGCTGGAATCATGTTTGTGAACGAATCTTCTCCACGTGTTGAGTTTCGCACAATATTAGAAACGAACACCATTGGTGCGGCGTGTGTCACGGAGGCGTTCGTTCCCCTTCTGAGCAAAGCTGCTTGTCCGCGACTTCTTTTTATGTCTTCCGGAATGGGATCAATGACTCTGACAACGCTACCGTGTTCACCTTTCTACGGTTATGATTTCAAAGCCTATTCTACTTCTAAGGCGGGAGTGAACATGATCGGCCTAATGTATGCTAAGCAGCTGAGAAAGTCTGGCTTCAAAGTGAACCTGGTTGATCCAGGATTCCGACAGACAAACCTCAATGGATTCCACAGCGAAGGTGGGGATCCAGCTGCTGGAGCCACGGAAGCGTGCCGCCTGATTGCCGACGCGTCTGTAGACGGACAACACGGAAGCTTTTCGGCCACCGAGGGACTTGTCCCATGGTGAGAGCTTCCCAAGTGAGCTATATCGCGTTGCTTGAGAACCAAAATGGAAGGATATATTCTGAGAATTAGCTTACTTTTGAATCCTTAACAGGGTCTGAAATACAGTTATTCCAACCAAGATTTTGAACCCTAGATAATCGACTCTCTATCCTTGAAGTCTTTTTTGCTTTCAAATTGTACAAGAATAAAATGGCGGTATTTAGGGGCCCTAGCCTTCAAATTTAGAATAGGGACAGAACAGCCAGCTTCTGAACGGCGAGGAGGTATGGCGTTTGAAGCCCATAAGCTCAATACCTTGTAGTGGTGAATCATGACGGTGCATATATCCAGCCGCAAGTTGCACGTTAGCTAGTGGACTGCATACTACTCAAAGTCTTGAAAAGCCCGAGACATAACACTAGCACTACTGATAACAATCTTTTTGAATCTGGCAATTTGCATGGGAGACCGTCTCAATGAATCATTTGGATAAGATCATGAAATCGAATTGGGCACCATGTACCCTCCAGAGATTGCATTTACAACGCGTGCATTTATACTCAGCTTGCTCATTAGTAGGTTCACGAGAAGGAAGTGGCCGAGAAAGTTCGTGGCAAAGTAGAAACTATTTAGCGGGTGATATCTGATTCTCATGGTACCACACGCTGAATAATTTCTTGTTAATTCCAAGGCATGTTCAATGAACTGGCCAGACTATGAGAGAGGCTAAAATAGAAAATAGCCGCTGCAACCTAAGGAGGAAAAGTATTAAGAACATCCGATATTTAGCTGGCCGTCTGCCTTGGTAGCATCTGCTGTATGCCCTCGAATCTCCGCGGTGTACTCAAGCGGGACAAAACCAGCGCAATCTCGTCAATTGGGTACTGTCGATCGGATATCCCCGATCCGTTGAAATGGTAGCTGAGGATTCTCTGACCAAACAATACGTGTGGACTTGGACCAGACCGTTGCTGTTGGATTTCATCACAAATTGCTAGAAGAATGCAGCCAATAAGGACGACGACAACATTATTATCGCGTGTATCACCTAAGAGCCGTAGTGCTTTCGTGTAATGGACAAGAAACATGATATTTCTCTGGCCATGGTCGAGAAATGGTACTGTCCCGAGTGTTGAGGTAGCGATCACCAGGTGTTTAATGCTTTCGTGAGTACTACAAGTTGCTGGAACTATCGCGTCCCAGAATTTGTTCGTTCCAAGAGAGGACAGAATGGGTGCGAATATCTCGCAGTAGAATTGAAATGAAGCTCTGGATTTTTGTTCACATTCTGGTCGAGCTTGCCCGGTCGCAATCACGGAATACTGTATCGGAGATGGCTGCATAGTACTGGTGTAACCATCGCACCGGCGACCTGTTGAGGAGCAACGTTTGCAGGAAGGCTTAGTCTCGTCACATTTGACACGACGGATTCTAGATGGCATGAGTAGATGCACAAGAAAAGGGGCTCAAAACGCCATTACCGGCAAGTGATGCATCCAGTACGGCTGCGTTGGTGGCGGACAAGACGATGAGGAGCGGTGGAGAAAGACATGCAGTAGTAACTAGCTTCCAAAGATATCGCAAACTGTTTAGAGCGGGCGGTTTGGGCCGGTCAGCATTCCGGAACTTGCCTGAAGGTTAATGAGAACCAGCAAAGTGCCAGGTTTACAGATTATTCTCCTTGTATTTCCCCAAAATGCCAAGACCTTTTCTCCATCACGTTCCGGTTCCTCTCGGTAACACTGAAATAGCGCTGAGAAGCAACCAAAATACGAAGTTGAAACAGTCACACAATGGACGTCTGGGAAAATGCCGACCAAAGTGGTAATGGAATTTGTGCCCGCCTCGGAATGAGCCTGATGTTCAATCCATCTCATCGCTATGGGCAAATATGATGGCGTGCTAGTGACCTCGTTTCAATCACAGCTTGTTCTCCAAACCTCCATAATGCCAAGACTTGGTTGACCCGTATGTAAAGATAAAACCAGGGCGGTGAAACCTCTTATTGTATAAGGGACCCAGATTGACATTTCATTCTTTTTTCCCCTTTTCAGCAAACGCAGAATACTAGAAATCAAGATATTGTTGAGGTCACTATTTCACACGATTCCACACGATTCGTTATCGAAAATGAACCCCCTACGAGATGCAGGTGTGCCTGGTCACGTCCTTCAACTTCTGGATCGCCTGCACGCAGCATCTACTGCACAAGAGTCTGAATTGGACATCACCGCATTTGCATCCGATGCTATACACGACGCTACACGCGACGCATTCATTGCTCTAGACAAAGAGAAGTGTCAATTTGTCTACCAATTAGCGCGGGCAATTAACGCCAGATGTGTCGTGGAAGCCGGCACTAGCTTTGGGGTTAGCACTATATATCTCAGTCTAGCCGTCAATGCGAATTTGCAAGCTTCTGGTGGCAAGGGCGTCGTGATAGCGACAGAGCATGAGCCAGCCAAAGCTGCGCAAGCTCGTAAATACTGGGCGGAGGCTGGAGCGTCAGTAGCGCAAAACATCGACCTCCGAGAAGGCGATTTGCTACAGACGCTGAGGGAAAATGTCCCCAAGATAGATCTACTTCTTCTAGATAGTAAGTCCTTTCTCGCATTTCATTTGGTTCTTTCTATTTTTTTCCCCTTTTTTCTTTTTTTTTTTTGGCTGACTTTCTAGTCTGGGCTCCAATAACCCTTCCGACCCTTAGGCTGCTTCAGCCTTGCCTCCGTCATGGTGCAGTGGTCATAATTGACAATACGATAAGCTCGGCAACTCGCTACAAGGACCTCTTGGAGTATCTCCGAAAGGAAGGGAGTGGTTTTCTAAATCTGACAATACCCTATTCCAAAGGACTAGAGATGTGCATATACCTTCCATGATTTGATAACCTAAGTCACAACATTCGCACTTCACAATCCACATTCATAGATTGGAGTTTTTCTACGTTTGGCCATTTCAATAACTTTTGATCAACATTTCCTATCATTTCCTGCGCGTAGAATGCTGTTTTTGTATGCTATGAATATGGCTAAGTTCATATCCAATCCGTAGCCTTTAATCAGCTGGTTGATCGATAGTTCGTGTGTGTTGGAGGGCTCTGAGACCTTTTTCTGACAAGTGGTTCGATGAAAGAAGCCTGCGCTACCAGGGAGGGTAGGGGTCTTTAAAATGAATTTTGAGATTCAGCAGCACCTCAGTTGTGCTATGCAGAGCAACGCTAGTTGCACTGAAGCTATTTTAATAGTGTTCGGCTTAAATATCTTCGTTCGTGCCCTGGGACAGGCCATGAGGAAATCGTTGTTATCAATATGGTTGATCCCTAGGCGGGTCTTCGATTCCACCAATTCGCCGTACGAACGCCTCAGAACCGCCAAACAACTCACGTCACGCGGTTGAAGGAGGTGTGACGGTTGCGGAGGCTTACAAATTGGAACGGTACCACCTTCAGCGTAAAGCTTGTCGAATTGAGGTGTCAAATGGCTACCATGTCAGCTGAGAAAAAGAAACCGATACCCATCTTGGAAGCGTGATATGTCCGGAATTAGCACCTTTTGAAGCTAGCGTAGGCAGTTTCATCTGAAGATATATCCATTTGGGCTATTACCTAGCATCTAAATCTTTGGAAGTTCTTCGGCCCACCCTAAATTCAAGGATTTGTACTTAAAGATAATGCAAGGCGCAAGCGCATATTCAGAGGCGCTGATACATTTGATCACAATCACCCATTCACGATTTCCAGTCTATAAAATTGCACGCTTCCCGTAGTGATCAGCACATGTAATTATTTTCGCAGTCACAGTAAGACCCATTGCAATGCCTGTCTCGCCAAAGGTGTGTATATCACTAGTAGTGATACCATATTGAAGCACGGTCTTTTGGATAAGATCAAACTACGCTTTGATGACCTTCAGATCTCCGTTCTTGGCGGGCTCGTAGTTATATGGCTTGTTATTGGTGACCTCAAGCAGTCAAGATGGGAAATGTATGTCTAATTTGGCCGCAACGGGTCACCTGTCGCTGAGGTCTTACGCGTAAACGCGTTAGACCGTAGCGTCAGCGAGGGCCCCGTCCGCGCTCCCTTACAGGGAGGCAAGTGTCTTTGTATTGTAATGGCACTATGAATCTATGTACATAGGCAAGTCTTGACTGCGTGAGAGATGACGAGCAACCTGCAGAGGCGAGCGGCTGACTCTCATGAGGCAGTTGTAGGAGGAAGAATCATGCAGTATGCGGTACGTGTAGGTGAAGACTAATCCTGCAGTATGATCGTCACGTGAGGCAATCCCAATGAAACAGTCTCATGAATATCGTGATGATAAATTTGGGCGCCGTTTCACAAAAGTTGCGTGCCAATTTACCCTGGCTGTTTGTATGGGTCATCACCATGCTTTGCCAGTATCACATTGACCATCTCGACTACCATATTAGTCCTTTGAACAACTACTAGGGAATACATATCAACAATTCATCTTTTTTTAGCGAAACCTCTTCGCTTGGGGTCAATTGATGACCGTTTGCACGTACGTCAGCGTGAAATATGCGCCCGTATCGTCTATCGTGAAGGGGGGAGTATGAGACATCAATTTTGCGAGCTGGTTCATGGATAGACCTTGCTCGATAGGGTTTCGAGCAAACCGGGGGCATTTGAGTTGACAAGGTGGCTTATTGAAGATCACTTGGGCCGCCCACAACGCGTTTTTCGGTCAAGTAATCGGATCATCCGTGTGGTCGGACAGCTCGTGAACTACGTCACTCACTATCAAACTTGTTGACACAATTCTCCCCAACTGAAGATTCTCTTGCCGATCCCTGGAGCCCACCACCTAAATAGAGAGTAGTCTAAATCATTGCATAGAAGAAAAGGTAAAAGAAAAGACCAGACGAAAGAGAAAAAGAGAGCATGATACCCAAATGGGCTTATCTAGCCATACCATAGGCCGCCGTTGGATTTTCTCTTGCGCGAGGGATTGAACTGATCTTTGTCAGACGGAGCTGGTGTGGAAGTGCGTGAGTCGATATGTTGGCGATATTTCCAGAGCCTCATTAAGCAGATACAAATTGTCGCTCCCAAATACAAAGACGCGGTGAACATTTGTGTGTTGAAATATTTGTTCTTACCACTTGTCCGAAGTTTAAGGGAGATTGGTTCAGCGACTAGCAATCTGAGTGATCGTTCAGATGCAAAGGAGAAGATAATCAACATACCAACAGCGGGACCTGCACCAGCGAGCCACATCATAGACAAACAGGCCGGAAGGTCAGGCAGAGGCACAATTTCGGCGGCAACAGGCCCTCCCAACTATAAATCATTAGCAACTCCCGTCGATATGTGGTGGAGACTGATCACGCACAGTCCATATTCCCCCGAAGAAAATGCCCGTCAGCACAGCAAATGCAATGGCTGCTCCATAGCTTTTGACGAAAGGCCACATTAAGAAGCACAGCAGAGTAGTTATGAATGATACTATCGCGGCCATGTTTAAAGGGCCTATAAAATCGCTAAGCCTCCCCATCACCGGGCGACCAACAATTTGCCCTATGTTCAAAGCCGCGGTAATAATAGATCCCTGCTGCGCTCTCAGTCCTATACTTGTAGAAAAGTCATCGAGAGAAAAGAGGACCGAAGTGAAACCCATAATGTTCATAGCACTCCAAAGTAGGAAACACCAGTATTGCCATTGAATGAAAAGCCGCGGCTGAAAAGGTTTTGAAGCTGTTCCGACATATCTATTACGATCCCGAATCAAGAGCCCGCAAATAGTGTTCACAAAGAATTGTATAATTGCCAAGGCCCTATAAGACCACGGAGCCCCGTATTTCTGGATCAAAGTTTGGATAGCGAGGGAATATATGAGGCCCCCGGTACCGCCTCCACTGGCTGCGATACCAGCAGCTAGTCCACGTCGCCGATGAAACCACTGGGGAATGATCCCTACAGTAGACAAATATTGCAAACCAAGGCCAAGCCCGAAAGCAACTCCTTGACTGAGGAACAAATGCCACATATGTGTGCAGAATGAGGCACTGAGGAGGCCTGCAGTCTTGAACGCAACTCCGCAAAGTAACGTGACGTTCATACCAAAACGGTTTGTGATTGCGGATGCCAGGGGGCCAGTAACAAGGGCTGTCGCTGTAATGAGACCTCCAACGAAGGCATACTCAATGCTTGTCGCTCCAGGAAATTCAGATGTTGAAAGGTAGTATGAGAGGAAGACGCCGTAACTCTGCAAAGATGCCCGATCAGCAAAGAAGGGCATTATAACTGGGTAATTCCACCCACACTTGCGATGCCCCAATGATGAGCATTATTCAAAAAGATACAAATCACACACACCCAGCCGTAGCCTCCATCGGGAATTTGATCTGTTGGAGGCAGTGGCCGGGTGGGCGCCGTCTTAACATCCTGTGTTGTGACGCTCATGCTGGTAAATCCTCAAAGAAAAGGTGTTAGATGGAAATAGGAAGTAGTGGATGGTTCGCTTCGAATGAGCTATTCCTTTGCATTTATATAGCTGTATAGCATAGATTGTTCCTTCCCCAAGATGCCAAGACATAGCATTTCCTTGAGCCGCTTATTTCTCGATGACTCAGTCGCTGACGCATGAAGCTGGATATTGTCTCACGCAGGATTATTCCTTGTGCGATTATCTGGTCAATTGGATGTAGAGAGATAAGAAAAGATTGCTCGACGTTTCTCTAAATTTGGGCACAGTTTCACCGGAGGGAATTGATTGTATCCTAATCGTCCGTATTAGACTCATTTACCCAACCCAAAGCGACACGCAGGATACTTTATCATAATGTATAAGTCGATTCAACTCGAAGAGAACTCGTAGAGCCTACCATGAGCAATACGCGTGGTACTAGACTGCCCTAACAGGCACGGTTGCCGGATTCTTGTGACATTTCTGTGAAGTTTGACATTTTCTGGATTTACTCCTTCGTTTTATCAGTATCTTCTAACAGACTCAACATGCTGTCGAATGCATCCCCAAATCTCGCAGTATACTCAGTTTCTGACAGTTGAGTGGCAAGTAAAACTATTTATTGATTGCTGAGCACACGGTGCTCATTCGTTGCGGGATCATTGCACTTTGGCATATAAAAACATCAAACTGTGGCCTATAGGCCATTATGTCAACAAGTACACACGGTTCCTCACTTCGTTAAATTCTCGTAGCCGGACGTGCTGGTCGAATCTGCTGGTGTGATATGCGAAACCGACGAACTGGACCCATAGCTAGCAGTACCGTGAATAGGTCGCCTTAAGGACTTGATCTGCATTAGCTGCTCTCAAATGCACCGCTTTTGGTCAAATCTGTTCTTACGGTTGCTTTACACATCCGCTCGTTCCAACACCATGGACTTTTCTCCAAAATGCCAAGACATTCCAGCTCTGTGTGGTGACCCGTAATTGGAGACTTCCCCAAGCGACTTCCAAGGCCTATGAAACCAAATTACGGCAATTGGCCGCTTGGGCCAATCAAAGACAATCACCATCATTAAAGCTGACCCGCGGCTTTTGATCCCGTAAGGCAATCTTTGTATTAGCATTTGATCATGAATTTTTGACAATATTTTTGCTAATCGTATGTCTTTTTCTCCAGTGGGATGATAGAGGAGAAAATGCAGCGTCATCACGTGCTCGTGGCCTGCTCGCTTGAAGATTATGTTATAGATTACACTAGCAGATGATTCAACATTCCTTCGCGTCATCGCGTTCTGAACCCTTGACTATTCAAAGAACAACTAGCCATGGCATCGAGGGAGAGTCATAAACCGAGTCGAGAAAGCAATGAGAGAAATGAACAAAGCCATTTTAAGAACCGAAAGAAAGAAAATAGGTCTTTTAGCTGTCGGTTCTGTGCCAAGCGCTTCCTACGAAATGAACATTTACAACGACATGAACGGCTACGTATACTTCCCCAGGTATATGATATGCTAGTCTTTCCACTCACCTTTAAGCAGATACTAAAGAAAAGCCTTTCAGTTGTGAGTCTTGCCATGCGAGTTTCGCAAGACGGTAAGTCATGCATTTTATCTATTATGGCAAAATGGGCCTTTGCTAAAAGATACAAGTGATTTACTTTCCCGCCATGCCGGACTTTTTCATCCCAATGTGACGAGTGGAAAAGCTCCTTCTTTTCAGATGACTGACTCATGTCAAATGACCTCTGAGGATGGGGAATGCAAAGGTCCGGGCATCGCGTCATTACGAAGAGTTTCACAAAGCCAACAGAACCTTCCCTCGGAGGCTATCGCTGGCATTGACTCGATTCAACTTCCAGATACGCTCAATTTGAGTAATTCTTCCATGGATTTGAACACATCAGTCTCCGTCGAGAGCTCTTCAGCAGAGCTCTCGAGCATCCCTTGGGCCCAGCTCAATCGCGATTACAGAGACTTTGACGATTTTATTGACAGCATGGGCTTACAATCAACAGCCGACTTGCCTTCAATGTTCGTCGATCAACCTCTTATTTCTTTCGCTGAAGCTCCTTTATTTGGAGCCTCCGGAGCCTCGTCATTCCAGAGAGACTGTCCAGCGCACGACACAAGCCCAGTTACCCCTCATCGCTCAAAACCATCGTCCACATCTTTATTTGACGAATTTTCCTCTGCATTTCCCTCATTTGAATCAGCGTCAGCTATCACATCTCTAAATGAGCCTTGGAGTATCTCACAGACAGATTGGAGTCGTATTGCAGCAAAAATGGAACCCTTCAAATCGCTCCTCGCCCCAGAGTTTCAACTCCCATCCCGGCATACATTGGCTCGGTATATTGTTTCGTATATCAATGGTTTTCACTGTCACCTTCCATTTCTGCACATTCCAACGTTCTCGCCGACTAAATGTCCTATTGAGTTGCTTATGGCTATAGCAGCTGTTGGAGCTCAGTACTCATTTGACGGTATCAATGCCATCAAGCTTTTCAGATCGTCTCGTGCCATATGTATGGAGCGCCTTCGCCTCCGCAAGGTTAAACTTCAAGATGAAACTTTCACCGCATTTCAGCCTTTGAATTCCCTGTCTTTAACATCCCACGGAATACCTCGGAAAGTGGTTCAGCCTTCTCGAGCAAATAAAGACGAGAATTGCCCATGGGATCCGTTACCCATTGCCCAGTCTCTACTTCTGCTTATGGCAATGTCGACCTGGGGCGACTCAAAAATCTTTTGCAATGATTCTATCAACCTGCAAAGTATATTGACCCTTTTTTTGCGAGAAGAGAAGCTTCTGGAATACTCAAGTCTGCAGAGCCCTACATGGGCCCAATGGATTCACGAGGAGGGGCTTAAAAGGACTGTTGGAATCACATTCTGCTTTTTTAATTTTCACACCATTATTTACAATACGCCACCACCAATCCTCAACTCAGAATTCAGTTTTTGTCTGCCGTCGAGAGAAGTGGATTGGGAGGCACCGACCGAGAATGAATGGCAGGAAGCGCGGAGAGAAGCTTTGCCTGAGCCAGGTTTCCAGGATAGTCTTTCCCTACTTTTCTCACGAAAACCGACGTACCAGCAATACTCTTCGCTGGGCGGATATATCCTGATTTTGGCACTGATTCAACATATATATTTATTACGAGAACTGAGCAATACCAGGATCGGCGTCAGTGAACTTTTATCGCCTTCAGATGTGAAAGATGTGGAAACAGCCTTATGCAATTGGCAAGCTTCATGGGAGAAAAATCCCGATTCATCTTTGCTTCCCAGCAGTCCAGCGGGACCGATATCATTCAATTCGAGTGCACTACTCCGCATGGCTTACATACGATTACATGTCGATGTTGGCCACTGGCGAGCTCTCAGTATTGGAGATCCAGGCTCAATTGCTCAAAATTTTCGTCAAAGCCCTCGCTTGAAAAGAACTCATAATCTAACTCGCACTGTTCTATATTCGGCGCACGCTCTGAGCATTCCTATTAAACTGGGCGTCAATAATGTTGCGCATAGACAAGCTTTTTCTTGGTCCCTGCAGCATTCTTTGTGCGCCCTCGAATGCGCATTCGTGATTAGCAAATGGTTGGATGTCATATTATCAGGTACCTCGGGCGCTCCCCTTGATGACGATGAAATGCGGTTGCTCGCTTACATATCGGATATGGTAAGAGAAGCAAAGAGTCAATATGGCCAATTGAATTGCGAAGAGGACTTGGAATGTCAAAGAAATTTGGGTTATAGTGTTGCTCAGATATGGTCGAAGCTTCTAGGCGGAGAAACGGTCTGGGCCGTAGTTAATATGGTGGCGGAAATTTTGAAAGCATATTGTCAACTTTTGCAACTGGATTCAGCCAGCTCATAGCTTAAGAAGTCTCACTCTCTGACAGTTTGTATGGCACAATCTTTCGAAAGATTTCCGTAGTAGCTACTAGAGTTTTGATTCAAGAAACCGATTCGTTTATAAGATTTCTGGATCGACATAAATAATCATCCTTTGCATTTCGTATAGTTGAAAACTAGATTGTCAAATTGGCCAGTTTTCCGGGGCTGTGTCCATAATAGGTGGTTGTTGACAATGATTATTAATTCATTCGCCCGATGTAGTTTGGTCTTCAGCTGCTACGTGGGAGTGCCCTCAGGCCATCCGACAGCTGAAAATGGTGTAAATTAACCATACGTCGGTCAAGCTTCTGTCCCTACCATCATGTGACACTAGGCACCTCAACACAGAGCAATATACGTATGGAACTAGGTCTATTCGTGTACACCTCCCTCAACATCGCTATCTGGGAATCCTCATCCAATTTATATACAAGTCTCCATAGAAAAGATATCACAAAGAATTGCGTACTGTGCTCAATGGAATATTCTGGGCCAAGCGCAAGCACGGGTATTTAAAGACCTACCCCCATGGAGAAGTCGTAAAAAGAACTAATGTGTCGAATACGAGACTGACAGAGGCAAATATATAGTGAAATAGCCTGAATCGGGGTCCCAGGTCAGTATTTAACTAGATATTTGCTTCTATCAGTCTCGTAGTCGGCAGCTGGGGTCCACAGAATATCGCACCCACAGATATCATGACACAAGTCATTGGCTTGAGAGTATGACTTGAAGCAGGCTGGACAAACGTAGTTCTTGTTCGCTTTGATGAACATGTTTTCCAGTACGGAACCTTTGTGCAAGTCATGCGACGTTTTGAGAGCTAGGAAAGCATTGGAAACCTTAGATATTTGGATCAAAGTCAATTATACATGTTATATGTAAATTCATATAGCCGTGAAGATGAATTGGCAATATCTCGAAAGATTGGACTGTTCATAGGTCCCATTCCCGTACGGCCTAGTAAAGTAGGGATACGTCGGGTCATGCAGAAGTCCAGAACTACACTATGTTGCTAAATTAATCAACCAATCGAAGTTGTAACTCCAGCCGACCATCATAGGCACTTGTCTCGATCGTTTAGGGACGTCTGACTCGCCATTTTCAGTCCTGCTCTAGGTAGGCACTTATCACAACCTTGGGGATCTATTCAGACTCTATTGCCTTTCCCTTTCCTTCCCATCATAACCGGACCATCCTCGACATCCCGATACGCCAAGATACTCATTCCCATCCTCCTCTCATAGGACTCTTTACTCTTCCGTGACGACGTTCGCAGCATAGTCCATCGAAGATGCGGTAACGGCTCCAACAACTCATTCACGCAATCCAGCAGCCATCCACCCAGTCCTCGACCCTGGTATTCGGGCAGTACGTAGACATCTGTCAGATACGCAAAGGTGACGCAGTCGGTTATGAGACGCGCGAAGCCGATTTGCTTGTACTCCCTTTGCTCTTCTTCTTCCTTACTTCCGGTTCCTGCTGTGACGTCCGTTTCGCGCGCATTTTCGTAGAGACCGAAACAGAATGAGTTTCGGATGATTTCTTCCAAGGCGCTGTCTGGGACGGAACTAGTCCAGTACATGAATTCTGCGTCAAAGGCAGAGTTGATGGAGGCGATGGATAGTAGAGTCTTATCTGTGGAAATGATAAAGTTGTTTCTATGCCAGCTTTGAGCTTTAGTCGGAAGGGACATGGCGCGTGGATGTCTCGTGCGGATGGTTTATTTTCTACCGTTGTGAAAGACACCCAGCTCTTTATAGAGTGGAGATGATATATGTGGAATTATTTTTTCTGTTAAAAGGAACACTCCTTGAGGGGAAGATATGACTGTATATGTGTCGGACCCGGAGATGCTTGTCACTGGCTAGTTTCCCCGAGAAAAAAATGCCCACTCTTTTAGGGTTTGTGATCCGACCTGTTATGACTCAACTTGTCTTGAAATCCCCAGTGATTTAAAAAGAACGACTTGTTGCCGGGTAACAAGATGAGTCACATCTCACATCGACAACGCATTTTATGCTGTTTTGTAACAACTACAAGTAATTCAGTAGAGGCTTATGAGAAACAAGCTGATTGGAAACTTGTACCTCGCGTATCAGAAAGCCACATCTTGCTACAGTATGCAATTTGCGTATCTATAGGATAAAATAATGGGAAATATTGTGAAAAAAGTGTAGCATGATGTTATATCATTAATTATTAGAAGTAAGCTTTAAGGCCAGGATTCGCGTTCCTAGATAAGTATCCTAGGGAATTGCTAGAAACACGGGATGTGACTAGATACATGCGACGCGTATTGACCCAGACGACCACCTTCATGCAGAATAAGATCAATCGGTCACCGGGCAGAAGTCATAGTTTCCATTGATATTGTTGCCCCACCACTGCGGGAAAGGGATCGAAGGACCACCCGCACCAAACACTGCAAACGACAGAATGAACAGCACCAGCAGACTAGCGCCGTCAAAAGCACCTGCTATCAGATACGAATAGTCTCTGAAGATACGCGGATGGTAGTTGCGAAGATAGTACTGCACAAAGAAGCCCGATGCGACTTGGTTGAAAATGACGCATGTCTGTGGTGAATTGTAAGGGATGTATCCGGCGAATTGGATAAATTGTGGGAAATTGAAGTCCGAGAGCGAGACACCACGAATTTTGGGGATGAACTGGATGGGTTAGCTTAGTTGATTAGAGAGAAGTAGGCAAACTCACCTTCACCACGGCCCAGTGGACGACCACACAGGCAGCGCCAATTGCTAGACCAATAGGAACGATTGAATATGTCTGGCCGGACTTGTAGAGGTATTTCGCTAGTGCCCATGAAGCGGCATTGGTATTGTATGACTGAATTGTAGCTCCACTCCAAGAAGCATCACCGTTGCCATCGACGAGAAGCTCCCGATTGCCAGTAACAATACCAATCATAACGGCGTAGTTCACGAAAGAACCGAGGACGGTGCCGTATATCTGTGTGACGAACATGACACGAGGGGGAATTTTGACTGTCAACGCGTTAGACAAGTAGGGCAGCAAAGAGTTGACTATCAAAATACTCACGATATTCACCCATCTTCAAGTCGTTACATAGATTGACCGTATTCACAATGACGTTGTGGGACCAAGCAGCGAAGTACATGTTACCAACGGGGCGTCCAGGCACCAGGAGACCTCCCACCAACTTTGACAGATTGTTTGTAGCGATACCGTTTCCGAAACGTGCATACAAAAGAGTGCTCTACAGTAAGATGGTCAGTGGTTATCCTGTGATGATGAGCATCGTACTTACAAAAGGTCCGATAATGATTCCTAGAATCAAGGAGATAATGTAGGCCCACACCGGTAGGGTGACATTTTCCTTAAGAACAACAACGAGACCGAGAACAAAACTGAAGAGAATCACACCGCCATACCACAATGCTGGTGCTTCCTTGTAGTGTTCTGCCATGTGCTGGTGATGACGGTCATCGGATTGTCCTTTCCTCGAGTTCTTGTACGATTTGATCACATCCTTGCCCCAGAAGAGAATACAGTGTGCAACCATAGCTCCAATCTATTATTGTCAGTCTCGGGTCCAGCGAGCAGTGGAAGAAAGACATACAGCTGCATTTGCCATGAACATTGCGTAGGCAAATGATCCCGCGAGCTTAGGAACTCCATAAGTAGCCAGGGCATCGTCGTTAAGCACGCCGTGCTCGAAAACTTTAGAAACAGGGTAGGACGTGCCATTGGCAGTGAGAAGTCGTGTCGACATGAATGGCAGCGACCTCGCACCCCAGCCGTTGCCATAGTAGATCCCAATCATGACGACATAGCACGCCAAGAAGCCAGCTGCTTGGTTCAATTGGAACTTCAGAGGCAACGATGTCTGGAACGAGGTAATCTACACAATATTAGTCCATGATATCAACAATCACAGGTACATCACTTACATATTGCCAGTCAAATCCAATGTTGAAAAGACCTAGTCCCTCATTGGGAATGGAACCGCCAAAGAGGTTGGTGAGAACAGCCGCTGTCTCTCCAGTCGCATGCATAGAGGCCAGACATGGGATGGAAACGGAGTTGAGCCATGGCCAGACGTAGGCTGGAAACCACTCATATGTGAACATTCCTCCAAAGGCATACCAAAAATAACGGAGAGGCTTGGAGTTCTTGACTTGCTGCCAGTGCATGCCCTGAAGAACCTTGACAAGCGGAAGAGTGCCCCAATAAACCGACTCAACATGCCAGACAGCAATAGGACGAATGAGGCCTGCCACGCCATAGCCAAACAGACCAATGGAGAGAGTACTCAAAACCACGGTAGTTGTGCTTAGAGGCAGGTCGTAGAAGAGATTTTGCGCGGCAAACACGACCACACTTGCCATTCCATTTGATGCAGAATTGGCAGTGATGGCGCAAACAGCATGCTCTTTCAGGTTCCAAGCCCCGTAGTTGAAGAAGGAGATGATCCTGATCCAAAGAGGTAGTTCTCCTTGGCCTCCTTTGCTTCTCCATCGTGCCTCGAAGTGGTCACCGCGGGGAAGGAATTTGGCCCAGGCGTTACCGAGAAAGTAGGCGATAATAACGATGAACGTTCCTTGAATGGTAATATAGGTCGGTTTGAACTGAATGGTCAGACGGTCGTCGTGCTCACAGAACAGAAAAGCCAACTAACCTCGTAGATTTGAGACATGACAGCCTGGAAGCCAGAGAGAAGGGTCGCAAGGAAAATACTGCGAAACGTCAACGCCGGCTCGCGGTCATCTCGCATTGGCAGAAGATGTTTAGCAGCATCGGCGCCTGTGACGATGATTGTGTCGTGTCTGGTCTCATCGTCATAGTCGTCGTCGGCGTTGTACACAGGGACACCTTTAATATCGGTCTCTGCTTCTTTTGTGACAGTTGTCGAATCGCCATGGGCCGAGCGGACTTCTTCACTGATTGCGCCGTCGCTAGACGGCTCAGCGTTGAAGTCGCTGTGCTTACGCTCAACCACGGTAGCAGACATGGTGCGGCAGGKGTGAGAGAGAAAGAACAATAACGCCGGTTGCTGGAAAAGCTACCTCCTGAGCCGCACCCCGGCCTTTATAGGCAATTCAACCGTTCCGAAGTGAGAATAGGCGTGGCAATAGGCCGAGGATAGCCATGATGGTGCGATTCCGACACAAAAGCAACCAAAGTCGAAAAGAAGATGAAAAGAAGATTAAAAAGAAGCGTCGGGCCAATCACGTTTTTGAGGTCGTATCGTTCGCCATTGAAGGCGGCAGGCGCACCTTCCTGATCAGGCTAGCGTCCGTTTGCCGACACCTCCAAAACTCCAACATTTCGGTCCATCCCATCCCCAATTCTTCGAGAACTTATCAATCGCATGGCCACAATTGGTGAATTGTACAAACGACACATGTTGGGCGTCCAACCCCCCCTGCCAGCTTCTCGCTGGTCAAATGACCCGTGCCCTGATCCCAGTTCCATTTCACGTTCAGCTTAATCTAACATGCTTCATTGCGCCATACGTGCAGGTGGCGTTGGCTGAAAACGCCCCAATCGTTCCCTTCGAAGTCGTATCAACCTCAATGCAACATCGCAAACAGTCTGTAAAGGTCGTGTGCAGCCGGTCAGATATGCTGCTGCTCAAGATCCCCCTTCAGATTGCGGGTAAATGCGGGTAATAGTTCTTGCGACTACTGCGAACGCAGGGACAAAAGCGATTGGTCATTGCAGATACTCGAGATAAGGACACACTACCGCGGGGAATATTCACTACATCGTGTAACAATTTATCGGAAGCGGACAAAGAGCATGGCGGTAGTATCCATCCGATATCGATAGTCAATTAAAGGCTGGGAATTTAAATCATTGGGGACAAAGGTAGCCGGGTTGAAAAGAGCACTATATCATAAGCTTACCAAGGTTGGCACAACTTAAATTGATTATGCTTTATGGCGTTGGAATTGACTTTATACAAAGGAAATGTTATATTTCCATTATGTATTTATATTTGCATGTGATTTGATTATAATATCCACAGCTCAGTCTGCCTCTCTTAGCCACGGAATCTCATTCCCCGAATACCGATATGCCCGAAACAGCGCATTCGACTCTCCCGGAAATATTTTCGCCGTGCCCTCATCCGAATACGGCGCAAAATGCGGATTGACATACTCCCAACACACGTAACCATCGTGCGCAACTTCGAATATCCGCCCAAATGCGCTTTCGCATATTAATGTATTGCCATTGGCGAGCCGTTGAGCACTACCCATGAACGGTGTGAAGAAGTAGAGCATCTGCGACCGGTCCCGATATTCCCATACAATTTTTTTGGTGGCGGGATCGACTTCGATGGCGCGACTATAAGTGATGGACTCGCCAGTACGAAAGGCGCCGTTGTCGAAGATTAGGATGTTGCCGTTCTCGAGCTCGGTAGCATTGTGTTGTTGAGCTAGGACTTCGGGACCGAGTTTCCACACAATGTTGCCGGTGGATTTTTCGATTATGATGACTGCGGATACAGATCGCATTGAGGCGAGAATGTGTTTTCCGTCTCGCATGGGGAAGACGGAATTGATGAGCGGGTAGTGTTCGCGTGTATAATGTGGTTGGAGAGGATATTCGTCCCGGGGCAGGCGCTCGGAGACTTTCCAGTGCCAGATGAGATTCCCGTTCGGGTCAACTTCGTTGATTGTGTCAGCGTACGTGATGCCATCGATCTCCGTGCCGGGTACGCCTCCAACGACCTTTGCTGATTCCTCTCGAGACAGTGCTTCGAGACTTGTGTACAATAACCGGCCATCTCCGAAGTGGTATTGGTCGTGGTGGCCGAGGGGATCTGTAAACTGGCGCACCACATTTCCGTCTGGATCGAGTTCACTCATGACACCCCCGCCGTATTTGTTGAAAAATGGGAATGGAAATGGACCACCGTCGTTGGTTGTGCGCTCTGGATCTAGTCGGAGGGTGTTGACTGCGAGGTTACCATTTGGGAGAATTCTGGCATGGCGGCCAATTCTGCCAGGGAGTTTCCATGAGTGAACTTGCTTCCCATTGATATCAACGAGATAGGCGACATCACTAGTCAATGGGCAGAAAAGTGTATATCCTCCGAAAGATTTCTGCTTGTCGACGCCGATTAGGCCGACGCCTCTTCTCTTGAGTGTATTTTGCTCCATTTCAGAGCCCGTTGAGTAAGGATTTAGAAATTTTGGTGAAAAGCGGAACACTGACAATCCATATATTTCAAGAAACTAATTTATAACCTCCTAGCTACGAAATTATGCTGAAATAAACACAAACATGATGTGATCCTCACTTCCGACGGCTTCCCATCGGCACCTAATTGTTGCAACAATGGATCGCTTAGATTAGTCCTGCTTAGCTGATAAGTAAGCGCGTCCTTCTAGCTTAGCGGGATACAGTATCCTATTGGCATGGGAAAGCCAGCTGAGCCGCGGTCTCGTTCTGGACCAGTTCACGGACACAAGCCATACTAAGTAATAAAAAAACGCGAACACAGCATAATACACTAAAAATACCGTCCCACGCGATTTTTTGATGCAAGCTTGCCGATCGAAGCGCCAAGCCTTGTACAATGTATACATGTAATTACCCAATAACGTGATGGTAAATCGTGAAACTGAAAGATGAAATCACTTAACTGAGGTTGAGTTCCTACGTGGTCAAGATTCGGGATATGAATGTAATTGGCTCATTCTTGTACCAAATATCGAGTTCAAATTTACATACCCTTTTCATAATTCGCCATATTGTATTGAGAGTTGACCAATCAAACTGACTACTTGGCCCCATTGACTAGATCTGATTCGATTAGCCCCAAGTTTAACGATTGCAGCGGCCGGCAAGCCGACGGCATGCCATAAGTTTGATAACGACGACGCCGCCGAGCGTAGCTACGTCTTCGCGATTGATAGGTGAATAACCTCATCACGTCTTTATCGGCGCAATGATAACATCGATGCCAGGGGATAGCTTTGAGTGCTGATACATCTCGTTACGCATCTATGGAATTGTATATTAAAGCCAGCATCGCGGATTCAATGATGGGCAGCTCAGCTATAGCAAAACTCTGGAAGTATTCCTTGTCCCTAGCTGGACCCTAAATTCCGACAAAATGGGCAATTCAAAAGAAGGCTTCGAATATCAAACGAACAACACCATCGACGATTCACCCATCATAGCAAGCGTACCCGGCTATGACCCCAACATCCAGCCTTTACCCAATGAAGAGCGCAAAGCCCTCCTGAAAGTAGACCTCTACCTTTTACCCTTCATCGTCCTCTGTTTCTGCTTCCTTCAATTCGACCGCACAAATATCAGCAATGCTCTAACCTCCACTTTCGCCGCGGACCTGCACGTCAACAACTCAAATATCAATCTCGCACAGACCTTGTTCACCGTTGGCTTCGTCATCACCGAGCTACCCTTTAACATGATAAGTCGGTACATCGGCGCTGAGCGGTTCTTGCCTGTAACCATGGTCCTCTGGGGCGTGGCGACGTGGTGTCAGATCTTTGTCCGGAACGCGTCCGGTTTATATGCGATTCGGTTTTTCATCGGTGCTCTCGAGGGTGGTTACATCCCGAGTTTTGCCTTGTATATTTCCAAGTTTTATACGAACCAAGAACTGGCGTCGAGGTTTGCGATTTTCTGGGCGTCAAATAGTTTTGCGGGGATTTTAGGGGGACCGCTTGCGATTGGGTTGTTGTCGTTGGCAGGGCGAGGAGGGTTGCGGGGATGGCAGTGGTTGTTCCTTATCGGTTTGTTTATCTTTCTCCCTTCCTTTCATTTGGAAATTCTTTAGAATATTATTGCTGATGTTAGGATCAGAAGGAAGCCTGACATGCTTCCTGGGCGTGGTGATGTACTTCTACCTCCCGCACAGCGCAGCAACACCCAAACATATTTTCGGAAAATCTTACAACATCTTCACGCCTCGTGAGGCGACCATCTTGATCAATCGTGTTATCAAAGACGATCCAACAAAGGGTCTTCGATACGGAAAACCTGTACTCCCCTCACACATCCTCGAGACTTTCGCAGATTGGAGACTGTACGGCCATCTAGTAGCTGCGTTTCTGTCCATGATCATGATTTCGCCGATGAATACTTATGCACCGTCTATTATCAAGAGCCTGGGTTTTACGAGTTTGCAGGCGAATGGTTTGAATTCCGTGGGGAGTGCATGCGCGTTGGTGTTTTCCGTGTCGTTGGCATTTAGTAGTGATAAACTCGGCGAAAGGGGCGTTCACATCGCTATTGGATATTTATGGGGCGCTGCGGGACTATTATGGTTGGCGCTTGCAGCTAATGGAGTCGACAAATGGATTCTCTACGGTATGTATACATTTCCATCCCGTTTTGGATCTTGTATGTTTTAATCTAATCGATATGCATTTTAGGAGGCGTGGTATGGACACAAATGGGCATGGGATCCGCTCAAGCCATCAACGCAGCCTGGCTCACCGCAAAGATGGAAGACCACAAACGACCCGTGGCCCTGGCTGCGTATGTCATGAGTATCCAGCTTGCCAATTTCCCGGGTAATCAGCTATTTCGAACAAAAGGTACGTCCACTGCATCCACTACGTCCACTCCGTCCACTATTGCAGTCAGCTGTAGTCATATTAGGCGAGATGCTGATTTTGTCGTTAGATGCGCCGCGTTATCGGCATGGGCTGATCATTGCAGCTTCTTGCGTTATAGCTGCTGCAGTTGTGATTTTAGTTTGGAAGGTGTTGTATCGATTGTTTGATGGTAAGGATCAAGGCGTTGTGGTTATATCGAGCGTTGAGCCCGGGCATAACCGCTCAGAGGTCTCTGAAACGGTATAAATTGATACGACTTTGTCCTGAGGGAACGAGAGTTGCTGTGAATTCCAAATTAATAGTATTGCAAGCAAAGTTACTCCAGCTCTGAAATGTATTTATATAAATGTTGTTGCAACCCACTAGACCTAAAAGTCGCTCGCATACTAGACAGTTCAGTATGTTATGGAATAGCTTGCTTCCATAGATGCTGTCCCGAAGGTCAAACGCACACGATACAATCACATTTTCTCTAGAGTCCCAGGATTTGATCTACGTTACCACTGAGCCTTCCCTGCCGCTAGGGCTACGTAAAATAGCCCTAAATCCTTATCTAGTAAATAATTCATCCTTATCGGGACGGGCCTATCCTATCCGCCCTAAATTGGTCACGTGACTGATCACGACATTTCGCCGATAAGAGTGTCTTCGTTGCAGGTTATTCTTGGCTGATAAGAATATTTGACGTGCTGTAGCTATGTGATATCCCCCTTCTTGTGGACATTTCAAATATCTTCGCAGACTTCACATAATTAGCCGTAGGGGGTGCCACTCACATCCCTACGGCCTAACAGATTGAAGGATATGCCTCCACTCCGATCGTCATCCGGCAGGGCATCGAAAGCGTGCGATCTGTGCCGGAAATGTAAGACGAGGTGTTATATGTCGTCGAGCGGGGAGGGTACCTGTTTGAGATGTGAGACGTTGTCTCAAGTTTGTTCTTTGACGTTGAAGAGGCATACTGTTTCGAAGTCCTCCGAACGAGGAACTTCGGTTGACGATAGGTATTTTTGCTCTAGTTGATTGCCAAGGGGCTATTGTGCTATAACTAATAGTATTCCAGACTCGCTCGATTAGAGAGAACTGTTGATAGACTTGTGGACAGACTTGATGCCAAATTAAACGTACTAGTCACTTCAGACGACAGTGCTCATACAAGGCCTACAACCACGACGTCGAATACGACGTCAACAGTTGATAGAAATGCAGCCCCCGTCTTTCTTCTCAGGGATGCTGCTACAGATGCCGGTGTACATTCACCAGAAAGTATTCAGATACCCTCAAATTCTGATGTTATATCTACCGGACTAGTACCGATGCCAACCGCAAATTCACTACTCGAACTGTATGTCTCAAGCTGCCGTGACTCCTTTGAACACTACGACTGACATGTATAAGTTTTCACATTCACTATGGCCGCTGGGTAAAATTTCCCGAAGACATATCAACTGCAACCCTACTCTCGCAAATAAGCAAATCACCCTTACTTTTATGCAGTATATTCCTCATCGCAGTACGGCACACAACCCAAGATCTTGCCGATAGACTTGCGCCAAAATTGTTTCAAGAGGCAATGCGCCTAGTCACATCTTCGTTATTAATAGTGCCCCAACCGACCGAGTACTTCCAGGCGGTACTTATACTAAGTTTATGGTCAACGACAATAGGTCAGGTACCTCTTAGTGTTGACAGTTGGCTTTTGACAGGGTATGCGCTGCAGCAAGCAATGGCTAGTCCTGAGTTTGTGGAGGTGCTCAGAGGTAGCTCCAGTACTCCGGCTGGGAGATCCCACATTGATGCATGGTGTCTGTGGAATCATTTGTGTTTGGCTCATTTACAGTACGTATTCGTATGCCTCAGTTATAACTCTGCTCTAATAGTTGTGATGGTAGATATTGCGTAGGAACTCGAAGACAAGCGTTACTCAATCAAGGGCAGATTGACCATTGCCTTCTCCTAAAAGAATTGGATAATATCACGAATTACGAGGCCAGAATGGTGGCCGAAGTCAATCTATACTGGATTATCTATACACACTCCTGTGGATCAAATATAAACCTTCCAGAGATGAAGCATGCTCTCCAGACCTGGCGACGAGATTGGACAACGCTATTTGGTTCGTCATTATTCCCATTCATGTTATGTCCACGATGCTAACTTCCATGTAGAGCAACCCCGCTCACAATTTCTCCAAATGGGCTTCCACTTCGCCCATCTTTTAGCCTACGGTCAGTCTCTGAGGTCTCCTACAAAATTACAAAACAGCTCAGCGGCCATCGAAACTATCGTCATTGAAATGGTGCACCATTCGGAAATCATATTGAACCTCGCTATCGAGACTACCGACGAACGCACACGTCATCTGACAGACCATATATACCACATAGTAACCTTCTCCGCCCTCACGCTATGCCGTCTTGTGCATACATACGAAGCAAAGCTTACTGCCGCAAATTATGATGTAGCTAGTCTAGACAATCTTGTCGTAAGACTCGTGGAGTGGCTGAGATCAATCGGATTGCCGTGCCATGCGGCGCATATGTTGGGTAGCATACTGGCGGCTCAATTCCATAAGTTGCGTCCGACGTATGTGCGGCCGGAGCTTATTGGTGAGATTGAGATGGGAAATTTCGGTTATGAGAGCTTCACTGATGATGCTTTACTCAATCCTGACTTTATTGGTTCGGAGTTCTTTAATATTGCGATGGATATGACGCCTTGGCCGCAGTGGGGTTCGATGTCTCCCTTCCTCTAAAAACTTGAGGTAATTTCCCTGGATTATACATGAACCCTCGTAGGGCTGCCAATTATATGCACAGCATTTTACACCAACCTGTACGTGTAGCTGGGTGGATTGAGGCCTGGCAACGATGTCATATAGAGATAATAGGCTATAATCTGCATATTTTCCTTTTCATGGACCTATATAAGGAGTTGTAGGGGCCTCCATGTATACACATAATCTTTCACCGCAGAATTTGGCCGAGCGCGTCGAATCTTAATTGCTTTTATACGAATAATGGACAATGATCAGCATGTTCTCCTTATAATTAGTGATATAATTATTTTGATTCTAAGACCGCACATTCGAAAGTTCATTTAACATGATACATTTTAACTTTTCCTTCTTATGCAAGCATAACCCCTGTCTCGCCCTGCTGTATTAACTTGTATGCCAACTCACGAAGAACCTGCTTTTGAACTTTGCCACTCCCAGTCTGAGGAATGGATGCGGGCAGCGCCTCATGCGATCCGCATACAAATAAATACTTTGGCGCTTTGTGTCTTCCGAGTGTCTCTCTCGTCCAATCCCTCAAATCCTCTGCCGACGGCAAGTCTTTCACATCGGCCTTAAACTCAATAAATGTCCCAACAACCTCCCCATAATGACTATCTGGCACCCCAATCACCGTAGCGCGCGAAACGGCTGGATGACGACTGAGTCTCTCTTCAATCTCAAGCGGATATATATTTTCCCCTCCGCGAATGATAATATCCTTGAACCTTCCCGTAATCGTGCAGTAACCCTCCGTATCAAAGACGGCTTCATCGCCTGTCCTCAACCATACTTTCCCATCTTCATCTCGCAGCAACGTATCCGCTGTCTTTTGCGGATTCTGCCAGTACCCGCTATGGATTTGATACCCACTCATGCACAATTCTCCGCGCTGGCCAATGGGAACTGTTTGGCCAGTTTTAGGATCAATGATCTTTGCACTTGCGTGTGGCATTACTTTGCCGACGGTGGTCAAGCGGCGATTGATCGTGTCGTGCGTAAACGCGTTGAAGCATGTGGGTGATGCCTCAGTTAGACCGTAGCTGCTTGTAAATTCGGTCATGTTCAGTTCTGCGACTAACCTCTGCATAAGAGAGTACGGGACTGGTGCTCCAGCGATGATTCCTGTGCGGAGGCGAGAGCAGTCGAAATTTGCGGGTTTAGGTAACGAGAGTATGGATTCAAACATGGTGGGCACGCCGTGGACGGCGGTGCATTGTTCCGTTGATATCGCCTCGAGCACAGCGACAGGGTCGAATGTTTCGTTTGGGTAGACAATTTTGGCGCCGTGTGTGATACAGGCGAGGAGGCCGAGGACGAGGCCGAAGCAGTGGAAGAGAGGGGGCGGGCAGCAGAGGACATCGGAGGAGGTTAGATCCATGCGATCACCGATGAAGCGAGAGTTGTTGATTAGGTTGCTGGACCTTTCAGTAAATGTCCTACAAAGGTTTGAATTAGGAAGAGACTTACTGGTGAGTCAGCATGGATGCCTTTGGATTTCCTGTCGATCCACTCGTGAACTGGAGATTAACTACATCGTATGGACTAACGATGTTGGCGTGACGGTATGCTACATTTCGCGGAACACTTTGTCCTTCCTGGACGACATCCTCATATGTCTTCAAATTCTGATATTCACCACGGACAATGACAATATCTCTCAAATCGGGGAGAGATTGGGCTCGATCACGTCCCTCGAGATAATTAATCGCATCTTTCAAAGAATGGCGACCAATTGTAGGTGATATGAACAACATCTTGCATGCTTATCCCGACAAGTCAGTATGGCATTCTCCGCACACAGAATTAAAACGCACCCGTATGTTCCAAAGCATACATCAACTCCGCCTTCGTATACGTATTATTGATAACCACCAAAATCGCTCCAACAGTCGCAGCCGCAAAGAATAGTGAAACATATTGCTCGCAGTTCCCCGCCATGACGCCGATTCGATCGCCATGCTGGATTCCATTTGCTAGGAGTCCCCGTGCCAATCGCTCGGTTTCGGCTTGGAGTTGTCTATACGTCCACCTTGTATTCGTCCAGGGAACGACTAGGCACTCCCGGTCAGCGTGTTCCAGGCATTGGAGTTCTAAGAGTTCGGCTAGTGTGATTTCCCATAGTTCGGGTGTTGTAGGGCCATGCACTATGGATTTTTTATTCTGGGTGTGATCGGGGAAGAGATGTCGTTGTGTTTGCTGTAGGCGCGTAATTGCTACGCTAGGCTGTATATCGGCGCCCATGATGCTGAGAGTTTTCGAAGTGCAGTGATTTGAAAAGCACCATATGATCAACGTCTAATTTTGTATCTGCTCTGCGCATGGGTAATTATGGAAAAAGAAAAAGACGCAATTGCCTATATGACTCAGATTTTTCCTTCCTTTTCGTTTTCGGAGGCGCTCCTCTTCTTGGAATTGACGTCAATACACAAATATATAACGCCCAATCTAAGCTAGCCACCTGCGACTTGCTGAAAAGCCGATGAACGCGCCAGTCCCAGTCTAATTTACACGAAAAGTAAACCGTTTCAAGAATTACCGTCTCGTATCATACACAATAATACCGGGATAATACAGACCCACCTACCCACATGGAAGAATACACCCTGGGTATTTTTCAGGATCGGCGTAAGTCTCTAGCATTTTCCTAAGGAGAAGCTTAAATGATTCGTTGATTAGTTTCAATCAATTTATTTTGAACGGCAAATACAGGGAAACCATCATAAGACGAAATGTAAAATACGCGTATCCGACACCGGACAATTGTGGGCTGTAGCTTTGCTCCTGTTCTAAGCGTCTTGCCCCGCTGCCAATCCCTCGTGTCTGGACTCTGAAGCTTCTGTGGTGAACTACGTAGGCCGGTATTTAACTGTAACGGTCAAGGAACTTCACTAAGGTAGGCGAGAATTACATGGTTCAATATTGATGTCGTATGAGGAGAAGCTTTGACAATTTTCGCTAGTTAGATGCATGTTGAGGTTGAGAAAATCTTGGGCATATTTGTTTTAACTTCTGATTTTCCACACAATCCCATTCTTCTCTTGTTATTGACAATTTTTTCAGGGAAGCATAAGCCATCCTATTTGTTTAGCACTCACAATACAACTCATGGAGTCAATCCAAACATCAGCGGGCATTGATGCCCCCTCCAAGGCCAGCCCTGAAAGCTCCCAATATGACATCGTCTGCGTCGGCTTTGGCCCTGCAGCCCTCGCAATTGCAATCGCGATGCACGAGCGAGGATCCTCAAACACAAATAATGTCTTGTTTCTCGAACGTCAAGCAGAATTCGGATGGCATACCGGTATGCTTCTCCCCGGCACAAAGATGCAAATCTCCTTCATGAAGGACTTGGCCACTATGCGCAACCCGCAGTCGTACTTCACATTTGTGAATTATCTACACAAACACAACAGACTTGCAAATTTTATCAATTTGTCTACACAGACCCCGTTCCGTGAGGAGTTCAATGATTACATGAAGTGGTGCGCTTCGCATTTCGGGGATCAGGTGAAATACAACCAAGAAGTCTTGAAAGTGAGTCCAGGACAAAAGACCGGTTCGACTATTGATTCCTTCTGGGTCACTGCGCGCGACGTTGAATCTGGTGATGTGCAACGGATTAGCGCGAAACATGTCATTGTAGCCAATGGTGGGGAATACTCTATTCCGGAAGGACTCAAGAGCCCCGATATTAGCGATCGAGTTGTGCATTCATCTCAGTATCTCAAACAAGTGCCGCGGAAATTCCGGGACGAGAATGCCGAGTACCGATTTGCTGTTGTCGGAGGGGGACAAAGTGCAGTTGAGATATCCGAGGATTTGCAATCTCGATATCCGAAATCTCGAGTCTCGCTCATTTTTAGAGATTCTGCCTTGAGACCGAGCGATGACAGTCCGTTGTAAGTTCATAATATTTTCAGCCCTGTCAAAAACGTGCTAGGAACACTTTCTAACACCAATGTTGTAATAGTGTCAACGAAATTTTCGATCCCGCCAGCGTCGATGAATTCTACTCCCTCGGCTCAGCCCACCGCCAACAAAGCTTGAAGAAGAACAAAGCTACAAACTACAGTGTCGTCAGACTTCCTCTAATTGAACACATTTACGAAAAAATATACCGTCAAAGGCTCCTCAAGCCTGATCCTCGAGACTGGACCTTGTCTCTTTACCACAACAGCGAAGTCTTTGGCGCTAATATATCGAAATCGGGCAATGCATTGAACCTCCGGCTGAAAAACACAATAACAGGCGAGACGAAGGTTACTGAGCAAGCTTATGATCTTGTGGTTCTTGCTACTGGATACCAGAGGAAGCCCTTTGCTGGTATACTGAAGGACTTGAAACCTCTATTGCTTTCTACATCGGAAGAGAATGGGTCGTTCGTGCAGAGGAATTATCGTCTACTTTTCAAGCCTGGATCAGTGGTGCGTGATGCTGCAATTTGGATGCAGGGATCTTGCGAGACTACACACGGAGTAAGCTTTGAACTATGCATTGATGCGAATTGAGACTAATGCAGCCTCTAGATAAGCGATACCCTCCTATCAATACTTGCTGTTCGAGCGGATGAACTGTTGGATTCCATCAATGCCAGCAGGAAAAGTGTGGAAAATAAAGCCAGACTATAGGCTTTGGGGGCTTTTAATACCTGGTTTGACTTAATTTACACGAAAAGCGATCTTTAATTGTATGTAGATAGAATCATAAAATGAGATGTATTGAGAAGCAGTGAAACTACTGAATTCCATCGTAAGATTTTTCACAGAGTTCTTCCAATTGATAGAACAACCATCGCTTCAACATCCACGATAAAGCGTATTTCATATACCTCTTTCCTGTCGTACTCAACTCTGTATCCTGAGATGCAAATGGAAGTACATATTGTGTCTTCCGCGGGATTTTCTGTCGCAATTAATCAAAGTCCAGCAACGAGCTTAACACCGCACTTCTTTCAGATTAATCTAGGGTTCGTTCGAAACCGGAAGAATTTCCTGTATTCTAAAATTCACATATATATCAATCCGTTTCCTATTTCTCCGACTCTTCGATCCATGCTGATGTCTTACGTAATCTTTGCTTATAGTACTAGACAATTGTCTCTGTATAGAGCAGCGAAATGAATGCCTTCGACCACATAGAGCTACTACGTAGTAAAAGGAGCTTGCGATGCCCTGCCAATCAATCACACTAGGCATTCTCTCACCGACTCTCAGCCGAGGTTACCGCCCAGTCCACGAGGAAGTGGCATGATTCGGCTACCTTAAAATTAATTGAGTATGTGCCTGCCAAACTCCGGCGGAGGTAAACAAATGACGCAAGTACGTAACATAGGCTAGAAAATTTTTTATCTGATGGTGGGCGCATTTATGATTTGTTCGTCTGATTTGTTGATCGCATCTTATCTGATCCGCAGTGGAGTGGTTACTTCGACGCTAGTAACTATGTTTCAATACACTGTTACGTCGTATGTTACGTTGTATGTAATGATAACGTGTCTGCGATACAGTTGCAAATTCGGTGCGGATTGTTTGTTACATATTGATTTCATAGTCAAATACTAAACTTAAATGAGGGAAGATTTGAGAATGGATCATGACGACTACCAGGTCTTTACGATATTTCAGGTCACCGATGGCGACGACTGGTCCTCAATCGCCAGATATATTTGAGGGGAATCTATCCAATTCAGCGATCACATGTTGCCAGCTTTTGTTAACGATAAGTTGACGGCGTTTGGAAGAAGTAAAGATGTCTCAGAAAACAGCCAATTCTGTTCTCCAGTATATTCTACGGGACGACCTTAAAAATATGCCCATGCTTAACTTTTGTAAAGATATTCACCACATGATTCAATATCTAGTACAACTGGCCAGCAGCAATACAAGTCCAAAGGGTACCAGTTGGGAGCCCCTATGAAAGGGAAAACAGACCAAGACGGAAACAAGAGACGATGATCCAACCTTTAATACACCAAACCCAAGATAATATTTACCATGACTTGTATGGAATGGTACTGGCACGAGACACGTGAGTTGTATGATAGGCATGTTTACGCGGATCCTCTCTACCCTGTCGATCCAACGCTCCAAGAGACGCCTTTTCAAAACCCTTCATATCTCCTTCCGGATGATACATAACACCAATCAACTGCTTGTCTCGATTTGTAACTGCCCTGACCGGGCCACTTTGATTGGGAGGGTGAGCAAGATCGACCGCTTTAGCCTTTTGCCCCTTCTGTGTCTTTTGAAAAACAACGCCCTGGCGGTTCTTATCTGGTTTCGAGGCTTTGGTACCATAATCAAACGGTCGTTCGCTGGGTGTTTTGATCGGGAATTCGTAAAGTTGCTTTTTCCTGGTCTCCATTTCATCAAAGAGTGGATATTCAGCATCTTTGAGTCCTTCGCGATTGTTGTAAAGGTGCGGAAAATTCGATGGAGTTTTCTTAGTCGTTGCTGCTGGAGCATAATAAACCTGGTCGCTGACTATGGTGACAGGGTAATTGCCTCTAGGTGTATTGTATTGCTGTCCAGTATTAGATTAACATGTCTCAAATGAGAAGGCGAATGCAAAACTTACCAAATTGTCCAGTGGAGCATCAGTGTTGTGTCTTCGGAAAGGCATTTTCAACTGCCTACATCTGGTTCTGAGCTTTCTATTAGAATATGTTCAATTCTGTGCCGTGGGACTGGGTGCGCTGCTCTGCAATATATCTTCACACGTACTTATGAATGAAAAACAAATGGCAATGACTTCCGTAAAGGAAAACTTCAAATAATGAAATGACCTCAAAATTTGGTCGACGTATTGCATCGGGTTTGCGACCAAGCATTTCTTATATTCATCCATATGTCCAATTCACATAATTGACATTATATTTCAATATCATACAGGGCTGAAGGTTGAAGTCTTTGTTCTGTTTATAGCTATCAACGGCGCTTAGAACTGAGCCAGTTACATATATATCTTGGCATATGAGCAGGGATTGGATGAAACGAGGTATGAATAGCAAATCTGTAAGGTCATACATGAACCATATATTTACCGCTGATATCCCCAGAGGCTGAGTCGGCGTTTATAAAGTTTCATACCAAGCCAAGGCGTGTAAAATCGAACCAACGGAATATACTTCCAAGGACTCAGTCGGATATGCTGAAACAGCCTACCGACTATGCTAAAAAGAAAAATCCGGCCTCTTAAATAATAGCCAGATACTAACCGCTAGCGTCTTGCTAAACGCGCAATGATAATTAGAGGTGCGGGCCCAACTATAGATAGCCCGCCAATCATGTTCGATGGTGGGGTAGCATGCCTGATTCAGGCATCACACTTCGAATGTTCAGCGAGCAGTAATTTTTATCAATTTATAAATCTCCCGATCCTACTCAAATGCAGCGAAATTTTTAAGTGTATACCTCCAAGAAAGTAATACACTCCTGAAATTGGCCCAAATAACTCACACCTTCATCGATCATGACAGAAGCTACACCAACCGTTGATGCGGGCAACGCATTTATCGAGGCAGAAATCGAAGGTTCGAGTGAGGGAGATCTCACCTATGAGATAGGCCACATATTCAAGCGGCTATTTGCTAGAGACGGAGGTATCAGTCCTCATGATGCGGCGCAACAAATCGATGCCGTTTATTCAGACATTTGGTTCCCTTTGGATCCCACATTCCGCTTCCGGCCCGATAAAGGCATGCCGATGTTCTTGCTGACCATAAACGAATTTATCTTTCCGCTCGCGAGAATACTTCGTTATGATGACATGCGACAAGGTACGCTGGTTCAGCTGATCTTTGAAATCCTTGCACTACCGCCTCGCGCAGCTCAGATCTGGGGTGTAAGTAAAACTACAACAAAGTCCTCCTCAGATACACTCGTTTGATCTGGTCCTAATTTGATTACCAGGAGGACTGCACGCTCTATAAACACAACCCCCTGTTCAATAGCGAAATGGATGAAGAGTGGAACATAAACTCACGTGGGTAGACACCGTTCCAAAAGAATTTGTGCGGCATATTTTTAAGAATATCTCTAATGGATGCAGCCCCCGATGTACTGAGTGATGAAGACGATTCTGCTTCTGCATCGGATTTACAGGAGAAATGCGATGATTACCTGAATTATTCTGCATTCCTTGCGCGCTGTACCGGTGGCGGTCTATTTGAGAACGACAAAAATGATTCAGGGTATAAATACTGCACATATGGCATCGCTGATGGGGTGGAGAAAGATCCGCCACACGGTATCGTACGAAAATCGCGGATACTAGTTGCTGCCATTTATATCTTTTTCTCCGGCCAGGTTGTTAGGGACTACTGTCACAGTTATCCATCAGACAGTGATAGGGGGAGAAGAGCACGGGAGATGTGGAATGTGTGGAAAGAAAAGTTTGAAGCAATCGCTGATGGACAGAATGAGGACCCCGATATCAAAGATGCGGCCAAGAAAGCTCACGCTGTGATGGTAGAGCTGGACACATCAGACCATTATGCCCCTGAGAACACACATTTATGATTTGTCGGTCTGATTTGTTGATCGCATATTATCTATTTACTTCGACACTTGTAACTATACTTCTAACACTGTTACGCCGTATGTAACGATTACGTGTAGGCGACACAATGGCAATTTCGTGGGAAAATATTGTTACGTATTGTTTTTTTTTTTTTTTCCTCAAATTACTACAAGTCAATAATGTGGACGGATCAATGAGGATGAAATTTACTATCAATGACCATAAGACAGATATCGCAGGTGTGGTGTATATCACACCATGGTCCAGAGCTACGTCATTACACGTATTTGCTGTATGTACTGTCACAGGGTTGAGTCATACCTGAGAAGGTAGCTTGTTAATATTGGACAAGACGACATGGTTACGCATAGAGCTCTGCTACTATCATCTTAACTGGCGGCGTGATGTATTTGGCTACAAGGGGCTTCTGCATGCGCAAAATCATTATGAGATATACCTGGGTATCATAAACGATCCCTGACGATACAAGAAATTCGATATGGGTGTCACTATTGTGGCATGACTTTAGAATCATTTAGGTGAATGTAAAGTTCGTCCTTGACATTTTAAAACGAAGTCCATGGATGTATGATTCTCTGTAGATCTGTCCAGCAGTTTTGAGCAAGTGTCCACGACCAGCAAAACGCGCCCAAAATAAGCTCAACAATTTATAACAGACAGGGATAAAAAAAAAAGCAAAACAATGTTCAAAACCTCATATCTGCGTAATTCTTCATACAGTCAGTACGCCTTGTATGGAATTGTACTGACACGAGACGGTTTCGTCGTCCGGTCCCGATATTCACGCAGAGACTCTCTTCCCTGTCGATCCAATGCCCCTAGGGATGACTTTTCAAAACCAGTCGGATTTCCATCAGGATGGTACATTACCCCAACCGTCCGCTTCTCGGTAGTTACGACAACTCTGGCTACACTCGGTTCATTGGGGATGGGCCCTATATCAACCGGTCAACGGTTAGCCAGTCCAGTCTCTTCAATGTAACAAATAGCCCGATGTCCTACTTCTAGATGTCAAGATACTTAGCGGGAGGGCTTAAAGAATACAAAAGCATAGTAGTTTGTTCGATGGTGTATCCGTATTATGTCTTGGAATAGGCATTGTTACTGCTTGCATGTGTTTGAATGATCATACAGAATATGTGTCAGGGCAGAACAATTCTTCGGGTGTTGTTTATTTTGCCCGTTATCTGGGATAAAAGGTAAGAGATGATTGAGAGAACTTTGAAATGCTCGTAAAGATTTTGTATCAAACGAAAAATGGTCGTACACGACATTTTCGTCCGAGTCATAGATATATATATATATATACGTGCAGTGACAAGTCACACCAATGTGCCTTGGTTAGAATGCCGGCTCCATCAGATCAATATTCAGTGCTAGTCAAGTCTATGCGCCCCTCATACCTAGGTAGCTATGCAAAACAATATAGGCGAGTTTCAGCCGTTTGATCTAAAATCGCAATATGCCGCATTCGCGCGCGTCAAAATAATCCAGGTGGCCAATTAGGGTTACTCAACGGTGTTCAAACAACATTGAAGGGCAGCGCCAAACCACTTATTGTTTGAAACTCCATTCGTGTGTTAGAAACTATTAATAATAGATATGTTTGACGCCGAAGCCTCGCGTGCTAATGTACCGAGGTCAGCAACGTAGTGAATGTGTGCATTCTATGAATGACATATCGATGCAACGTCCAGCTTTCGACCAATACGATAAGTCGACCGTTGTTTGTACCAGGACTACTCGAAACTGCCTTCAACTGAGGTTTGCCCTGCTACATCTGAGCCACAAATTTACCGCTGAAGCATTTAGGCGCCAGGGGGTGATATAGCATGTGGGTCCATATATAGATATCCCGCCAATCATGTTGAAGAACGCGAGGTTAAGGCTGACTCAGTCATCAATGATCAATCTTCATCTTTATTTCTTATAACCTCGATAATTCTATATCTAAAGACGTACAACCAACTCCGGCCAGACTGTCTTTTCGTCCAAATGTTGTAGAAATTTTGCGCCGATTATTCTTCGAGACAAAATCACACCGCCAGTGACTGACATTTGCAATGGCCGAAACGTCGATCACTCGAGATGAGGGTATCGCCTACCTGGAGGAAGAAATATCGGAGGCATACGAAGGGGATGAGACTTATGAGCTAGCCTATATTCTAAAACGATTGATAGCTGAGGATGGCATCACTCCTCAGGGAGCAGCACAGCAAATCGACTCGTACTATGAGGATGATCTCCTGCCTTCACAGCCAATATTGCAGAAGGAAAAAGCAAAGGGGATGATCAACCTTTTGGGTGCTCTGGACGACTTAATCTGCGGTCTTGGGTCGGTGCTTCATTATAATGACGTCCGACAGGATGCCTTGATTCAATTGATCCTTGAGCTCCGCAAACTTCCACCTCGACAGGTTGTGATCGGAGATGTAAGTAAATCAACATTAAGACTGGTTTCGTCGCTTTATATGCAGTATTTGGTTGATAATTTAATAAGAATGAATGCACTGATTATAAAGATAACCCGATATTTGTTCGGCAGGTTTATGAGAATTGGAATGGGTATCAAGGTGCGTAAATCCACTATATTTGAATCTTCTCCCCTACTGGTATAGCTGACAAGAACCAACATGCAGTGTATGATTCGTTACCTGGCACTCCATTGGAGGTCCAGGAGTCGTGTGATAAGTACGTGAATTGGTCCTCATTCATTGCACGCTGTACCAGTGCCGGTTTCCTGGCCGATAAAGAGGGCTACGAATATAAATACTCCACTGTCGATATTAGCAGTGGTCTCGAAGAAGAAATCCCTCAGGGTAAAATACGGAATGCTCGGATTCTGGCTGCTGCCAACTATATACTTTTGGCTGGGTCTGGTATCAGAAATTATTGTCATAGTTATTCATCAGACAGTGATAGGAGAAGAAGAGCGTGGGAGATGTGGAATGTGTGGAAAGAAAAGTTTGAAGCGATTGCTAATGGGCAGGATGAGGACCCCGATATCAAAAATGCGGCCGAGAAAGCTCACGCTGTGATGGTAGAACTAGATGCATCAGGTCATGATGCTCCTGAGAACCCTCCTTGAGTAGAAGGAGAAGAGCTATTTGTACATTAGTTTTTGATGATATGGTTTGAGTTTATGGGAGGCTTTATATGATATTTGCGAACGACACTGCCACGAATCTTCCCACGAATGGGATTATGTTCATAATAACTTCAATGCTCCGCAAACGTTCTCTGACCTTGCTCTCATTCACCAGGGCAAAGAATACGGCGGAATTCGGCAGAAAATTGCTCTTTGACAACTTATTAACGCAAACCTCTTGTGCGGCGAATCAATTGATTTATTATTATTGAAATTGTGCGAAAAACCAATCCCCATTGCCATTGCATTTGTATAGCCTGGCACACACGAAATTAGCTTATAAAGTATGTCATCTCATGGCATGTAGCTGGAGACAATTATAGCCACTGGAGAATCATTTCAGCGAGGGTAGCAAACAATACTCATGACAAGTAACATTCAGTAATTGAATGTGATCCGTGCTAATGATCTCCCGACTTGAAAATTATTGTGTGGCATTTTTTGTGGCCAATATTTGCCGAAGTCATTCTGCGTTTGATGAGATCTTGGGGGGAGGGGGGGGGATGCATATTTGCACGCTAGTGTTTCTCAGTACGATACATCGTCTCATTGTCTTGACATTTCTGGTCTGTGACCGATATAGACTTTTAAACTACCAGGAAATACTAGTCGTAAATATGTATTCGGGTTATATTGTGTCCACTTCGATGATGAATAGGGATCCACCGTGACGGCAATTGTCGGGACCTTCAGGGTTGAGCTTAAGTAAAAATCGTACGATGATGTCGCGTATTCTAGGATTAAGCTTCGGAGGAAGAAATATATAGTAGCAGAATGTCGATATCTCATTGCTCGTGAGATTTTTTTGGTCTTTGAATGTGGGAGTAAATTGTTAGATTCCACGAGGTGTCTGTGTCTACGCCTAGCTACCCAGTAAAAGCTGAGATTCTGCAGATCTACACAAGCGTCGCTCGTGGAACAAGGTAAATGCTCATTATATTCGCCGAGAATATTCGAATATTATTCCATGATGTGGGATGACAACGCAATTCTAACTTGATCTAATCGCTTTGCCTTACCCTCTAAACATCCGATCTCGGTGAGGCTTTTATCCCAATATGGTTTATACTGCCTTAATTCCGCCTAAGACCCAATGCCCAGACCGACACGTAACTTAGTAACGAATCATGTGGAGAAGAGAAATCATGTTTGGCGAGTACAAGTAAGGTAATCTTATCTGATCATCTAATCTGATCCTAATACGTGCGTTTCATCTTACTGGGTTGGTACTAGCGTTTTTAAAACTGCGAAGCGGTAATATTTGTATTGATACAGGGTGCGATAATGAATTACTGATACATTACATGATTTTTGCTACCAAGAGCTTTATTTTTACCATTGAAGGTCCTTTTATTTCCCCGAAAATTGCTTACCAGATCCGATCAAGTCTACTTACTGAGTTCCGATGAAACAAGTTCCACTTATTGCATAGTAGAGGAAATCAAGCCAGTAAAGGTACACCACCATCTTCAATATCTGACCACCGCTCACTTTCCCAACTATTTTTAGGATCTGAGCTAGAGTCGATATCTGATGTTCCTGGAAGCTGATCCTCTATGGAAAGTTCTTGAACCCTCGTAACAAGTGATTCTGTGATACCGGTTCTGGAATCTGGATGCCAGGGGCTTTGCGATGTACGTTGCAAAACTTGATTAATGACCTGCTCACGAACATCATGCGTTATCTTGCTCATGATTCGCCTTTGCTGTATGAACATATCTTCATTCGTAGTTGAGTCCTGTACCCTCGGGGGACTCCAGTTTGTCCAAACCTTCCTGTGAGATGACGGAGTCATTATACGTGCGGGATGGTACTTGAAGTACAATTCACAGCAAAGACATGCCGGCTTGCTGCAAGCAATGAAACGATCGTTTCCTGCAAAGACGAGTTGTGACCAATAGAAATGCTCCAACACTTTGATCTCGGCATGCACACAACTGTCAGATCTCTTACAGAATGATAAAAATTTATCCAATAACCCAGTAATTTTATGCAAGTACATCAGTCCCGCTTCTACATTCTCCTTCTCCACATTATGTTCGCGAAACATCCGATTCATGATTCCTCTGAGATCTGTATGTCTATGGCGTAATGGTGGTTGGACGGCTGCGAGAGGAGCAACAGTCATTATTGTGTGGGTTTGTAGTATGTGCTGCATGTGAAAAGAATCTTCGACGAGTTGTCTTGGTGCCCTTATATGATGAGAGAGTCGTCCAATGTAATGTCTAACTAGAAAAAAGGGAGAACGTTTGGCTTCTGGACTTAGTTCTTGCTCATCTCCAAAAGCAAGGGCCGTAAGATCAGTCATCCATGTCGAAAGTCGGTTTTTATGCGCGAACTGACAAAGTCTGACAGGATCTTTTTGATGAATTAAATTTTCCAGATTAAGGATTAAATTTCGGGAATCGACTTTGTTAATTTCACCCATATTGTTGACGATTATGTCGCTGGACCCATCCGCTTCTGTCACCCGATTCTGTACCCTCGATACACATTCTCTGGCTTGCACTTGCACTTGCTTCTGCTCCGCGTCTATGCGGGATTTTGCAAACTCCGCACAGAATAGGATAAAATGGTTCACGGTGGCCAGGTCCACTTCACCAGAATCACTGATCCGATACAAGAACTCGAGCGCTTCTTTCAAAAATTGGACGATCTTTGTAATCTGGTCATTGGAAGAAACCCAGAATTGATACTTGTCAGGCTGCTCTTCTAGTCCAATAGCAGTACAAGACTCTCCACCCCTAGTAAAGTCGCAGATATAGCAAAGGTTTTCCAAGAACTTCCTTCTTGTCCGTATAATAGTATCAGAACTGGGCGGCTGACGTGTATGTGCGTCTCGCGTCTGACCAAGTGCTCGTAGCATATAGAGTGGCTCATAAAACCGGGCCATAAGCTTTGATCCTTTAGATTTTGGTGGATTAATATGACGAGGTACTAATGGCTCTCTGATTCTCGCGTCCATGATGGATGCTCTCTACGGGTATGAAAAGGAAATCTGGATCCAAGCGAAAGGTCGAAAGGTCGAAACTTTAACACCAGAGGACGGATATTGAGACATGGAAATCCTTGATGAAGTTCCAAGTAATGAGCCGACGTGCTGATACGCTGTTATATGCGTAGGAAAGAGTACGTGGTGACTTTTTTTATAAGACAGACTGCTGGGTGGTAGTCCACCATGCAGGAGGCTATTATGCGAGAGGCCACTATGTAAGAGGCTACTATGCAAGAGGCTACTATGCAAGAGGCCACTATGCAAGAGGCCACCTTTCGAAACGCAAGCAAAGAGAGAACATTACAGTATAACCTTCACTACCACGAAATGTGGCGGCTAGACATCTCATTACTGCCTTACCTCTTACAGTTTTCCTTCCGAGGTGGACATGGGGGCATGGAAAGCACATGGAGGAAATTGACAGAACTTGCACGCATTGTTTTCTTCTCTACTGAGGCAGCTTTAAATGGCAGCACTAAAATCTAGACTTATACTTTGAAAAATCTTTTGAATAGTCGTTATATTCCGACGAGGCATACGGTAAGTCACTTGAGGTTTAATCAGAATTGAATACCGATACATTCTATCGTGTATTTGAAATAAAAGTGGAATTGGAAATATTGCTTTCTAGACCTCAAATATCATTTACTCCCGAAAAAATGTTAGTAACATGCGTCGCTCAGCTTTTGTCAAGGCAGATTCCCCTCTTCCGGTGCCTTACTAAATTGTCTCTCCTAGTGAACTCACAACCGCAGATCGGACACTTGTGCTTGCGTACCAAACCTAAATATGTACTGGCCCATTGTGTATGATGCACCGAGACATGACGATACATCTCACTCTGCCCGCCAGAGCGATGAGCACAATGCCTTACAGGGCATTTAACGACTTTGTAAAGCTGTTTTAGATGAGTTCTAAATAAGTCAGCTGAATGTTTCGATCTTAGGAACTCTTTCTGCTAACCTTAAACGGCTTTTTTCTTTAAATATTGTTCCTTTTGAGCAAGCAAGCTCCGGACAAATGTACAGACCATCGGGCGTGCGCATAATCTCTTCTAGCAACGGTAGCTCAGCTTCTTCGAACTTGTATTGTTTTCTTCGTATCCGTGATCGATTTGGAGAATGATTCTCCTGTTCTTGCTTTTTAAGACCTTCTCCAGTAGGCCTTGCTATTTGGGAAAAGGCTTCCAAACTTCCTATCTCACTCAACGACGAATATGAAGTAGGAGCACTCTATAGAGGCTGATATTCAAATTCTCTCGTAGGAGGTAGGGATGTTTGCAATTCCAAGTCTGAGAAACCATCACCCGACAGTAGAATGTTGTCAAACGCCGTAGGATAGAGGAATCGTTCTCCACTCGAATTATCATCAAAGAAATTCTGAAAGTCAAAGGATTCTATGGATAAAGCGTTTGGCGCTACGCTTTCCAGCAATGCATCTTGAATACTAAAAATATGCGTTCCCTGACTCTCAGAGGATTGGATTGAGTAGATTGAGGAGATATCCGCCTCCATTTTTCAAATGGAAGGATGGTAGTGGTAAGTTCTAGATATGAAAACAAAGCCTGAATCTTTTAAATATCCGGGCTACGGACTCTCTGCTTTAAGCTAGTTAACTTTTCCTTTTCTTTTCTTTTTGATTCTTATCGAAAAATGCAGAATGAGATGTCTGACTGGGTGCTTTCTGCTCAATTATGTTTTTGGTCCGTCCACAATCAACTTGTGTATATTTGCTTTTCCTTAAAAGTCAAATTGAGAGATGATCGAAGACGACAGTCGCCTAAGACGTCTTTATACGACATGCAGATTTCAGGCATTCTACAGTGCATAAAACCGCAGATCTGCCATGATCATTGGATTGAAGCGCATGTCCAATGTGATACATAATTACAGAAATTGACTCAGTCCCACAGACCTGCAAGCCCTCAGATGCAATAAGTGTGTCGATCAACTTGGGCTTTGACTACTAAGTGTTTTTCATTCGGCAATCATAATCTTCGTTTCTTTCACCACCAGTATCGCCAACGAGTGCCAGTTAAAGTTTCTCCATGGCCCAGATTGATCGTACGGTCCCATCAAATGACGTTGGTGGGTCATAGACGTGCAACAGCCATCAAAATCATCTCCACATCGTGCTTGAACTGAATTTATTACTCCGTGCTAAGGTATTTTATGCAAATGAGCGGTGACAGCTACACGGATGAGCCCTTCAGTTCAATGTATCTCGGCTAATTCTACAGAGGTTCGAGTTCGCTCCTGTGTGTTCACCAGCTTAGGATTAAATAAAACTTAGCCGTCAATCGAAAGGCACAACGCAATCTCCCTTAGCTAGTTTCGGATTCCTAGGTTCTGCTATCACTTCTGTATTCTCAACCTGGGAACTGTTGTTCAAACTTTCTGTGAACGAAACTGGACCCGTAAACATGACCGCCCCAAACCAAGATGCGCATGATTATGATGTCAAGACTGGTGAGAACATTCTACCGATACAATTCCCCATTATCACATTCTGATACACCGCAGACGAGCTTGTGGGGAGTCTGTTTTTCAAAGCCATTGTCACAGTATCACTCACCCAAAAGAACGTTCCCTCAGAATTGCTGGTGAGTTTTCACAGTATTAAAATATATGCCTATTTAATTACTGAATCTTTTGTGAATAGAAATTCGATGTCCATCGGTTCATGCAATTCTATGACTATGATGCCGCCGTGCAACACCTTCGAACCCTCGGAGTAGATCGAGTTTCAAATAATGACACAGAACCGCGAAAAGCTGTTTTCCAACAACTTGGATTCATTTGTCACTCATTTTCAACAGCAAATAGTTATCAAGTGATGCAAGAGCTGCTTACATTTGGTCGAAGAAATCCGATAGTAGATACAGCGAATTCGAACAGGGGTGGACTTTCTAGTACCTCCACGCGATTCGGAGATGATCATCAAGTATCGAGACACAAATCTCACTCCGATGAAATCCTTCCACTATATACATCCATCTTATACAAAGAGGGCGCAAGACGCAATGTGGTTATAAGACGAACCTTCTCTGTGCTGAGCCTAGAGCCTCCACAAATGAAAGCCACTGTTTCCTTCGGCGCTTTAGAAGCAACGAGTATTGGTCGCACCAGGAAAATTGCCGGTCATATGGCCGCGAAGGAGATCTGTGATAAGTTGAATTTCATGAATCAATCGTCCTGATGAATATGGAGCGGCTTGGCTTTTCAAAAAGTCCTTCCTTTCATTCGGGTTGATAAATGGAAAAAAAAGTACGTTCGGGTCTTTGTTCGCAATGATTATGATATATTCTCAAGCTGGCTCGGATTTCAACAATTGATTCTTTGGTTCCATGTCTTCGTAGTGCGCTTCCTCATTTACTAGTATCACAATAGGCTTCAAAATATCCTATCCAGAGTCCTAGTAGGTCTCAAGCTACAAAATTGGAAGAAATATATTCAAGAAAAGCCCTATGGTTCCAGTGCCGATGATTACTAAAGGAATTACCTCTTTCATACGTAGGAAATGCTTGACTGTGAGCATCAGGATCTGGATCTGTGGTGTCCGTTTGTATAATGTGCCTGAAGTTTTAGGTCTGAAATTTAAGCCCGAAATTTGTACTGCTTATTGACTTCGCAGAAACCGATCCTATTCTTGCCCGCCTCTAGAACTTCAGGCACTTAGAACGCTTTGCCCGCCATCCTCAGTCAATCTTTTTCGAATCTTCACGACCATATAGCCCGCGCCCAACCTGCGCAGCCTCTGCGAATTGGTTTCGTCGGTTTTGTTCTCTAAGATAGCTCCTGGCGCAAACAATAAAGCCTCTCCCACGTTCAGGTCAACAATCTGATTCATAAAACACAGCTTGTTTGACACTTCGGACATCGGTGACCACACTTCGTTACTGCGTTGTGTGTGCCCTCCTGACTGAGTTCCCAAGGCCGCGGCAGCCACATGACCTTGTAAAGCGCGTAACCAGGCTGGTGATGAGAATTTGTGTACAATCGTGACTGAACAAAGACTTAGTAGGTCGCTTGAAATTGTTGGTTCTTGAGTAGAAATAAGTATTCGTGCTCCGAGATGGCGCTGCAACCTGACTGTAGAGAGAAGTGTGTTTGTGAAATTCTTTGAATCAATTGACTCTTTCAAATACTAGAACCAGCATGTTAACATCTCATTTCTATAGAAAAATTGCGAAATCCTTACCTTGTGCGCTTCGTCGAGCGCAACTACTCGGCCAACATTGGTATCCTGCTCCATGAAAATTTCGAAACAGACGTTGAAAAGTGAACAGGCTGTTTCTGGAGTAATACATGGGCAGGAAAGGTCGACAATCGTGAGCAGAGATGGCTAGGAAAGACGATTAGTCGCTTTAGCATTTTGTAAGAATTCGCTTCTGACCTCTGGCTTCCAGCTTGATCCGTTCATTTGAGCTTTACCCTTCCATTTCTTTGGATTTCCTTGAAATCTTACCTGTTGGCGAGGCATGAAACTTTCAAGTGTTTCTAGTCTTTGCATCAAGGGATCAAGCTGGCTTGGAAGTAAATCAGCGGCCAGAATCTTCTTCTTGAACATGTGGTAGTCAAATCGAGAGCCATCCTCTTGCTGCAACAAGCGCATCTCTCGCAGAATACGCAGTACAGTATGCACGTATAGCGGTATGGGTCCTTTTTCTTGGCCTACTGCCATAAGATCAAGCATACGTTTAGTATTCAGGCTGCTTTGATCAATTTGCAAAGGTTCAACCTCAATGTTGAATCTAGAGTATGTCATCTGTAAAAGTTTTAGTAAAAGGGTCCTAAAATAGCGCAGTTGCGGGAAACATCGAATACCTTGATCGTTTGAAGATTCGTGGGCGCACAGAGAACTCTGACCGTAATTCCAGGATGTGACGACAGGAAAGCCGCTTCGCACGGAGAGCCCCCAGTATCACATATGAAGGTATCATAATGAAAAACAACAGCCGTCAGAGGGTTTGAAAGTCGGCCTGCGTTGGATCTCAGCAAGCAGCCTTCAAGAAGGCAAGAAAGTGTATGGCTTTTCCCTGATCCCTGCGATCCACAAATGAACGTACTCATTGGCGAGGCGATATTAAAAAATGTTCGGGAGTCATTTTCAATTTCCCCGTTTCCGGTATTCGCAAATTCCGGGTGATGTATGCGCTTCAAACCTGCTAGCAGGCCATATTGTGCTGGAATTGGGTTGGTTTGACGAAGAAGGGATCCCATGAAGATGGGTGCCAAAGCTGTCTCATCCCTTTGATCGACATCTCTGCCGTTTTGGAGAAGACTCAAATGGTACGCGAGCTGCGCATCTGCCATCTGGTCAGCCGCTTTATATAAACATGAAATTGCAAGCCAAGCAAGTGATGGCGTTCTGCACCAATGGGTTGTATTCAAACATACCATCATCTAACTCACCGTGCGATGATGTAGACATTTTCTTCCCCGCACTTATGATTATCAGACTGAAAAAGATGGACTGAAAAAAATGAACTGATACCATACCAACTGTTCACTTACTTGTGGTTCTACATATAGAGAATGCGATCAAGTCAGGCATCGACTTTCGACCACTGAATGATACCTGCAAGCTTTTGCAATTGTGGCCTCTTGCATTTATGGCCTCTTGCAGGTGTGGCCTCTCGCAGGTGTTTGACTGATAAGTTAGCGATCGCTGGAATTTTCATCGCTGTGGTTTCGGCCACTGGGGGTTTTGCGCAGTTATTAATTCTTTGCGTTCGAGGAGGATAGCCAAGAAATTGTTTTCACGGTTAGCAGTCATGACGATAATACAGTATAGAGAAATAAATAAAAGAAAGTATTTAAAGAGATAAAATATCGAATAATAATAGTACCTATATTAATACAACATAATCTAGAGCTATTGCCACGCCCCAATAATACTCGCTGAGATCTTTACTATAATCGACCCTAGGCGACCTTTGGCACTTTTTATCTGCATCTGATATGTACGATTCTGATTCTTTACTGGATGCTAAGACGTGAGGGTCACGCATCCTTATTGCGACGCGGCTATAGATACTTGAATAATCGTAAAACACAACCAGCAAGCACAGACGTGTGGGATTTGTTCAACCAATCAATGACCCTGAAAGAAAAAACACATGCTCAACCGCGAGCAATTAATCTTTTCATTTGACGACAAACTGGATCCGTTCATTCATCCAGGATTGGAATCAATTTACCACGCGAATTGCATCAAAAGTGAAGCTGATAGTAGAGAATACGAGAAACTCACACCTATCTAGATCTCCAAACGCCGCAGACGGGCCCCTTTATTGAACTATAAGTCAGCTTTTACTTCAATCCGATGATTTTGTCCAGTTCCCCGTTTCATCCTCATGGGTGGTAATTCCGAATTGGCTGTCTGTGTGGTCAGTATGTGTGTCATTGAATTATTTGAGGTTCATACCTAGCGCATGCCTTCACCGACGGTCTCTGGGTTATCGTGCAGTAGCTTGATTGGATCTTCAAGATTAACCCAGCCAAGAAATGGCTTKCTAACTGAATATCCAATGAGTCGCTGCAGCTCAGTTGGATATTGCTTAACCTGTTTAATTTGGTTTGCTAGATATTGGTTTTCTTCCTTCATCATATTAGCACACAATATGAAAACGAAGGGGTTTTGTATGCAGCCGACCTGTCGAAGATAGCCTTTGGTCATGAAACAACTATACACCAGTCTCTCCTGGTCTGACGTTGTATTCGCACTTCCGCCATGGTAACAAGAAGCCAGCATTAAAAAAGCATCTCCAGGCTCAAGCTCGGCATAATAGGTAAGTTCTTCGTCTGGACATCGGGCATCACCCCAGAGATGCGATCCCGGTATACACCGCGTTGCGCCATTTGCTCTCGTTGCCTTCTTACCAGCGACGAAAAGACCTACACTAGTATCCCGGCCGATACGGTATTGGTCATGACTCTTCAATTCGATAAGGGTGTTATGATGAATGGAATCGTCCCGATGAAGTTCTTGTCGTTTGGCTCCCGGTCCGATCGAGAAGACAATGGTGTTACTGAGTACAGGCTCAGATATAGTCGTGTTGAGCTGATAGCCTAGCCATGCGCTGTGTGTAGATGACAATAATCGCGAACAGACATCAAGATAGAGTTTATTGCCAGGAATGTTTTCGGTGAAAGTTCTCGATTTGCCAACCAAACCCATCACCCGCCGGGTTTCCGGGGGGAAAAAGTCTACGCCAACCCAAGGTCTGTCTGCTTCGAGATGTGGCCGAATGTCTTTCTCAATTGTATCCAGTATATTTTGGTCTGTGATCATGTTACGAATCACACACCCACCATTCCGGATTAGTGATGCGACAATCTCGTCAGCCTTGGGGCTAGTAGTGTAATCGAACTCATCCACAGTCATCATTAATAAGTCCTGTACTAGAAGGATACAAATCAATATCTTTGAAATGAAGTCTGAAACATGGAACAAATAATTGTTCTTGCAGATATGTCCCTGCTTAAATATCTCTAATAGCCGTGTCGAAATGACTCACTCAACATCCAGTGGGGAATTATGTACCGTCATTCTCGAAATCAGATTGACTTGCAAACATATCAAATTTCTTACTCCACTTAAATAGACCCCTAAAACATTACCCTTTCTTTGTTTGGCTGAATTGAGATAGGGTGATCAATCATAACCATTTGCCCATCCAGGACGAGGTACGAAGTGGAGCTTCAAACAATAAAGACTTGTGAGTTCTGGTCAAGGCGATTTCGAGAATTACTATACCTTAGTGCTCTCAGACCTGTCATTAGGTCAATATGATAGCTGAGAATCAGAGTGGGACGTCGTATTATACTGTAACCTGTGTGTCTAGCTAGGAGTGTAATAACTGGCATAGGCTGTAAACCCATGGCATCCCCGACTGGACTTTGGCACAAAATTCTTGTTTAATGACTATCAAAAATAATAGCCACGTCTAACAGTCATGTTTCTACACAGGAAATAGTATTCAAAGGCCATATAATGAATTTCGGTGATAGAGGAGTGTCTGGAAATTTACGAGTATTATTTATGTATTGCGAGATTAATTTTATTTAACAGCTAAATGATCTTTATCAAGTTGTATCTTGGCAGTGTATCTCAAAGAAAAGTGAAGAGTTTCCGTGTTACTCGGCAAATGTAAACCAAAGTATCCAATCCATTTTCCTCGACAGTTCAGGGCATCAGCGTGCGAAGCGCGCATCTTCCAGTACCCCAGGGTGAAGGTTACACGAGCTAAGGTTATTCAACATTCTTAGCAATGTGTGTCACAATTTATGAGTCATCCTTGTCGACTAAGGTAGTTAACGCTATAGCATCAGTAAATCGCGATTGTTTAATTGCTCGTCTATTGAGCAAGTCCACTTATTTTCTATTATGTTACTGTATGCTAAATGTGAAATGTGAGATACTTAATTAACCGACTTCGTCTTAATTGTTTATGTCCTCCTCCGCAAGATCACGTATATGTCGTCGTTGTACGTTCTCAAAATCAGGTCGACTGGCTCTTAGCTTCTCGGTACCTGAACGAGGACGATTAGTCCTGTCCCTCTCAACATCGGTAATGTTTCTACCGAAACAGAATCAAACAGATCGTTACCGACACTGTATGGGATCAAGACGGGACCAAACGGGATTTTTAGACGTCAACAAACGGATCGTTACCGACCCGCACTTTGATGGGGTTCTTGGCCCTCCTGTAAGGCTCAACACTGCTTGAAGAGTACATACTTGGTATCGAGACTTCTTTAAGTTGGTTTCGTAATGAATATCTGTAGGCGCTAGATCAGGCTCAGAGCATCTTGGCCTTCAGCAGCCCTGAAATCACGACAAGCCATGTCACATGAAATGACGTATAACCCAGTCGCAGAATGGGCTAGGCCTTATTTTGGAGTAGGCGCAAAGAATTATTGGCATAAATAATCTTTGTGTTGTTTCTGCCATATGTTTCCGCCTTTGTATAGATTGCTTCATATATGAAGGCAGGTTTTGTAAGAGGGTTGTAAGAGGGCGTGAATGTGAGAGACGATTCGTAGCCTATTATTAACTAGATTAATATACTATTTTCTGATTTCATTATCTCCTTGCTATAGTTATTAGATTATTATTTATTAATATATTTGATTGTACTAGTCCTCTATCTTGCTACGCCATAAATATAAATAATGCTATTCTATTCTCTTTTTTCCCCCTTCTTTTAAAGAGTTACCAGTGTTGAAACATTAACATTAATACTAATTTTGGACCCCTAGTAACTAGCAGCTACGCACCTACTATATATGCTTTAGTGAATAGCCATTCTACACTAAAGTAAGTATGTTTTGTTTATATATTGCTGGACCCCCAGCACCCCCTTTCATAGCAATTGAGCAGAAATTAGGAATCAAATATTAACCATTTGTGCTACACCTTATAGGATTGTCAGATTAGCCTGTTCTCAATTCAATTGAGCTGATCTTGAACCGGACAAACCGACACTAACCTTTAACCCAATTCTATTTCCCTCGCATAGGTGTTGCATATGCTGTAAAATGCTGTAAATTTTACAGCTAATTCATGGGCGAATTATATTTTGACACCCGTTCTGCGAGAACCCGCGTAAAGCGGCACATCTTCCATCACATTCGGTGGGAGTTTATGGACGACTCCTATTCGCTACGCCGTCCTAGTAGAATGGTACACTAAAAATGCAGGGTAATCCTTCGAATGCAATTGACTTGCCTGCTTTTATGTTTCCGAGATAGATAGATAAGCTGGCAGCGGTAGCATTCATTGGAAGGAAAACTTGATATAGGATCTGACCGCTACGGAGTACGGAAGGGCATTTAGCACCGCCGCCATAGTTTACTATTTTACTATTCACTCATCTTATATTTTTCAAAGAGATCTAGCTCTCTCTCTTAAATATAGACTCATACTTATATATTCACATTCTAGAGCTTCTTATAGCCTCAATCCTAGCCTATCTATATATAAACTGCCGTAATGACCGGGTGGAACGATAGTCCGAGTACGTGGTTATATACCGAACGCTTGTAGAATGGATAACTAAGATAACTCTGTGTATAGTGGACATACGTAGCTGGAGCAATAAGCTGCAGGGGGTCGATGCTGTGGGTATCAGACCACTTTCGATCAATGAGATCAACAGATGTATAGTGAATTACAGCTTATTACAACTTATTACAGCTTTGACTTTCGACTACTTGACTCCACCCCAGTCTACACCTGGCACATCATCGTCTCCGGAGCCTCTCATTAGGTTCTCGAAAAAGGTCATATCGACACCCTGGAAGGCCCACTGCTCTCCTTCAGCCGCCAGTCCAGGGTAATAATTCTCATATGTCCAAAGAGAGTCGGGTAGCTGTCCCAATTGCGCTGCCTCGTCCGCGCGGATGGATTGCATATTACCAGGCTGCGGCTGGGTCGGTGCATTGATATCTGACATCGTCGGAAACATCTCGTTGCTAGCATTAACTGGTGTCAGCATCTTTTCATATGGTGTCTCGCTCGGCTGCGTCTGCGGAGCCGGGCGCGTCGCAGGCTCTACAGCCTTCTTCGCTGGTGGCTTGGCTATCTCTTTATTGATGCCCTCGCGGGTAATCTTGATGACGCCAAAGTAGGGGATATGTACGCTGACAACGACGCTCTCATCCGGATCTGTGGTCGCTGTCCCAGCGCCCTCTGCCTGCACGCTGACCCTCCTTAAATCTTGTCGATCTCTGCGGGCCGTTTCCACGTCGATGGAGAGCAGCTGGCGCAGTAGGGCGGCGCTTCGCTCGCTCAGTACATCCGAACTAACACGATTCGTCTCCTCCATATTTTTCTGGACTTGCTCAATCATAGCACGATCGCTGTAATATTGGTGCGCGAGGAGATTCTCGCCGTCGCCGCCTTTGCTGTTGAGGTGTGCTAGGAGCAAGGTCATAGCCGTCATAAGGGCGAGAAAATCAACCGTGCGACAAGTATAGGCGATGCCGGTAGAGCTACGCAGCGTGAGGAAGCGTGAGAGCACCTCTCGGGAGGCGTTGACGCAGGTGATGTGCGCGTACTCGGACTGGCGATCGCGCGTCAACGATGACGACGTGCGCAGCATGTACGGTAGATGTAGCTGGTTGAGGAGGTTATAGTGCAGCACTTGTGCGAATATGCGCCGTGTGTTCCAAAAGCGCTCCTGCTTGTCTACCACTGTCGCCGCATCCAGGGGCGGGGTCAGCCACCAGCAACTGGGCAGGCTCCGTGCTGCGCTCTGCAATTCTGCATCTAGTTTCCGCGTCAAGCTAGCTTCTTCCGTTGCACTCATACTCAGTTCGTTGCGTTCGATGATGCGGGACGCGATAACGCAGTGGAGGCGCTCGAGCCGTCCCATAGGAGTGTCGCTAGCAAGCAACGCCTCGGACGCCATACTGTGGTCAGAACAGCCCTGCGAGACGCCTAGCATTAGACAGAGATAGCGGTCAAGAAAGACGATGCGAAACCACATCAACTGCGGGTGATATGATGTGCGCGGGTTTAGGATTGTGTGCTGGGTTTGGTTATGCGGCCGGTTCAGGCCCATCAACTGGGCGATGCTCATGGCACGTCGTCCGGAGAGCCAACTGCGACGCAAGTTGCCAATATTTGCCTGAAGCACACTCTCAATCATGACACACTCAAGGCTCTCCATGCTACCGAGGAACTTATCATTTGTTGTCACGGAACCAACAGCCCGATTGATCAGCCGTTCCATGATAACGCGCGGAGACTCCGACAGGCCGCTGATATCCTTATGCAAAGTCGGGTGAAGATACTGGAGGAAAGAGGCTAGCAGCAGCATATAGCGCGCGATGAGCACTGGGTGCGCATCCGGTTCTGGGATATCAAGCAGGACAGCTGGTGTCTTCAGGCCGGCTTCATCGAGCGTTGAGTACGGCAATGTCATGATCTCGTGGGCAAGAACCGAAGGCTGGTGGCTAGCTTTGCAAATCTTCTCAATGTCGTCGCGTGGAGGCAGCGACCCATGTAAGATGCGTGACAGGCTCGGGTGCCTGGGGTGAGAAGAGGGATGGACATCTTGCTGCGAGAGATAGTTAACGCATTTTATGTCATCACGTGGCGGAAGTGGACAAACCTCTCGCAACGGCTCAAAATCCGTCGTCGATATGGATGTCGAGACGAACGTTGACACCCCATCGTCCAATTGGTGGTAGGCCGTGGAAGTGCCGCTGGAGAATGGATGAGATGTATGTGTATGGGTTTCTCGAGCAGTATAACTATCACCATTGTTCATACTATTCCGCATCTGGAAATGCGCCAGCTCTTCCGGAAATTCCTGGCCAACACACCGTGAGCCCCGGTGTAGACAGCCAATGCACAAGGCCCCGTTGCGGGGATCGAATACACATCGCATCTTCCGCCGCTTGCACTCCCAACAGCTGTGTGTCCCTTTACGCAACCGTCGCTTGACCTCCATGTTGCGATGGTGTTCATCCGTGCCATACAAATGAATGTAAGGAGGTAAAGGGGTGGGTGCAGTTTGTTGTTGAATTGGAGGAAGAAGATCATGCCTTCATCCGTGGACGGACGCGGCGGTCGAAAACCCTGTTAGTTATTAACGACTTAGTAAAAAGTAGCTAAAGTCCTTCAACCGCCGAGTACTATTCCAAAAATAGCTAGTCTGAGCAGGGCGCAGGCATGTCTGTCGGAATTTCTGAGGGCGCAGTATGCAAACAATTCAAATGTCAAATTGAGATGTTCGGCGGAACAAACGCGGCGGTCGAGTAGAGAGTAGTACGGAGTAGCGTCAATGGAGGCTAGGGCGGTCAATTAAATAATAATTAATAATAGATAAACTCTTGAGTAAACAAAGAGGCAAAGTCTGATAGACTCAGATGGATTGTAATTTCATCTTTGCACAAATCTGCTTCAGAATTACAAGAGCAGCCTTTCAACTCTGCTCATTCTCTGCGCTGCCAATTGCTTCTCCTTCTCCCTAAAGGACAGCAACGCAAAAAGCTGAATATGTCGTTCCAAAATTCTGACTCCGAGGAAGGAAAGAGTGCTAAGATGAAAGCAAGTGACGACTCTCAGCAGCCATTTGAGCAGCCTATAACCGACAGCGGTCAAGACAAGCTAGCCCCTGAACCTGCCCTTGTGAACAGCGATGCCGATAAGCCCGAGTACGCAACAGGCATACGCCTGTTTCTTATCATTTTCACAATGAACGTGAGCGGTCTACTCACAGCTCTGGAGATTGGTATTATCGCAACTGCCATTCCTTCCATCACCGACAATTTCCATGCCCTTAACGATACAGGATGGTATGGAAGCGCAACTTTCCTCGTTACCGCTGCCACTTCAGGAGTATGGGGCAAGGTGTACAAGTATTTCCACGTCAAAAATATGTACCTTGCCGCTATTTCAATATTTTTGATCGGGAGCATTGTAGTTGCAACTGCTCCGGATAGTATTGCTGTCATTATTGGCCGGGCTATCCAAGGACTCGGTATCACCGGTGCAATGAACGGATCTGTCATTGTCATTAACTACATCTCCCACCCTTCGAAGCAACCTATGTTGATTGGGATCTGGATGGGCATATTTATGGTATCAACTGTTCTCGGGCCTATAATCGGTGGCGCGTTAACAAGTGGGGTCTCCTGGCGGTGGTGTTTCTATATTAATCTACCACTTGGTGTCCCTGTCGTTGTGTTGTTACTGCTTTTTTTGCACATACCAAAACATATCAGAGCTGAACCCACGACCTGGAAAGAGATTATCTTGCAATTGGATCTTCCGGGTTTCAGCATCATCCTTACTTCGCTTGTATGCTACACATTGGCCCTGCAGTGGGGTGGCCAGAATAAAGCGTGGAATAATGGCTCTGTCATTGCCACGTTGGTGGTTTGGATTATACTCACGATCATCTTCGTCATCGTTGAAATATTCCAAACTGCACGTGCTATGATTCCTATAAGGCTCATAAAACCACGTGTTGTGTGGGCCAATGCCTTGTGGTCCTTTATGTAGGTCATAATCGATTGTCTTTGATTGTTGATTGGGGCTGTGTCTTGAGAAGAGGCTAACTGTTTGCAAAGCACCACTGCCGCTTTCTATCAGGTCATGTTCTATCTTCCAATTTTCATGCAATCCATCCACGGTCAGTCGGCCATTCTAGGTGGCGTCAATACCCTTCCGTTCTTGTTGTTTTTTGGCGTAGGAACCATGGTCAGTGGTAAAGTCGTTGAGAAAACACGTTACCTGCAGCCTTTTCAGGTTCTCAGTGCGCTCTTGATGACTGCTGGAATGGCGCTGCTATACACTCTGGACATCGACTCATCTAAAGCTCGGTACATCGGTCCTCAGGTTCTCTTTGGGTTTGGTGTTGGCTTTGGTAACCAGATCCCTATGATGGCAGTGCAAGGGTTATCTAAGCAGGAGGACGTGCCGAGCATCACTGGAATCATGTTTAGTAAGTATATAATAATAGTTTTCCGTCGCAATAATAAATTTGTCAGTTATTCACTAACCTTAAGACCAGTGGCCCTATCAAGCAGTGCCGTCTATTTCATCGTAGCAGGGCAGTCTATCTTTGACAACCGCCTGGTACAGACTCTTGCAACTATTGCCCCTAATGTCGACGCTGCCCAGGTTCTAAGCACAGGCGCATCCGACATCCACAAAGTGTACAGCGGTAAAGTTCTAGAGGATGTGCTCAAGGCGTACATGACCGGAATCAAAGACGTTTTTGCCTGTGCTTTGGCTGTGTCACTAACTGGTGTCCCCTTGGCTATGTTGATCCCGTTCCTTAGACTGGGAGAACATAAAGGCGAAGATCAAACGCCAGAAGAAAAAGCGGCAGCAGTCTAAACCTGTCAATGAATGGGGAAGGTCCCGAACAGCTGGTGATTGAAAAGACATGAAGACCACTCGAGTCCGGGCAGTAAAATGTATTGCATGTTAGTACAGAAAAGCAAGGCGGAGGTTCAGATTGCTTCGCGCATAACTGATACCTCCAATGTGAACTCCAGTTAGCCTTTGCCTTTCGTTCCGGCGATATGGATGATGATATTTAAACCATCAATATCCTGGCCTGCTGCCCAGGGTTTCTGAATATCCGGTTCGTTGAAAAACGTATACTCAAGTTATCGCGGTTAATTCAAGAAGAATAACTAGAACTAGATACATAGTAAATGATTGTCCTTAAATACATAATTCTCGGCATATCCGACAGATTCATTTCTTGCAACTCGACTCTGTTGACTCTGTTGACTCTGCCGAGTCAAACTAGGGCTTTAAAAAGTTGTGAAAACTATTACTGAATAGATCTAGGGCAAATCCATCAGACTAAGCATAATACAGCAAGGATATGTTAAAAGTTTTCCTTCCCACACCTTGCTTGAACCTCCCTAATTTTTTCAAAATCGTTGTGGATAATCCTTTGTTCATTGTGCATTGTTAAGTATGGTATCGTGCGCACGGACAAAAAGTGTGGTATGGAATCCATTTCCACGTCACCTAATACAACAGACCTCGCCCCATAACAATCTACCTACGATTTCGAATCCATGATCAGCTTGCTCTTTTTCGCAATATTACCAGCAAATGTATTGACCGGTTCCGCTGCTAATATCTCCAAGAGTGGAATATTCGCCTTCATTTCACGAGTGATCCAATTTCTTACTTCCAAGGCTACGAGTGAGTCGACTCCATAGCGATACATGGGCCGGCTTGGATCGACCTCAGAAGATGGCATTGGCAGGATCTCTACTATCTTCATCACCAGGGCTTCAGTGATGATTTCAATGGCCTGCTCCTTGCTACCAGCTTTGGCTAGGCGAGACTCGAGTGATACAACTCCCTCTTGTTCAAAAGAGCCTGCGCTTGACTGGACCGCTACGCTTGTCGCAGCTAGGGGTCCAGATCGAGCATCGTTGAACCAGTAGGGGCGGGCCACGCCATGAGTGGCGATAAGGTCTCCACTTCCCAGACCAGTGCACACCTGAGCAGGACACGTATTACCTCTATCTTGCTGGCGGATGATCAAGCTTTTCACAAGGGCATGGAAGGCGGGTTCGCGGATGCCCAAGACGTCTTTCCATTGCTGCACATTACCAGCTCCCTATTCAGCCAGTACACCAACCACACGCATAATCCCCAGGTTTACAGTCACAGCCTTTAACCCATGGGCACAACGGTAGTGCGCCAGTGCATCCTGATACGTGTTGCCCGCTGCGTACTGCGCCTGGCTAGCATTACCGAAGATGCCAGAGAGTGATGAGCAGATAATGAAGAAATCCAGCGGTCGATCATGGTCAAAGAAACGGTTTAGATTCCACGTACCCTGCACTTTGGGCCTTAGGGGACAGTCCAATCCTCGTACGACATCTTCTCGAACACGATGTCGCGTAGCACCATGGCCATGTGGATCAATCCCTTAATTTCAGGCATATCTCTCAAACATTGATCCATGGCAGCGAGGAATGACTTCTCGTCGCCTACGTCTCCACGGTAGGCTTTTATGTGTGCACCGAGCTCACAAAGCTTATCTATAGTCGCCCTGGCTTCGGTATTTGTATCACCAGATCGTGAGATGATAGCGATATTCCTCGCTCCACATTTAATAAACTCGCGTGCGAGACTGCGACCTAGCCCTCCAAGGCCCCCGACCAAGGGATAAGTGGCCTTGGGGTCAAGTCGGAGAGCATCCCTGGCCTTGCGCACGACAGGAGCCTGGGTACCGTTTGCGAGTGACAGCACTAATTTTCCACGATGCTTTCCTGGTTGCATTATGCGGAAGGCCGTCTCAATCTCACCCATAGGGTGTACAGTCATGGGGACTTGGCGTGGTGAGAATTCCCTGGTGGACGTGTTTAAAGACGTTCTCCGTGGTCTTGCCCACGGAGGCGTGGGCTTATGTAGTGACCCTCTATCGAGCTGTTTATCTAACATGTAATACACTTGAGTACAATCTAATACGCGTTGCTATTCGATTTCTCAAATAATATCCTTGTAATTGGAAAGCTCGTGGAAGATACAGTGTTGTATTGTAATTTACCCGGGTGGCATGAAAGGAAACTGCACAAGTGAGAAATCGAGTGGGCATGTGCAATGTACTGTAAATGAGTGTCTAACTAAAAGCAGAGAAAATATCTAGCATAGGCTGCCATACAGGAATATAGTGCAAAGCTGTGAGCGCTAGTTAAGGAGGGGATTTCTTGGCAATACCTTATATCGGGGGATGGTCGATATCCAATGAGAGCAGGTGAGTGGATTTATGAGCTGCGCTCACCACATTCGGGATAGCGGTAAAGTAATCCTGTCAACACGGAATTGCCGATGTGATTTGGCCGCATTAGCATCCGCCACGTTTGCTGACGGAGTACGGCCATTGATTCTATCAATTTTTTATTATAAATGGTTGCTGAGAACAGCTTGTTTCATGAGACGTAGCTCAGATAGGTTTTATCCGCTTAACTGCTCCACATTTCCAAGCTCAGCTAAAACTGCATAATCAAGCCTTACTACCAATAACAGCTTTACTGGCCAGTCTGGTCTTGCAACTGCAGAAATCCATCAGAATGACCGTTACACATCACACACTGTCTCCCGAGTAAGTTCTGCCTGAATTCTTCGTCACTGAATTCCCTACCCTGTTGAATGATTGTAACCTCTTTTTTCAAGGGCACTTCTCGAAGCCCCAGAGATCGATCATCCTGTTCCAGACGCTACAGGGAGACTCGCTGTCTACGTACAGAAATTCTACTCTTTCCAGTCGCACTCTATGCGAAAAGAGATTTGCGTACTTGATCTACAAAATCTTCCTCGATCATGGCCTATCACTGAGAACATCAGCGCAAATTCTCCACAGTGGCTCGGTAGCAGCGGTAAACTTATCTGGCTTGAATCGTTACGAAATGGACATACCAACCTGGTTATCTGTGATGCACGGCTTGTCGACAACGAATATATAGTAGGCACTGTACCTGGCCATATATCAAACTTGAGAGTTACCAGAATACCATTCATTGGGGATACCGACGACGAGCTAGGATTCGCAGTGGTAAGTAAAATCAACAACGACGGCTCTTTTTTCAATCCAACGGAACAGAGCTCAAACTTCGGCAACTTTGGTGGTCACTTAAATACAACCTTTCCTGAAAGATGCACAGATTCGTTTTCAAACCCTCAAAAATCAGTCATCTGGTTTGGGACTCTCACCCGGCCTTCGGGAACACCGAATGGTCGCTATACAATGGGAAAATTGACTAATTTAATGGATTATTTCAAACTCACGACAGTAGGTTTACGGATCACCTCTGGTCAAGAAGATGACTGCCGCGACTTCGACATCAATTCTTGGACAATAACCTTCGTGGGGAGCGATTACGATGAGTTTCAGCAAAACAGTTGTTCATGCTACGTTTGCCCAGTGCTTCGCTGGGACGGATATCCACTTGATGACCTTTACTATGCTTTCAGACATCGGGGTCTGGGGGGGAATATCTCGTCGCCTATTCTGAAGCCCAATGATTCTACTGTCAGCTTCTTGTCTCAGAAAACCACAGGATACAGTTCCGACAAGAATCGAATCATCTTTATCTATAATAATCAGACTGGCGAGAGCGAAGAGGTTTTTGCGTCTCACGACGGCAAAGGGCAGTGGGATCTAAGTCCCAGTGCTATCAAATATGGGCTAGATAGGTCATTGTTGATCCAGGTAGAGGAGAAAGGACGCCAGGTTCTCTATAAATTGGATCTAAAACATTGGTGGCCAGACAAACCCACACCAGCTTCATTAGAATTGTTAAACATTTTCTCGAGATATGGGTCAATTATCCACGTCACACCCTTGTTTTCTGAGTTGTCTAAGTCCAGATTACTGCTTTCTTATGACGCTCTCAACCAGAGCAGGGGATATACTATTTTCGACCCACTATCGCCTGGGCTAGGACCGTTAGTTTACCCTTATATCGCTGTTCCCCGCGGCCAGATTGAAGAGATTTGGCCATTTGGCGCAAATGGGCGCCAAGTGCACACATGGGTTGTTAAACCATCTTACTTTAAGCCCGAACTCAGATACCCAGTGATCTTGTCCATTCATGACGGACCTCAAAATTTGTGGCTTGACCGATGGACCGTGAACTGCAATCTGATTACCCTCGCTGAGCAGGGATACGTAGTTATTGCACCGAATCCCACCGGAAGCCGAAGCTACGGACAAGATTTTACAGATGCAATTCGAGGGTCCTGGGGCGGGTTACCATACAATGATCTCCAGAAAGTTTTTGAATACGTCCAAAATAATCTCAGCTATGCAGATACAGAGAGAGCTGCGGCAATAGGCCATGGATACGGAGGATATATGGTTAATTGGATACAAGGCCATGATTTCGGCAGACGTTTCAAGGCACTGATAACAGATAACGGCATCTTCAGCATGACAACTCAATTGGCAAGTGATGTGCAAGCTTTGCGCCATGATTTGAATGGACTACCGTGGGAAAACCCATCTGAGTGGCAGAAATGGGATCCCGCGCAATATGCAGGCCATTGGCAGACACCTCATTTAATTGTCCATAACAAGCTCAATCTTCAGCAGCCGATTGCGCAAGGCTTGGCTTCATTTCACACCTTGCGCTTGAGAGGTGTTGAAACTAATCTTCTCACGTTCCCAGATGAAAGTCACCGCCATCAGCATCCGGAAAACTTGTTGTTGTGGTACCATACAGTCATTGGCTGGATGAACAAATTTGTCAAGTCTTGAGCATAATTGATTCTCTGACAAACTTATCAGTATTTAGTAAAGTGCAGTTTTGATAGAGAGAATATACTGCTGTTGTCTACATTATCTCTACTGCGTATAGAACCCGCTTGGGTAGATAACTTTAACTAAGTGGAGTAGACTGAATCCGCGTCATTGTAAGATTAAACGTCTATTTGAATTGACAAGTTGGATAAGAAAGATCTCTGTAAGACTTGGGCTAAACGTCTCTGTGGTCACTTAAGGAGGTGATTGATGCTCGAAAAGGATAAACAGATTGATTCACGGTTGCGGCAAGCTGCTAATATACTGATATATGGCGTTGGAAATGGCTGCATAACCAATCGATTTTGGATGCATTGCTTTGGCTGCATCCCTAGGTGCTATTGTTGTGGTATTCGGGTCATATAGTGGCGATGGCGATGGGTCGACGGGGAGACTCCCATTGTGCATGGTTGTTGATAAATCGCAGAGAAAACCTGCCCAGATATCATCAACATCCAGACTGCATGTTTGCCAGTAGGTCAGTAGGTCGACGTCATCGCCGTCTGGTGGTGTTGAGAATTCTGTTCCATCGGCAAGAGAGTCGAGACCCCATGCGAGGAGGAACCAGCTATTTCGAAAATCGACACCAGGCTCGCAGAAGCGGTGATTCTCAAACAACGAATCTGTGTCAAAAAATACAACGTTCCAGTATGGATTTCCCCATTCATGCTGAGCTTCGGTAACGGCGTCCTGCATGATTTCGTTGAATTTAACCACCAACGAGTTCATCTGCTGCCGGCGATCTTGCGTTAAATAGCCCCCCTTGGGCCAAAACCAGCTCCCATCACAAGCTTTGTCCTTGTCGTAAAAGAATTGTATATAACCGGTAACAATTAACAAAAAACCCGTCTGACGAGCGGGCGCTCTCTGAGAATAAGCATCAAGAATGATATTGTTATACACCTCTGCCAAAGCCAAGCGAAAATTGGCATCGTTGAGTTTGTTGGCCGCATAAGCTAATGCGCTGTCACAACTTCCTTCATTCCACATGAAGAGACAGTAATATGCTACGTCAGCGAAGTGGAGATCGTTACCTCCGATGGATAGTGTTGTCCATCCACTTGTCTCATAGTAATTGAGTTCTCGAACCCAACCCATTTGGCTCCTTCTCCCATTTCCATTGCTGTTTTCCATGTCGTTGATAATTGCACCTGAGCATGCTGGGAAATGAAGAGTGGCACCCTGCATTTGAGGACCAGCACTTTGAAGCTGAAATGGATATGATCCTTCACAACGACGACAATCATCCCCTTGTGTACTCTCGTCGAACTCATCCGTAATCCAGCCACAATGCGCCCCAATCCCAGCAGCATAGGAATCGCCGTAAGATATATAATTATGTGGAGCCGGCCATATAATTTGACTTCGTGAATATGCCGGAAGGTTGGGGTCAATCGAAGGGTCCTGGTCATCTGAGGCGTTGTCCCCGGCTCCCGGGCAGACATTAAACCACGTATATGCCTTTCAGATATCATCAGTAGGTTATAAGATTTCCATTTATTGAAATTAGTAGAAGCTTACGACATTCGTCCTTGGAATTACTTGATGATAGTCAGCGCGCCCCAATCCACCTAGATTTGGAAAATGCATATTGGCCTGAGCAGATTATTAGTAACTGTGAGTCTGTGAGTCTGTGAATCTGATAGGAGAAAATACTGACACCCCGATCTGCACCTTGATAGCGGGCGCCTTCTAGTGGGTTCCATTTGAAGGATGATCCATCTATCAGAGTACCATCCGGCATCTGGCCTTCATTTTCCCATACCTAATTCCATAAGTCAATTGAAAAAGCCTGTCGAGCAGAAACATGAAAGAAATAAACTCTCTTACCCATGTGTCTCCAGTGAATTTATCGACCCAAAGGAAATCAACCAAGCCATCTCCTAGAAGAAAGCAATCAGATGTCAACTTGGGATGTAGGTAAGTTTGTTAAAGGAAATTTACCATTCACATCGGCCCATCGATGGTCTTCGCAGATTTTAACGAAAATTAGCAGAAATATTTCCAAAAATACGTGGTGAAAAAGAAAAGGTTACATACTTGCTCGATCATACTTTTCAGTATGTTTAATCTGTCCAATATCTTGAAATTGGTTTTCGCCCAGATTTAGCGCTCCAGTCGTGCGTCCATCCAGTCTGTATTGAACGGTGAGGGAGATGTCAGCTTTGTACGACGCTGATAATGATATGTATGCATACGTACTCCATACATAGATAATCAGCACGATGGTCACCACTTTGGAATAATTAGTAATTTGAAATGAACAAACAAGATCAATCGTGTGACTAACTTGATATCATGAAACCGAAGCCCTAAATCATATAGACCTACACCCCAACCTTGGGTGCAGCTTATTCCCCCAGTGACTACACCACGTTTATCCCAATTCATCACGGTTGAATCCCACATGTTGATCCACACTTCCGCCGCTCCAGAATCTCTATCGACAAGCCAGAGGTCACACTGTGGTTAAATCGTTAGTATATGTATTTAGCAGAAAGAAAAGGTACGCATAAGTATCATTTACCTTGCCATCTCCGACGAAGTCTGCCAGATGGAGGCCTTTTCGTACCACGCCAGCATCGAAAATTTCCAGTCCGACAGGGTCCCAGTACGGTGGATTGTGTGAATTTCCGTATAGGTAACCAACACCGTCAGGGGAAACCCAGACCTATCAACGCCTATGTCAGCTATGGATGCATGTGGTATCTGATTTCTTACATAGTCATCTGCTCCGGTTCCTCGCATATCGCAATAGTAATCACCGTCTCCTAATAATCAGAGTCAAACAAAAAGGTCTTTTGTCGAGTTCAGTCTAGTTTTCCATACCTTTCAATGTTGTTCCACCACTTCCGGTGTTCTTCCAGACGTGGGCGTAGTGGTCATAGATGGGAGGTCCATTGGTACTTGGGGCAAGTTCCACAGACTCAACATAAATGTAATCGGCACCATTCCCAGCGTAAACATTCCCAAATTTGACACGGTTCTTTGCACCAGCTACCCCCATCCCAGCATGAGTCACACCGGCATAGGACCAATCTGGTACCAGACTACCCTTTCCAGTACCCCGGTTATTTATGTATGTTGTCACGCGGCCAGTGTCATCCATCCATAACCAATCACTACGGAAATCGCCATTGATGTCAACAAAGCGAACACCAGTAATATCTCCCATTCCTTTGCCAGTAAAAACAACACCCAGGTCCTGCCAGTAGCCACCATAGGTGGAGGTAGGAGCGTCACTTTGGCCACCATTCCGCCAACAGTGGATATCACCGTTATCCGCGATAAGACAACTTTAAGACACGTAGTTAGCATGGGATTTTAAGCAACGATTCCCCACTTATGGATTGGGAGCGGCCGAAGAATATATCAGATCCGAAACTCACTAGTCAATCCGGCCATCACCATCAATATCGCCTAACTTGACGTTTATCTGGCTCATGTCACCTCCCGGAGCGGCCATCACCTGGCCGATGTCCTGAAATGTAGGGACATTGTTCACACTCCCACGATTTATGGCGACATACATTGCACCATCGGCCCCAATGCATATGAAATCATCCAAGCCATCGTTGTTTACATCGCCCCAATGAACTCCTTTTTGTAAAGAGGTTAGCATCGGTTAATAAGCCTTCTTGACTGGGGCTGAGGCAACGGGAGAAAATCACCTTTAGCCAGACACGGTATTCTAACATCAATCATTACTGAAGAGTCATATATCCCGTTATTCTCATTCAAGAACATATAGGTACCATCACCATCTCTCGTCCAAACAAGTTCATCCAATGCTCCCTCACGAGGGCCGCCATAGAGATTGACCAGCTGAGCCATGTTTATTCCATCCTCAATATCCCCGGCAATTGAGGCAATCTTGAGCAATCGGCCCATGTCTTGGGATGTATGCACATAGGACCCGTCATCTGTTCCACTTCCTCTCTGGGTCTGTGCATAATGGTCTTCGCCACTAGCATAAACCTTCTCACATGTATTATTAGCCTGATCACTAACCCCGATGTCTAGTGGTGGTGATAGGAAGCCATCGCTTTGTGCACTCTGAATTGCCGCCCACCATACTGAAGCCATTTTATCGTAGCCCTCATCAGTAGGATGAGTGCCATCTTGAAGCTCATCCGCAGATATAAATGTGAACATATCAGCTAGAACAATTCGGGCGCCTGCTGCCTGGCGGCTCATATAAACCTGGATGTACTGAAGGCTTATATTGAAAACTAGATCAGGCTGATCCGTATTTGGAAGCAATGTGGAAAGAATGATGGTAGTGTTCGGAACTGCTTCATAGAGGGTCGTGAGAAGAGAGTCCAGCCGTTCACCAGCAGTATCGACTTGATACTGCTGGAGTGCATCATTCGTGCCGACACTGTTCAACGGAATTAGTCAGACGCGGAGTTTCAAGATATGTCTTGGTAGGGGGCGCGAGGCATTGGAATGAAGAATGATTAGGTGACCTACTTGATTAAAATTAAGTTTGGCTTTTCGTAGATACTGTTCTCCACTGCAGCAGCTACTTGATCAATCCTAAATCCGACATGTCCTTCGTGGTTCTAACATTGCAAATCAGCTATGTTTCTATCCTATATTACAAAGGATAAAGAATTTTTCTTGGATAAAACATACGTTATCATGCATCGTACCATCTGAGAGACTACCAACCATATTCACGGGCCATCCGGCATGGCGTAATTGCTCACGAAGCACTTTACGGTACCCATTATTGTCACTTGACTTGTATCCTTGCGTTATTGACGCTCCAAGAGGCATGATGCGTAAGGTGAAATTGTCTTCATCGCGAGAGGCAAGTACAGCGCTTCTTTCCTCTAAGGAAAAGGCCGTGGATGGTTCCAGGGTCAGTGCATAGGTCATCCAAAGTACGAGAGTAGATATGATTAAAATCATCCTTTGCAACTTAATGTGGATGTGAAAGATATTCAAAAGTTTGGGGTCTCAATTGGGAAAACAGAACCGACCTGGGTTTACGTCTACATTTAAGTAGAAGAGATATGTCAGATTTCTATAAGTGATATTGTTTCCACCAGTCATACAAAGGATGTATTTAAAAAACAGTCTAAGCTGACCCCTTGTACAATATCAACACGCATGTGGGATAGAGCATCCTAAGAAGACTAGTGATGTACACGTTATCACATCAGCACCAACGTATAATATGCAACAGGGCAATTGAGTGGTCAAGAATCCTTAGGCCATACAGCCCCAAGCTCTTGGAGTTTAAAACAAGAACATGTATGATGGAGCAACCTGGTGGAGGCCTCTTTATGTACACAAATCATACTGTCCGAACCTTAGGGCGTTCACACGACAGGTCTGTGGCAGAGTATCCTCGAAAGTGTCAATGATCTAGTATACCAACATATCAGCCTGGTCTATCACGAGCAACACGAAGCTATATCACCATTCGGTGTAAAGCTTGTTTCCTGTTTCAGGGTTGCTCTCCAAGGTGAGTAGCTGACAACATGCTTTGATGGAACAAAACTATGATTCAAACTACGGTCAGTGACTTTATCAACGATTCGGAATATTTGCGTAAGCGTATCCCTTGACAGGCCAGGTGGTAAAGCATCCCTGTACTGTTAGCATGTAATATGAGAACCTTTTGAGTACATGATCTAGCTGGCGTTGTTTCATGGCGTAATGCGTGAGCTTCCGTATACTCTATCAAAGGCTGCGATAATAGTCGGTAGTTTCAGAAGCAATCAAAACTTGTGTTGGTTCATTTACTCGATTTCGAGCATTACGGTACTAATGTGGGAACATTTAGCACCAAAATCTCTACATCGGACTGTCTTACCTAGCATGACCATAGGCTAGTATCCCCATACGACCAAAGAAACGCAAAGTGATATATGCGCCGTGGCGTATCGTAGAAACCACGATCCCACGTTACTTAACCAGTGGATATCATCGGAATAAATTTTTGGGATTAGATTGTCTCTCCTGCCAATCAAAAAGATGCCATCGACGTCTTTTTCTGGTTCTGAATTTCCAGAGTGGTACCAAACATCATGGCAGATTTCCATTTGAGAAGCCGGGGCTTTTGAATGGTTTATCTCAGTACCTTCCATCCCAAGGCATTCAATACGCGTGTTACAAGGCTAGCATCAGTAATCTGACTAAGAGGTCTATCGAACATGATGTGGCTTACTCAACCATACTTTTTGGGTGTGATGATGCTAGCAAGTAGTTGAGGACTGGTTTTAATTTGATTGAGACGATATTACTAGCTCGTAGCATGAAGCTCGGGCAGAATTAGATCAACACTTGAACCAATCTGCAAGGCACGTTAAAGTGCTCCCCGAAAGAGAAAGAGATCTAGGAGGCTCTGGGTATGCTTCGGCAGAACTGGGATGTATCGACAGCCCTGTACACAACAAACGCGTTCATAATCAGTCAGCCTGTAGTGCTTGTCACAATAAGCAATTATCAACAGTAAGAGAGTCGAGTGTAATTAGAGAAATGATCGAGAAGTATTATGTATACCGAAGATACTACCGGCATTTAAAGTAGAATACAGCCTACGTACATCGAGTAGATAGATGAGTGCGGCGTATAATCAAATTGTTATTAGAAAGCCTTCCCAGGCCTAGCTTCGCACAGACTTTTCCCATTGTCATCTCGGCTGTTAATGAGGGCCCGAATATTACATCGACTAATAAACATGAACTGCGCCGCATTCAAGAAGTTGTGTACTATATACTACCTCCGTAGCAGAAGGGAATGCCAAGGCCGCAGAAACCCTAGGCCCTGGTTTACCGCGCTTGGCATACCGGTATCAGGTCTGTGCTCCTACTAATCTGAGCCTCAATCCCTGCTTCCAATCGAGCCTAGAAACGCGATATTTGATTGGTTATAGCAGGCCTATCCATGGAATATGTATTCCCGTAGTTGCGTATGTCTCTATCTTCTAATTTATACAGCAGAAATATTAATCCAATCTTTGTTCTTCAGTGGCCACCAGGCCAATTAAATATGTGATGGCTGAAATTTAGTCAAGATAGGAAAACAAGATATTTTAATGGCCATGGTGAAAACAGTCCGAAAATTAGATTTATCCAGAGTAGAACTACCATTTCTACGTATCGCCGTTAGAGCTAAGGTGGACTCGGGTACATGACTCGTGCACCATGTTTCGTATGGCGAGAATGTAAGTAAGAATATGTAACAACAACCTGTATTTTGTCTCTTCCACGTATCTGTAAAGTACGAAACCTCTAAGTGGCATTTTCTACTATGATATCAATACTCAACCGTACCGCATCATGTCAGTTAACTACTTTTGTATCACAATTTCCAAAAATTTCCGACTAAATACATGCCCTGCGCCGCAAAAGTCCACGCTCCCTAAGTGGAGCACTACACCAGCGAATACGACGTGCAGTAGTGTATGTCTTTCAGGTCGAAATTGTTCCGAGAACCAAATTGGTAGAACCAAATTGGTAGACCCGCTTGATTGATATGGTCCATCGCAATAACCAACAGGCATGATTCAGCACGTGTCCTATGCCGCAAAGCACCCATGCTCTCTTTGTGCATCATTAGACCGATTGAACAGATTTTCCCTTGAATGCAACATCACTAGACCCGCTTATCGAATGTCCATCGCATTAACGTGAAGGGGAATACAAGCGATAAATATTCGCAGGAAATTGACTAGCCCCTTCACTATCGTTCCTAGCAGGAGTTTTCGCGTAGGATTAACAACAGGCTTGGTATAATGGGTGTTAGCTTCATAATAGTGACTGTTATTAAAGCTCCTTCCTTATCTGGGCCCTTTTCAATAACGTCCAGTGCGAGTCTGGCAAGTAGCTCAAGTTCCTACTTTCTCCGTCAACAAGATGTTCGCTGCTGGCTAATGAGCGGTTCTTCATTGGCGCTCTCGGGGATTTCAGGTTCTATATGACTTTTACTGGAAGAAAGTGCTACAAGAACCTGGCATTCGATGTAGATTTATGTTACCTGGGCATACAATTTTACGCATACTCCAAGATCATTGCCCTCGAGAACATCACGATTAGTCGTGCATCCAACAATGTACGTGATTATAAATACGCAATTATGTAGTCCTGAAGCCTGGAACATGACACATTGATCAACTCCGGCCGGATCCTCTATTCCTAGACCCAAAAGATTTTTTCGCAAATCGTTTTCCACGTGCCTTCTTTCTTTCGAGTTCGCTATGCCTTCTCGCCACCTAAATAGCCACCTATGGTCTCGAAATAGGAACAGCTGAACTTAGAGATTGCTGATTCTTAATGGTATGCTTCCTGGATAGAGTCTAATAGAGCAGGGATGGGGTTTTGAGGTAGCATTTCAGCCGCACGGTCACAGTTTTTAGTACAGCGCAGTGCGGCGCAGTTGGTACTCAGTTTGTGATATCCTTGATTATTTATCCGCAAGTCCGATAGTACTAGTGAGAAACTGAGTGGGAAAGTGTATTGTATTGTATTCAAGTGTGTCCAATAGAATAGAAATATCCGGCGTCGCTGTGCCGTACATAACACACCGCAGAATCATGCACGCTAGTTTAGTGAGGGCGATTCTGGCAAATCCTTATATCGAGGACAGCTAGCCATCTAATGAGATCAGGCTAGAGGATACATACTCTGTGCTCACCAAATCTGGGATAGCCGTAATATAATCCTGTCAACTAGTGTGAGGTCAAAACCCTACAAAAGAGTTGAAGGCCTAGGGCAGCAACTGGTTGTAAGCTTATATACCGTGCAATCACCGCAATTACTGGGGCAATTTATGCTTTTTGGTGCCGTCGTTGGTGCCTCACTACCTTACAACTAGCTGACGCGCAATGAAATCTAACTAAGATGGCGAATGGCGTTGTTATTCTGATACAAAATATAGTTGGCTAAGCTTACCAATATCCCTATGGTGTAAGGGTACTCCCGAAGCATGTGTTGGTATACTTTGGGGGAAAAGAAAGGAGGGGGAATATATGAGACCTGTCCATCTCTATCCCTAGGCCCCGCCCCTAGTAGTCTTAGGCGTAATATTAATCCCGGCTCTTATCTCGTCCCTATCTAGTGCATTCGCCGAGAACCTTCGGGCCTGCTCATAGGCCACCACGTCGACAGAAATCTCTCATGAATTTGAATGTAGGGGCACCTATCCCCCTATTCATCCCCTGAATCCTGCCTATCCGTTAAGGCCCCCCACCCCTGGTGGTCACCCAACTCAGCTTCCATGGTAGCTTGCTTCTTATCCAGATATAGGTCAGCGCTACTTACGAATTCGAGCAGTGATATAGTGGCCCCATGGCCTTCAAATAGGATGTGAGAGACCATTTCTCATAGTGGGATGCAGGCTTTGCACTCTAGGGAGTGCAGGGACTAGGTCTGGTGTAAGAATGCTCGTATGGGCGTATGTCTAGTCTTTAATTATGAAGTGGCTTGCTTGGTGGTTTGGCGCTCTTGTAGCTGCCTTATCTAGTCATCAAATAGTGGTATCTTTTATGTTTTTCTATGCTTGTGAGCTTCTTGTATAGTCTTCTTATAGGTCCAATCCTTTACTACTTTCCTCCTTGCCTTGGATTACGCCTGTATAACGAAGGCTAATAATAAGCTCTTAAAGCTTGGCCCAACCGCTTTGATAGAGGCATATTTAGTGGTGTATCTAGTTTGGTATCTAATAGTGTGTCTACTGGCTTTAGGGCTGCCTTGTGGATTAAGGCCTCTAATGGTGTCTTGGGAAACATGCCTGTATTGGTTCTTACTTGGCAGTTGATTGGATGTTATTGGTCTAATATTTATATTTTCTGATTCTGCTACCATAGTTCTGATTAAGGGCTGATTTTGTACGGTAGCATATTGTAGTCCGCATATAAGTTTTGCGGTTAGGCTATTGGCTCTTTAGATTGATCTAAGGTTTACCTCGATCTTCCAAGCTCTCTAGAGGTGTGTGATGTAGTGGCCTTGTAGGGATAATTGCCTGTCTAGAAAAACCCTAGCTAGTGTATTGTTTCAGACATAATAGTAGCTTTTATGCCTTCCACTATAATCTTTTCCTCTCTAATTGTCTGTCTAAAGAGGTCTTTCCTTTATCTAGGAAAGAAGGCCGCCTATATTTTTAAGAATTGAATCGAATACAGTTCTCTACCCTGTGTTCGATTGTAATAGTATGTTGCATGGTCTTATAGGTGCCCTTCACTGATTTAGTCGCAGTAATAAGGCCCCGATTATCTATAAATGATACTCCTCTCACCCCTGGACTGCAGCCTCAATGGCAGCCGCCAGCAACCGTACGTATATTATGAAGAAGATCGGTGATACTGGTGAGCGCTAAGGCAGACCGGAGCTTATAGGGGTCTCCATCCAGCGTGCCCGTCTTTATCGAGCAAGGCCCCTCGATTCCCGACCACATAATTATAGACCCCTTAATGTTCATGAAAGGAAGGCCATGCTCCAATCTTGCCTTCGCTCCAATCTCTCAATCTCGTCTATAAGGCACGCCAGGCGTCCGCCTTGCTGCGATGTCAGCGCTCACTAAATTGAACTTCGTGGAAAAGCCCCTGGCACTCTATAAAAACCATTATAAGATCTATAATAAGCTTCTCTACTATCTTGTCTAGGTATTTTAGTAGGCTAAGTACCTAGTAGGCTTTCGCTACTATATAGATGTTTTTTTTGTACTTCTTTAGGAAGATTCATTAGCGGTTTCTATTATACTAGGATATATTCTAGTTTAAGATATTATCTAATTGGTTCTATGATATAGGTTTTGTCTTGATGTTAGAGAGGCTGGATCTCTTTTAAAATTGAGTATATTCATATCTAAAGCCTTCTTAATCCTTTGACTAAGTAAGACGCTGCCGATTGTCATCTTCGTTTTAGGTGTTGTGAGACTTTGCTAGATCCATCCATTGGATAGCTTCTCCAGGGTCTTGCTCCAGCGCTTGCGGAAAGGCTTGTTCTTTAAAGAAAGGCTCCTTCTCCTTGAAACGGTTGGAGAGAAAGAACAAACGAATTTGTCAAGCTATTTATGCAACGGGCTATATCGGTATCTTCTCTTCCCATTCAAGTCGATATTGCTCGAGACGAAGGCCATATTTCCGTGATCAAGAGCTGTAGACGTCTAGTAAGTTTCTAGTACCGTTTGTATTCACACTGAAATCAAAATTAAGGGAACTTTTATCCTTTTATTACACTGAAGATTCCGTTCTCCATGAGTTCCCATTAGGACACTTTGATTGAAATTGAGGAAGCATGGGACTGGTCTAGAGAACATCAGTATCGTCCCAACCCTGTCTGGATATTGTAGAAATATCTGAAGTATTATAGCTAGATTCCTAACTTTGTATCCTTCAGTCTTTGCACCGCTGATGAGATTAGCGTGGGTTATCTCAACAGTTACCCGGAATTGTCCTCACGTTCAAACACGGGACTCAGTAGCAAACATGTAGTGTTCAGCACCGGATGGACTTCTAGCAAATGAGCTTCGTTCTGTCTTGTCTACCTCGGACAGCATCCATCCTTGGAAACGATGTCCATCGATGCTACAGATGCTCGTGTTTTGTTCTTGCAGTGCCAATGAGCGAAAATAAATTCAACTTCACGTTGAAACATTATCTGCTTTAACATTAAGACAATTTAACTCCCTATCAGACGTGGTTGACCATCCTCTCCGATGGATTCCGCCAATATACCCTTACTGATTGATAAAGGAACAAGTTAAAATTACCGTGATTAGTCTGTATGCAGGTACTGTGTTATATCAAAGTGATTTAGTACAATACTATTTCAGATATCCAAACAGGTGGCGGATTGCGATGGTCCATAGTCATCAGGTCTTTAAATCCATAGTCAACGTCACGAAATGAATAAAAGTTTCTTAAGTCACAAAACGTTGAAGGAGTACAGGTTTTTGCCCGTCGTCGTGAACAGATCGAAAATAAACAAAAGCGGCCTGCTCAAAGTCATAATACCTGCAGTCTGTCTAAACACGGATTGGTTCGTGGGCTAACAATTCTGTCAGTTTATCGCGCTTTCCCGCGCCATACTCATAAGGTTTGTGTACCTTGTATGGCGCTTCTCCAAGACGGAGATAATTCCAGCATACTACAAAAACCGTCAGCTATTCTCTTCTTTCTCACGTCATAAAAGTGGTCGGTGCGTACTTGTAAATCCCAAGTCATCCCCGAAACACGCCTTCAATACATCCTCTCCTGACTTCGTGCCAGCTTGCGGACTATATGAAACAGCCTTCTTTCCCACGGCGAGAGCCATCATAGGCGGAACATTCGAATCGAGCTCTTTGAAACGAGGGGTGATACCTGTTCGGGCAGCGAGGATTCGTTGGTGAATGTTGACGGCTGTATGGAGGCCTTGATGCATTGCGGCACCGCAGCGTTTGATGCCGGACCAGCGAACGATGTCGCCGGCTGCGTAGTGAAAGGTGGCGTTTGGGGTGTCGCCATGAAATTCGGTGCTATACTCTTATCAGTCATCCTGGTAGAGAAGGCAGTGGGTAATATATACTTACCTGGACTTTATTTTAATGTAACCTTCCTCGTCTACCGCTGTGGACGGAAGATATGTGGCAGTTGGATGAAACTTGGAGATGGCATTGATCACAAAATCGGCTTGGATGCGGCGATCGTCTGAAAGTACGACTTCATATAATGTGGAGTTTGAGTCGGTCTTCTTGATCGTGTCCTTTACCCGAGCACCGAGAATTGTCTCGACACCCGCTTCATGGACCAAGTTCAATGCCACATCTTTAAATTCATCTGGTAAGTCTTCGGAGGATAATATCCGTTGTCGAGAGTGAATCAATGTAACTTTCAGATGAGGGTAGATCATTTTGACCTCTGTGGCGATCTCAATGCCGACGGCCCCTAGGCACAGATTCAGGATTTGTCACGCGATATATATAGCAGATATCTTGAGGGACTTGATACTTACCAGCGCCAATAACAACAACCCCATGTTTCCCACTCTCGACCAGTTGAATATGCTCCAACACATCCTTCAAATACTCCTTTTTAGTCAACGCAACCGGCGCCGATGGCTTTGTTCGTCGCAAACCCGAGGCAGCAACGAAATAGTCATATGGTATCTTATAATTTTGCTTTGTGTCAATTGCCTTGACAGTCGCAAATTTCTCCTCGCAGTTGAGTTGCGTAATACTAGCACGGAGGACTTTGACCGAGGGTATTTGTAGAGCAGGGATATCTTGGAACCGGATCCAGGCCTTTTCAGCATATTCTTTCGAGACATATGCGAGCGGAGTTCCTATCAAGTGATCTGTCGAAACCACATATTGTTAGCCTGCAGACTCTCCCGCCGTCGGTGTTGAAATTGGGTAAAAACAGATAACGCACAAAATCCATCTCGTTCGTCAACTATCGTGACTTCAACAGGCGTCTGCTGGCTTCTATCCGCGGGAGTGTTTGTGCCTGAGAACCGCGGTGAAAGACCATTGCAGAGATCAAGTAGATTCAGTGTCACCGAAAGGCCAGCATATGAACCACCAGCCACCAACACTCGGGTTACTTTTTGCGCTACGCTAAGAGACGACATTTTATGTTAAGTAGGGAAAAACAGACATGCAAAGAAGTCCGTGGTCTGAATATAACATTCAAGTTTGTGTATTTCTATTCTTCAGACACATAAAGATCTGGAGTCGTCTAACCCGGGACCACTTTCGCCGATAACCTCACCGCTGCTCCTCCACTTCATTCCGTGCCGTGGGGCATATTTACCACGGAAACACGAAATCATGCTCTCATAACTTGGCAATGGATTGAGCGACCGATAGCGGAGCATGGAACCTCAGTTGTATTCTAAATTAATGCCTCCTTGGGGAGCACCGGGTACTACATATCCATACTTCGTACGTACAACTCTTCCGGGCTGCCCAATGAGGGATGTACAAGACCCAGTTGAGTTATCTGATCCGCTCAGCGAAATTATCTGATCAATCTAGACTTTGCCCAGAACTATGTATAACCAACAGGGGCCCCCAATGTAAGCCCAAGAGTGAAACAATGTCTTTTGGTGGGGTAATTTTGCTATTTCTCTAATGGTATTTTTCTTTATCTGATCCGGTTTTCCGTACCTGGCCCCACAGCAGCGCGAATACAGCGATACGCCGATACACTGTTTCCGAAAGGTCGTAAAATTGCCGGTTTTGATAAAAGTTGGAGTGACGTTCGCTAGCCTTGTATTTGAGCCATATACTATAATGCGATGTGTATTGTTGCCATTGACTTGTGTCGGTAAGATTTATCTAATCCGATCTTGGTCGTCACGAGTCATACCTGCAGACAGCCAAATAGCCGATTCAAGCAGCCGATGTCGATGATCCTCCATAATATCGGGGATTTCATATAACCCGGAAAGTCAACGGACCAGAAAATGCCGATATGCCAGCCTTTATGAACAGTGTTCGGCTTATTGCTTAATTTTCCATGTCCTTCAGCTGCCTACGGTTTCAGCCGAAGCGCCACTACCACTCGCCATTTTCATCCCAACAATGCCTACCCTCGGGTCCTTCTGAAGACCGCTCGTATGATATTGTAGCCATACTCTTGCCAGATTTTTCCGTGTTCACTGTACCTGCCTTGAAATTGAAATCCACCGGCTATATGGTATGAGCCTGTAAAAGTTCGTCTTCTTCTCAGTTGATTACGTAGTCGTGAAGCAATACCTTATGTAGAATATAGGGGTGGCTGTAATAACCTAGACATACGATACTGATGCATTTATGCGGAGATGCATGAACTCGGGATATATTCTTCATCACTCACGTAGATTTTAATAGGTACCTACCTGTTATGTGTAAATCAACTAAGATTCAGACTAAATTTTTACATACATTAGGTGAAACCAATATCCTTAATAGGTTCTTTTGATATATTGTAACATCAAATGCCTTGACTAAAGCCCGAAACAGGGTCTCTTAAATAATTGAACAGTCATAACTTATCCAATACTTCTCATCCTCGCCAAAGAACACAGCCTGGCTTGGCCACGAACATAATCTTTTCGTGGTGTTCTGTCATCTGGCGGCCTTGAGCTCAGAACTTCACCATCCGGAACTGTGCCCTTTCTACCCACTCCACCAACGTATCGAAGACATGGTAGTCCGCTGGGACGCGCGCATACGCCTCATTGGCAACGCAGTGCCCACTACCGGGAGTCATAAACAGCCTCATGAACTCATCAGCCGTCTCCTTAGACGTAACACCTACGATACCCTGAAGATACCGCATCGGCCATGTGGCCGCGTCAAGCGGCTCCACCCAGCCCTACGCCGTGTCAAATCTCCCGGCGCGTTCGTGGAATGCTGAGAGATTGGTTGAGATGCCGTCAATTCGTGGTGAGGCGAGTGCGTCCACGGCATCGAGGTCTGTTTCACGATTGAATTCTGCAGCTGCGTCGAGGTTCCTGTCATGGAAGACCGGCTGGCGGAGTATTGGGGCGCCGTAGGAATCAAGTAAGCTCGTTTCCTGCACAAGCCAGCGTAGTCCAGTGCCGGAGTTGAATCACATGATTAAGCACCATGCGCCAAACAACAGAAATACTATTGCTTGATCAGAGTCGGGCGCGTCACATCTGATTTTTACTTGAATTGCAGAATATTAATCAGTCGTGTAACTGTGAAACTTATATTGGAAAATCTATTGATGTCTTTTGAATCTCTCTAGAAAGTAATGGCCAAGTTCAGACCAAGACTATGTCGAGAACATGCTGCTGAAACAATATTTCTACTTCTCTTTTTCGTAAACACGTTTGTGGGTAATGATAGATAATCCCCATACATATCAAATTTGGGTTGAAACCAACCTTTCAATCGGCTTCCGATCCTGCTAACCTCTTGTGAACCAAATTCCCAAACTCGACACCGCAAAAATTCCTGCAGCGACAAGAAACGGCAGTCCAGATCCAGCCCCTTCCATGTCTAGTCCAGCAGAGAACGTGAATGCAAGCAGAGGTGCCTCAGTCAAGCCACCCACAGAGCTCACCAGATATATTATACTATACAAAACAGCAATCTGTGCTCTCTCGACGCGAGAGGTTAGCCATAGCTGTACTGACTGGTCAAAGCCCCAACCTAGTGTATAGACTACGAGACCTGGATGATAGACACAGTCAGCGCGAAAATCACAAAATGAAAAAGCAAATTTTAGCGTATTTACCAATAATGATCCATGCTAATGATTGACCAAGTCCAATGAACAGAAGCCCGGCGACCAGCAAAATACTACTCCCTCTAGCGACAAGAAGGTCCGCTTGTGGAACACTTATTTCCAGGCGCGAAGCCAGGGAACGACTGAAATTTGGAAGGATAAGTGCGAAGAGGACTATATTGACGGCAGGACGAATTGAAACGATAAGGCCAACCTTTAATGTAGTTTAGAAATTGTTACTTTTCAATATGGGGGGAAAAGACTGCTCATCGCAGGCAAGTTACGATCACTCGTAAAAATGAATGTGAAGGTAATTGGAAGGGAATCTTGTTGAATAATAAATGGCAACTCACAGCGGCGATGGTCCAATTCAGCTTTTTGGAGGCATATTGCAAGAGCAACGACACAACCTGGCGGAGCAATGGGGTGGTCAAAAAGACAGGCAGGCCAAGGAAGATAGTCTTGTCAGCCCACAAAAGTCGTGCTGGTTGCAGAAGGCGATCTCGAATACGATCAAATTGATCTTTTGTCCATCGGCTGGTCATTTGTGTAGTGCGTACAGAAATGGGCTCGTCAGGACTGGCTGCTGGCTGGACACTGCAGATGGAATTCTCCGTGGGCTGCCTCTCAGTACCTGTCGTACGATTCAAAGTTTCGGGAGTAACTGCGAGAATAAATAGTCCACAAAATTCGAGTGCAGTCGCGGTAATCATGGCCGCATGTACAGATGTCTTTGTCATTATTAATGCGCCTAAAGGAATGGCTATCAGCTCAGAGACTAAACACATGGTGCTGGTATAGAAGAAAACTGCAGCTCTGTGATCAACTCGATCAGTATATTAGCGATTGAACACTAGCAGAAATACGAAAGGGTTGATACCGTTTATCAGCCGACACGCAATCGGATAAGGCTGCCATTATCACAGCATTGAGCACGGTAGTTCCGCCCCCAAGCAATAGAAACAGGGAAGAAGCCATGAGTGCTTCTGGCTCAAAAGTATTGTAGAAGAAGCCTGTATGAATATCACGTATCGGTCAGTATTCGTCAAGTACAAGTTAGTTTAGAGACTTACCCGCAAATATTATCCACGATTTGGAAAGTGTGATGCTAATTGAACTCAAGGCCGCGACCGGCCGCCGACCTTTGATATCAGCTAGAACACCATAAGGCAGAGCGACGAGAATGCCAACAATGCTATTGAGAATGCTCATATAGGCCCTGAGCATGGCTAATTGGGATTGCACGACATCAACTTTGCACAGTGCCTCTGGAACATTGCCATGATCATCCAGGTTCTGCGGGTCGTGGCTCAAATAGTATTTGCGGCAGACGGCCAGCTCGATAAGTCCTAGTTCGGGGGCGAGTCGCATTCCACCGCCCAAATTGCTAACCAAAATGAAGAATGAATACAAGTATACCACCTTCCATTGTTTCCAATAACTTGACTCTTTGACTGGGGGTTGAGGTGGCGGCAGCAACGGTGTAATTTCGGATGATAACATGGTGTTTGACGAACAGTGAATAGCTTCAAATGAGTTAGTCGACAAACAGGACGTGATTTCCTTATCAAGGTGCTTGGATACTTGGGCCGAACGAAAAAAGTCGAGCAAATTAATAGACACCAACATGGATCCGTCTTAAAACTGGCCAATCAGGCAACCATGGTCATATCTAACAGTTGGTAGCTACACACCAGAAGCAAGTTGGGTCCTGTCATCGAACAAAAATTGCAGTGGACTTGTAGGTTGGGTAAATTATAACGACGTAGAGACCATATATCGACAAGATAACAAAAGCTGGTCAACTAATTCTGGGTTATTTACGTGAGGTTGTTATGGTTGAAGACGAAACATTGACAGGGGATGGCGCAACTTATGCTCTCATTGGATATCGACCGATGTTGGTTGTAGATAAGGCCTTCGCCTAACTAGACTACCGCCATCCATGCATCCTTTTCTTTGTCTGCCTTGTGCAAATCAAGAAAATGCAACAGAAAATATTGGGACAAATTGATAGATCCAAATTTGTTAGCGCATGGCTAGCAGATTACAATAAATTAAATCCAACTTATCCCCTGGCTGAGGCCAATCGTGGTACCGCTGCCGGCGCCTTGCAATTGAGACCTTGATGTAATCCCCGCAGCTAGGCACCACTGTTAAGGATCTGGATTCTGCACGAATGTTGTTCAGCGAAATCGTAGTTTTGTTCAAATCCTTTTTTTTTTTGTTTCCACGACCTAGAGTTCCAAGTATCTCCACAGAATAGACTCGTAACGTATAATACTGCCCGTGCATCAATTTTTGAATGCTTGTTGCACCACGGTGCAATTGGCATATTCTTTCGCGTGGGTTATTTAATTCAAAATGCAAATACCAGTGGACATCTGCCATGATGCCTCTTTCGGAGCCCAAGTCTGGAGCCAACAATGTCGCGGCGGATTTGATTTTACAGGCAAGATATCCCCGTGAAAAACTTGATGCTCAACATACCTAGGCTGGCTAACGTAATTCAATGTGATGAAGTCCTGTTCGAAGAGAGTATGATGTCGGTTGCTCCAGCAGCCCTGATACTGATAATTGCACCGTTCAGGTTGGTGCAATTGTACGGCCAAGACGTAAAGCTTCAGCCTGCTGCTGTGCTCCATACCCTCAAGTTGGTATATTGCATCTCTAGCTTCATTTTGAGTGTCTAAATGCACTAAGACTGTGTAGGTTTCCATTGCTGCATACGCAAGCCTACAACTGGCACTTCTCTGTCTGTGGTGCTTATCTAAGAGTACCATCGCACCTGCCATTTTCATCGCCTCTGCAACCTTAGGTTTGACTTCTGCCTTGGTGATTGCCTTGCTTTCTCACTTCGAACACAAAAGATCAGTCAGGCCTTCTTTTCTGGTCTCCTTATACATACTGATCACCTTAATATTCGACATTGCACGCGCAAGAACCCATTGGTTGATGCGTGAAGGGGAATCTATAGCGGTTATTCTTACTGCAATTGTAGGTCTGAAACTTATTATGCTGATCATCGAATCTATCGAAAAGAGACATATTCTTTTATCAGCGTACAAAGAGATATCAACCGAATCGACAAGCGGACTTTTCAATCGCGCCTTATTCTGTTGGCTGAATCCACTATTACTCAAGGGATACGTCAACGTACTTTCTGCTGAAAATCTATTCCAAATTACTGAGGATCTATCCTCCATAGAGGTGACCGAAAGCCTCCAGCGAGGATGGAGAGCAAGTATAACTCCCTGCTACTACACGTATTAGCCGCGAATTTGTGAAGCTGATATAATCGGTGACAGGTAATCAACGGGGCAAGAACGCTTTGGCAAAAGCCGTGATTCTCAGTTTTATGCAGCCCTTCCTCGGTACAGTAATACCACAAATTTGCGTAGTTGCATTGAAGCTTGCACAGCCTTTTTTGATTCAAGACGCTATCAACTTCATCAGCAATGATACAGCGGTGTCATCTAACACTACGGGATATGGCCTCATAGCCGCGTACGGCTTGGTATATCTCGGCATCGCGGTATAGAAATCCTGATGTATCTAATTGTAACATTCATGGCTAATTCTCAATCTAGATCTTCACTGGTTGGTATCAGCATTTAAATTTCCGACTGGTGGCAATGATACGTGGCGGGCTCGTTGGCATCATCTTTAGGACAATGTTGGAGTCGAAAATTGGCAACACTCCAGAATCTGCAGCTTTAACGCTAATGAGTACGGACGTGGAGAGAATTGCCGAAACATGGAGCTTTGTGAATGAGATTTGGGCAAGTCTGATACAGGCTTTGATAGCCGTGTGGTTATTAGAGAGGCAAATCGGTATAGCTTGTGTCTATCCAGTACTTATATCCGTCGGTGAGTGATCTTGGATCTGTGAATAATGGTCTCAAGTGATCTGACCTCGCTTTGATTTCACAGTGGCAAGTATATCGTCCTTTTTCGTCGGACGATACGTCGCGAGGCGTCAAAAATCATGGATAGAATCAACTCAAAAAAGAGTCAATTGGACCACAGAGCTTTTCGGCTCTATCAAAGCTGTCAAAATGCTAGGAATCTCGAAAGTGCTCTCTCGTACTATCCAAGCGATGAGGACCGCTGAGGTGAGCCTCTCAAAGGGCTACAGAAAGTTCTCTGTAACAAACACCTGCCTGAGTAAGTCCTCAAACTACCGGGTGGTCAAGATGTGTCAGTGATAATCATTGAAACTAATTTTCAAAGCAAATCTGCCGAACATCATCATACCTGTCATCACGTTTGCGGCGTTTGCGCTTTCTCAGAAAAGTAGCCTGAACGTTGCTCAGGCGTTTTCGTCATTGTCGATTCTCAGCTTGATAACTTCCCCTATCGCTACCATGATATATGCTATACCACAATTGTACTCATCGCTGGGTTGTTTCCAGCGAATCCAGGAATACTTACAACAGGAACATCGACGTGATTTACGAAAAGTGGAGACAACGTCTGTTAAACAGCATGTGGTTTCCGATGCCAATGACAATATGCTGGAATTACAACCACTTCCAAAAGCGGCTCGTGAATCAGAAATGGGCGGTTCTGTTGACAAGCAAATCTTGAGTATTCGAGACGGCTCTTTTGGCTGGAATAGAAATCGTCAGAGCACAATTCAAGGAATTAATATACATCTCTATGGCCCGTCGTTGACTATGGTTGTCGGTCCGGTGGGTTGCGGCAAGTCCACATTTCTTAAAGGGCTTCTTGGTGAAACCTCTAGCTTTGAGGGCTCGGTGCAGCTGTCGACTCGAGAATTCTCCTTTTGTGATCAAGTTCCTTGGATCAAGAACGGGACCATTCGAGAAAATATCATCGGTCATCTGGAATTTGACGAAGTTTGGTACAATTCAATTATCTATGCTTGCGCATTGGACACAGACTTTCAGCAGCTGCCAGATGGTGATATGACTACCGTCGGAAGCAAAGGTATGAAGCTTAGCGGAGGTCAAAGGCAACGCGTCGTAAGTATTTCTTGAATCGTGGTAAGAGATGATAGTCTAATACGCTGTAGTCTATGGCGAGAGCCTGCTATGCTAGAAAACAGCTCGCGATCTTCGACGATGTTTTAAGTGGACTTGACGCTTTGACAGAGGAAAAGGTGTGCACGCGTTTACTCAGTCGAGATGGCCTACTCCGCAAATTGGGTACTTCGATCATTTTGGCAACGCACTCAGGTCAGTATCACCATATATCCTACTTTACAACTGGCTAACAGAGTCAGTGAACCGCCTGCCACTGGCAGACCACATCATAGTTTTCGATTCAAATGGTTACATCAGCGAGCAAGGGACGTTTGAGAAATTACGATCAAGCGAGAATCGCCTGCTTACACGATTAAGCAACACCAAAGATGAAAGTTCAACGGTAGCTCCGGCAAGTGCCATGTCGCAGACAGCTTTGGAAATTACACCGGTCAATAGTGACACCCGACGCCAAGAGGGTGATTGGAGCGTCTATTCGTTTTACGGAACATCTATGGGCTGGTTGAGACTAGCACTGTATGGGACTTTCATCCTCTGCTCTGGTACATTTGGTGGTCTACAAAGTAAGTCTGCTTCAGCGTCTTATGAACTACAGCTGATCAAGCACAACAGCAATATGGCTTAGTAAGTGGTCTCAGTCGAATGACGCAACTTCGAGGTTGGACTATTGGCTATCAATTTATGGACTTTTTGCGCTGTGCAATGCGCTAGCGCTCATTTTTGCCTGCTTGTAAGGGATAGCGCCATGCATTTGTTGATCCAATTGTAGATTTGTACTCCAGCTAATATACTTAGTTACTTCATGGTTGCTATTGTCCCTCGATCTTCACTTCGACTTCACGAGTTGCTCCTGAAAGTCTCAATGGGGTAAGAAAACAGTGAGAGCGATCACATAGCGGACTTGCTAATATACCCGATAGTGCTCCAATTTCGTATTTAACACAAACCGACATCGGTGTAATCATCAACCAGTTCGTTACCCTTCCTAATATCGTTCGAAATGCCGAGATCTAATAATTCGATACCCGTGAACAGCTTTGGACAAGACATGCGGCTTCTTGACATGACGTTACCAAACGCAATGATATCTGTTTCCTTTCGTATGGCTTCCGATAACAATGACATAACAATGACTGTTCGAGAAAACTAATCGTCGTAACAGAGCTTATCAACACTATTTGGAGCGTAATCCTCACTTCGATTGCAGTCTGGTACATGATAATACCCCTATCGTTTCTCTTCGGGCTGGTATATGGGATTCAAAAGTTCTACTTGAGGACCTCGCGACAACTGAGATTACTGGAGTAGGTGATGCCCTATGAAATACACCCGATGGTATGACTAATATAGCCCGCTAGTATTGAGACAAAGGCTCCGCTGTATTCTCACTTTATCGAGTCCTTGTCTGGATTGGCGACTATACGAGCATTCGGCTGGTCTGATGCTGCGCTTGACAAAAACACGCAGCTTCTTGACACATCTCAAAAGCCATTCTACCTTCTTTTATGTGTTCAAAGATGGCTTACGCTTGTCCTAGACATGATCGTCGCCGTAGTCGCGGTCTTGCTAATGTCCCTTGCGGTAATACTACGTTCCCGAGTGAATCCTGGATTTTTGGGTGTTGCAATGGTGAACATCATGAATCTAAACAATACCTTGACCAGCTTAATCGAGTTCTGGACACTTCTGGAAACATCCCTTGGCGCTGTTAGCAGAGTCAAAGAATTCACGGAGAACACGGACTCTGAAAATTTACCTGGAGAGGATCGCACCCCGCCGCCTGAATGGCCACAGAGAGGCGACTTGGAAATCCACGGGGTGTCTGCAGCATACAGCTCAAACACCACTTCCGTCCTGTCCAATGTCACTCTGTCAATTGCGCATGGCCAGAGAATTGCAGTTTGTGGAAGAACTGGAAGCGGCAAAAGCTCTCTGCTACTTGCTCTTCTGAGAATGATTGATCTCACCGAGGGAACAATTGTGATTGATGGCATTGATACCTCCACGGTGCCCCGAGACCTCATTCGATCCAAATTTGTGACCGTGTCGCAGGATGTCTTGTCTCTTCCAGGAACAGTGCGCATAAATGCAGATCCGTTCGGCCAGGCTTCCGACGAGCAGATTATTGCTGCACTTGAACAGGTAGAGCTATGGAAGGCGATTAGCACCAAGGGTGGCCTAGATGCCGTCATGGACAGCGGATTATTCTCACATGGACAACTACAGCTTTTCAGCTTCGCGAGAGCAATGTTGCAGGATGGATCAATTTTATTACTTGACGAGCCAACTAGCAGCGTTGACGCGAATACTGACGAGCTGATTCAGCGACTCATTCGTGAACGCTTCGGTGGCTATACAGTTATCATGATAGCGCATAGGCTTCGAAGTGTGCTTGACTTTGACAAAATTCTTGTCCTAGACGGAGGTAACCTTGCCGAATTCGACTCTCCCGCCGCACTTCTTGCTAAGTCCTCGATATTTCGCTCGCTGTATGAGGCTTCCTAGAAACGGTAAACTTTTTTCACCTTTATACTTGTGATTCTTCGGTGGTAAAAATCATTTGATTTGATCAATTATGCTGTAGTTCAATGAATTCTGAGCTATATTTATTCGCGAAGCCTTGAGGGAAGCTGACTTCTCACTCCGGGCTCAAGAATTGTTGGCGAGCTGATTAAAAATATGCATCTGAATTTACGTTCGACAAAAGTAGATCCTACCTAAGTTTTGCTCGGACTATGTTTTGTCTTGCAGATGAATCCTCAGCCAGACTGCTCAGCAAAACAGAGTCCATAGAAGTTGCACTGCCGAATATAAGCAAGCATTCGTACTACGCAAATACGGTCTACATGATCCCTACAGTCGGTCAATATAGGAATGGTTTAAGTGGGTGTATATATAATTGACTTTCTTGTATATAGCCCATTCTTTCTGCAAGGGGTAACACTGGAGGCCCATTATTAGATTCGATGATAATAGTCGACTTCTATGCAGCTACTCTCTAAGTATTTGGCAGATACAGCCTCAGTGACCTAATTGGTCATTTTCCAAGCACAGTCCAAGTTTGCTTCTTCCTATGCAGTATCTAGATCGACTCTCTTTGTCAAAAAGCGGGGAAGTTATAGTATCAGTTCATGCTGACGGAAATCGCCTTCCCTTATCAAGGCTGTTCTCTTGTGTGCCGGCATGTAGCATATAATGGAGAGACAACTGCGTCTTTCGCTTCAATATTACTAGCGAGATTAATCTAACCACCAAAAAAACATTTACTGGAGTCAGCAATTTAGAAGTATCGAAGCTATCTATAAGCCCTTCTTTTCGACAACGCGCCGTTTTGCTACCCATATTGTACAGAACTGTGGTCAGGATCTGGATCGCCGACATCGATTCATTATTAGCAGTTACCACTGAGGTTTACACGTACATTGGGACCGTCAGTGAGATCCTGAACAAGGGTTTGCCTCGCGTGGTATGGATGACCATTGCGGACAAAGAGGCGCAAACGGATGAGTCCCGTTTAGGCGTCTCAAGTACATTGAGAATTTTCCAAACTGTATTGCGACTTATCATAAGTATCTTTAGCGAGTGCTGCAAATGCGTCTACATCAACTTTTGTGGGCCACGACATTCAGCAAGCTAGTCTTACATACATTCGCATCGGCACGTTTCCGCCCTCGGCTCTACAATTGAAGTTGTTATTTTGACTGGCACCAGCGCTTTAGACACGCCAGATGTGCCCCTCTTAATTAGTTCCATCAAGGTCATTGTGAATATCATTCTGGACTTTCTCTTAAATTCGAAGTTTCGTGTGATCAAGTGGGCCTTCAATGCCAATATTCAGGCTGCGATACGTTTGAGCTGTGACATATCTGCTTTTCTGGTCGGTTTGTTGTATTTTTTGGCACCGCAGTTCTGACATCGCAGAGACGGGTTCTATCACTGAGAGGAGCATGCTCCTGCTTTTTTGGTCTTCTTGACTGTTTGAGACCTGCATCTCTCACGTTTCTGGAATCAGCCATCCGTAGTACGCTATATCTATCGCTTGTGGCAGGAATCGTTTCTATCGGCAGATTATCCCACTACATGGGGCGTTTTCAATACTATTCGATGGGGACTTGTGATGGTATCTATGCAAGCTCTGGGAGCCACCTCACTTGCCTTTGTAGGACATTATTGGGCCGAGTTACGAGGTGCGTATTATCAGATAGAAGCTAGATGAATCTCATGTCCGCAAATAAGTTCTTGTTGTTTTAAGAGGCTCATTCTTTGACAGCCATCATCCGACCAGGCATACTATCTGCAACGACTGCCATCGCTATCGAAGTACCGCTTTGTATATTAATGACCTTATAAGGATGCGAACGATTCGCATCCTTTCTCAGTGGCTCGGAAGGAGTTTCGCAGATCACCAGGCGGAACATATGTGGCAAACAGTCGACTAGTAAGTGTTCGAACGATGCCGTCGGCGGTGGCTGCCTAGGTAAAGAGCTGCTAATGTTGTCAAGCGGTTAATTTTCTATACGCTTCCTACCATAATTTGATTTTCGAGGGCAGTCTAGTTTTATTATTCATTCAAATACTGACTATCAACTTTTTCTGGGCTCAGAGGTTATTGCGAGGCTAGTTATCTTTCGCAGCTTATTGTATAATCTTAGGAGGACAGCTACGAATTCTAAAATATTGATTTTTTGGGGGGTTTTTAAAGGACAGTATTGACAATTTTGAGAATGACGCAGATAAAAAAAAATAAACAATACCACTACATGATATGGCATTACAATATGTGGCATGCAAGATTTTGATTGTGAAGCCACCCCAATCTGCGGCTGGTGGCGAAGCACAACTCAAGATCGTCACGGAGCGATTCAAAAACATTAGCCATTTGACATAAATGATCCAAGAAAAGATTCTACTTTCGTACGAAGATCTTGCACGCAAGAAGAGGCACCGACATGGGCATGCGCTAGATGTGCAAGATCCGTTCGTACCTGAACTCACTAGTACTCATAACATCGCTGTATCGATTATTATGTATGATGACATCAGGAAGTGAAGAGCAGATTGATAAAGACGGAAATCTAGAAGGCTGACCGGGAGGTCAGATTTATTTTTATTAGAAATACCATATATATGGCTTGTAGCAACCAACACTAATCTTGGAAGTTGAAGGACCACAAATGGAGTAGATCCACCGCTTTCAGTTGGCGTGCTTTCAATCTTTCCTGTCTTTTCCTACTCATGAACATGACAGGCTATCTTTGATATTTTTTCGAGAGACATCCTTTTGTGCATCACGAAGAGCTGTTCGAAATTTCTCATCATATGCTTGAGATTGACGTTTGCTCCGGCTCTGATCAACGTCTTAACACATTCCTGATTGCCCCAGTGGGCAGCGGTCGCCAACGCACCACCATAACTCGTGATTTTTAACATCATATTGATACCTGCTCCCTTCTCAAGGAGATATTTGAGGTTTCAATTAGTCGATCATATACAGCTGCAGCAGATAAATACTACCGTAAAAGTCCAACTTGAAGAATTTGATTGGCGTTAAACACTATCTTAAACTGTTGCAGTAGTCTTGAATCCTGCTGCTGCTGCTTAACAGCATTGCCAAAATATCCAAAACTACGAATCTAATCTTCTTTGGCGCCAAGATAAATAAGATATTTAACCATATTCTTATTTTTATATCCTGCAGCTGCAGCTGCTAGAGCACTGCCATAACATCCAGCTTGGAGGCTTTGATTCACGTTGGCGCCTTGCTCAACAAGATATTGAACTTTTTCAATTTTTCTATATCCTTCAAGTACTGCTAGTTCGTAGTTTGTTGCTGCTAGATTGCAGTGTGCTGCTGCTGCTAGAGCACTGCCATAATGTCCAACTTGGAGAATTTGATTCACATTGGCGCCTTGCTCAACGAGATATTGAACTTTTTCAATACTTCCATATCCTGCAGCTGCAGCTGCTAGAGCACTGCCATAATCTCCAGCTTGGAGACTTTGATTCACGTTGGCGCCTTGCTCAACAAGATATTTGACTGTATCGAGAAAGCCGCTATTCGCTGCAGCTGCTAAAGCACTGCCATAATGTCCAGCTTGGAGAATTTCATTCACGTTGGCGCCTTGCTCAACGAGATATTGAACTTTTTCAATACTTTCATATCCTGCAGCTGCAGCTGCTAAAGCACTGCCAAAACGTCTATCTTGGAAATTTATATTGGCGCCTTGCTCAATAAGACATTTGACTGTATCGAGATGGCCATTATTCGCAGCTGCTATTAGAGCACTGCCAAAATCTCCAGCTTGACGAAATTGATTCACGTTGGCGCCTTGCTGAATGAGATATCGAACTATTTCAGTATTCTTGGATAGTACTGCTGCTGCCGCGAGAGCACTGCCAAATTTCCCGGCTTCAAGAATTTGATTGACGTCGCTGCCTTTTTCAATTAGAATTTTGATTATATCGGGATGGCCGTTATACGCTGCTGCTGCCAATGCGCTACCATAATCTCCAGCTTGATATCCAGCTCGAAGAATTTGATTCACGTCGCTGCCTTTCTCAATGAGAAAGTTGACTATATCGAGATGGCCGGCAAGCGCTGCTGTTGCCAATGCGCTACCATTGAGTCTATCCGGTTGATTGACATTCATGCCCCGTCGTATCAATGCTTCACAGATTTTCCTGTTTCCTTCCCGAGCTGCAATGCAGAGAACATTTTGGCCATTATCGGTCATTTCGGAGAAATGGATTTCCGCACTTTCCCACCAATCTTGCAATAACATATAGAAAGGGAAGTAACACATTGCCAAGATGCTCCTTTTGACTGGGAACAATGCATAAAGACCAAAATAAGAGACAGGGGACCTTTTCGAAGGCCTATTTTCATATTCTCTTTCGATTTCAAGAGTCCAGACACGGTATTGTGTGCTGCTTTCCTCCGGCGAGCCAAGAAATGTCTTCAAGAGATCGGCCAAGAGAGAATCGACCTTTTGCTCTTCTTGAGTCTGAACATGTTTGGCCCAGAAGTCTCGTGCATATTCACGAATTGAATTGCGTTCTTTCTCCTTCCAGGCATAATAGAACTCTTCCGTGTATGTATCGATGAGCAGTCTAAGACAGACCTTGGCAACATAGCAGTGAGAACTCTCTTGTCCCCACTGATTCATTTCGAAGTATTCTGTTACCGAAAGATGTGAGACTCTCCAGACCGCACGTACAGAATCGATGACAAGTAGGTTTCTGCAAAGATCTAGCAATACGGCCTCTGTTATCTTGCTCCTGACAGTGTCACATGGGTCTAGACATATTGCAGACAACAGCAGGTCACTGGTCAAAGGCTCGAAGGCACATGCCACCCACTTTAGGGCACGATCTAAAATTATCTTGTCGTTCTTATCTTTTATTCTGCCATAGATCTCGCTGTATGCCTTTTCTAGAGTTTGTGGAAGCTTGCCAAGTCGGTCTCTGATGGCTTCCTCGGTATACAATTCAAGAAGCTGTTTGATTTGCAGATCTGCCCATTGAAACCTTTTAATTTTTGGTTAGATTTTTTGATATTAAACTCTTCTTTAAAAATAACACTCACATGCCATCACTTCTTTCTTGCAAAACCTCAATTATGTCATCTTTCAATGAAGAAGGCATGTCTTTCCATCGTGGATGCTTGACAATCTCACTTTGAACAAATTGTTGAATGTCGCCCTGGTTGAGTTTTGCCTGAAGCTCGATATTCGGTTTATTTTCGAATCTTGTTCTGATATCTCCATCGGGTCGACTAGAAATGAAGATTTGGATAGGCTTCGTTGACTCGTGTAGCAATTTTTCAATCGTATCCAGTAAATGTGATCGAGACTCCCGGTCGCATTCATCCAAAGCATCCAAGACGAGTGTAGTTCTATCATAGATATTAACAGACTCAAGTATCTGTTCTTTGCAAAGCTCTAGGCCAAGTTCCGAACCTTTAAGCCTCATATCTCGATATAGGTCTCGGACTCTGCCTCGAATCCTCTCCGAATTTCCGGCGGGGCTAGACAATTGGCGAACATAGCTTCGCAGAATAGAGAGTGGCTCACGACGATTCGGTTCATTTCGATTGCAGTAAAAAAACGCAAATCCTTGATTTGACACAGCGTCTAAATGGCTTTCTATTTCATCTATCACCTTGGAGGCGAGAAACGTCTTGCCAGCACCTGGCGATCCGTAAAGCCACATGATGACTGAAGAGTTGGAATTAGTCCATTCCCCAAAGTTGTCATGCTGCAGCAACCACTCGCAAGTGCCCCTAACTCTTGCATCCTTGAGGCTCGCATGGTGCTTCCCGCAAGGCACGGATGAGATCCAATCCAGAATACTGACTTTCTCGTGGAAGTCGACTCGCTCCAGAATCTTCCCAGAAACGGCCGCCTGTTCAATTGTCAAAATTGCAGCAAGTGCGTTTTGAATTGTGTGAAGATGTTGGATTTTTCTGTTTAGTTCCTTTCTCGAAAACGGCCATTTCAGGCTACGGTGGACAAAGCGAGTGAAAAGGTTGTCCTTTTTGGTCTCCAATTTTATTTTTAACTCCTCTACCAGCGACCGGCACTTTTCGAGAGCCTGGTTAAATTCTCGCGAGATCAGGAACTGCTGTTTTCTTGGACCGTTTTCGAACAATTTCTGAACTTTTTGCAGAACCTCGTGCAAGCCTGTCAATTCATCCTGTAAACGTCCGATTTCGTTTTCTGCGTCTTTGACAGCACCATAATAATCTGAGCAGAGCTCGAAGACTGATTGAGTAATTTGAATAACTGCAATTATACTTGCAACTTCTCCAATCACTGCCATTATTGAACAGCTAGCTCATACTTATAAACACCATATGTTTGCAAATGAGGTTTTTGACTTGTCGCGTCGCAAAAATTGGATGGATGGGAGATAATGATCTCACGGTTTCAGTACATCACTAAGCCTGATGAAACAGATGAGGGGTAGTTTGTAAGGTTGAATTTGCCTTGAACGAGGCTATGTAGAAAAGCAATTATTCTGAGTAAGAGATTTTAATCCAATCATCCGAGATTCCTTGCTCGGGAAACATGATTTGTTGTCCACGTCTATCTGCTATCGCCTTCTCTTGACCAATAAATCTTCACAGATATGCATCTCACCGCTTTATTCGCTCTCACATTTCCTGGATTGACTTCAAGCTTGACCAGAAAGACAGCCTTGGTATGCCGATGATGACCGGGGTATCATTGGATCTTGCCAATCTTTCTGTGCCACATGAAGCTAAATATGTATGGACGACTCACCTGGACATGATTCACTTCTTTCCTTTCTAAAGTTACAATTTCAGCCACAGCCAGTTGGTTTTTCAATTGAGAATCTCTTACCTGTAATTGATAGTCGGATGACTTTCACAGCTCCATGGCAGCCATCCCCGTTAATTTTTGCGTTTAGGAGATGAAATTTTTAGCCCTCAAGTTTGAGAATACTTGTTCCTGAATTGACCAGGGTTCTGGACAGATTAGACTGCATTGAAAATAGTAATCAGTGATAGTTACATAAGCTTAAGGTTTTAAATGTTCTGAAATTTAGACTTTCTTCTTGAATCATCTTCGCAAATCCTCTCTCAAAAAGACTTGGTAAAACGTACTTTTAAACTGTCGATGTTTTCAGATAGAAACTGATGTATTAGCTATGCTCGACTCGTAAAGTGGCAACAGAAAAGCAATACTACGGGCTTGATGCAACGCATAATCACTCAAAGATACCTGGAGCATGTATATCACACCCGTTATGGTCGCCGATTGATCAAATCTCAAGTTCAGTACTCAAGCATGCTCCAAAATCAATATTACACATGAATCAGCACTGCAGCATCCTGATCACGAACAGATCGAGATAATGTCGGGAAGGTAGCAGAAATCCAACCCCACCGTTGGCTCAGACACTTGCCCAGGTGGCTGAACCATGCGAATTAAAAAAAAAAGAGGTTTTTCTAAATAATTAATGCCAATTTCGCCAACATGCGACTTTCCTCTAATTATAAATTAAGCAACTGATATTTCTGACGTCACAATCATATGCAGAATCGTCGGACATGACATGTATACTAGGAAATAGATGCGCAGTGTAAATTCGCGGTAGATGCTACTTACTACTTATATCGAGTTCTATAGCAAGAATTTGATAGATTGGCTGGGCCGTTAGTAACCAGAGTCTACTTCGATGCTTACTTAATCTGCATCGCGTACAAAGATCGGGCAAGGGGGAGTATACTAGCGGAGACATCTTATAAGGGTAGACTCATCTCTGAGGACGATGATATCGTCGAAACATCAAAGATGATTGGAATTCAGTTTACCAAATGGCTCTTCAGACAGTAGAGCTGGTCAAGAGATTGCGGGGTTTTTTTGTTCCTATAACTTTGTCATTTCGCGCGCTTAGCAGTAGATACTATTCATAGGCCACTTCAATTGAATATCAACCAAACAATATCAACGTCTAATATGCTTTCGAAACTACAAATTCGCAATAACATCCCCCAACCCCTCCATATTCTCCAGAAACACATCATTCTCCCCTTTGACGATCTTCATATCCTCCTCAACATCATCCGTCCACCTATGCACATACACCGTCCTCATCCCGACCGCCTTTGCACCCCTCGTATCATACGCATGCGCTGCTACAAGCACACACTCCCCCGCCTCTCTCTTCAACAGTCTCAAAACCTTCTCATAATTCTCTCTAGCAGGTTTGTAGACTCCCAACAACTCACTGGAAAACAACATATTAAAACTCAGGGCCGAAGAGCGGCAGAGATCAAGTTGCAGCCGCGTTGTGCCGTTAGCATGCACAAAGATCTCATATCCCAGTTCTTTGAGACGATCGATAGCGGGTTTGACGTCCGGCCATGCCGGCATTGAGTGCCACGCCTGCACAACCTTCTCCTTCAACTTTTCCTCCTCCCCTCTATCACCGAGGCTCTCAAACCCAGCGCGAACATCACCCCACCGCTCCTCATCCAACATCGCATCCAACGTGTGCCTAAGCGTCAAATCAATATCCTCCGGCGGCTTGTTTGCTGCCAATCGCGCAGCATTCGAATCGAAATAATTCTGGCGCCATTGCAATGCGAATTCAGATCTTTTGGCGGCTGGAATGGATTGCGGGAGGGCGGCGAGGGTGCCGGTGTGCCAATCGAGACATGTGCCCATGAAATCGAAGAGGACGGCTTTGATTTTGGGGTTTGTCATTTTGATTACTTTTTGAGAGCGGCTGTTGATTGGGTTGTAGTGATTATAATGCTACGGATGTAAGGGATCCTGGATTACGGGTAGAGTCTGGGTTTGATGGTGCTTATATATGTTATAGCCCTTCCGGGAGGCTGATGAATAATAAGACTTATGTCCTCGGTCATCGTTCCGTTCATGAGATTCTTGAGATATGATTCAAAGAATTCGAGGCTCCAGCACCATTACTTCGTACTCGCTGTCTAACGTGCTGACAAATGTAGTCGTATAACTTACTGTGGGGAAGCGTATCGAGATCGACATTTGAACCATCCTTTTAATCACGCAATTGTCTGTAGATAGTAATTCTCGGTGATCTTTCCGTGTTATATTAATAACTCAATTTTTTGAATGAGTCATCGTCGTTAAAGGCATATCAGACCACCGCTACGTATATGGTGCAGAAATATTTAAATAAAAATATGTATTGAATTATGTACACACTGTGAATTAGAGGAGAACATAAGATGAAAAGTGTGTAATGAAAAGAAAGGAATAATACACCAAGTCAAGATAACCAAAAACCGGTGGGAAGAAAGAATCGAAGTCTAATGGGATCAGGTAAGAATGGTTTGAAAATGAGAAATAAAGGTGAGGTCGTTCAGTCAATAAGCAAACCATAACCATGTTGACTGCAAGAGAATATATGATCACAATGTCGTGAATGACATATCGTCGCAGACGAGAAGAGTAACTCTATCCAATCTAGAGGAGAAAAAGGCCTAGAAGAGAAAGCCGTGCAAGGGCGATATGTGCGATGATTGTCGTTTAGTTCTTAGAACTAATGCCACTGAGAAGGGCAGGGGAAAAGACAGAAGCCTTTTGGCTGTATTGCAAGAATCCGAGGTACACCACGGCTGAGATGACAATGATGAGGACCAAGCGACGGATGCCGACTCCGCGGAGAGACTGGCGGGTGTTGGAGAGGAAGTTGCGGACGCCCTCGGCACCAAGCTTGTAGTAGACCAGACCCATGAGAGCAATACCGTATCCGAGACCTTGGAGGGGGGTGACGGGGTCGTGGAAAATAACCATGGATGCAACGACGAGAAGGATATCTTTGAGGACGCCGGAGAGAGTGAGGACGAGAGCGGATGTTTTCCCGATCTGACAGTTGTTTAGCGACAAGCCATACAAATGGAGGAGAAGAACTCACCAAGAACACAACAGCAACGTTCAGTGCAAAAGCGACAGATGCATTGGCAACGAGGTTCCAAACTCCAACGCTGTAGATGTCGTGCATGGTCATCCTGGGGATTTCAAAGAAGAGAGTAGCGACACCGTTCATGACGAAACAAGCGGGAGCAAAGTAGTACAGAGACACAAGGGGGTCCATCTTGAACTCGGCGGAGCTGAGAAGTCTCTGGACCATGACCAGTCGGACAGACTCAAAGACGGTAGCAAAGACCTGGTCTGTTGATTCCTGATTAGAGAACGACTCCAAACGGACCGCGGAGGTACATACAAATAAATCCAATGAGGCTGAACTTGATCTCGCCAATCGAGGCAATGACAACACCGACGACAATGACGGAGACGTTTCCGAGAGTTTCGAGGCGGACGGGGGCAACACCAAGGGCCCAAGTAGCGATAAGAGTAGCGACAGAGTTTGTTGCCTGATTCCAGTCATTAGCCGTGGTAAGTTGAATGGATGAATGGTAAGCCAACCAACCTTCAACATCTGGATGAAAGAGACACTCAGATACAGGTACACCAAGTTACCGAAAATCAGACTCAAGCTGAAGAAGATGCCGATGGGGACGATAGCGCGCCTATGACATTTAGTTTCGTGCAATTATCAACTCGTGTGTGTACGAACATATAGACGCTGCGGTTCATCGGGACCTTGTGGCGGGAGTCGAGCGCAGTGGTGAATCGCGCGAGCAATTGGGTCATGACGGTCGCGAATAACAAGTGCCATGTTGTCAGGAATAGGGCTGAAATAGTCAGTCGATTATATTCTAGAAAGTGATCGGAAGAACGTACGGAAACCTAAATGATTGTCTTGTTAGATAACGAAAAACTGAAAAACATCGTGGTCAGGGGCATACCGAATCCAGCAGTGTGAAGAATCCACTTGTTAAAGATGATAACACCGGAACTGAGGGCAATCCACGAGCTATCCACACATTAGCATGGCACGTTGCACAACCTGCAGGAGCTTTGTCTCGTCTCATACGCGATATAGACAGCTGGATGCAGAGCCGGGGCGGGTTTGGCAGCAGCAGCAGCCGCCGCGCCCTGGTTGGTGGTTGGAAGTTCGGATGCTTTGGACATGGTGAATTGTCAATAGGACCACGGACAACAGAACGAAAAATAAGATAGGTCGAAAAGTAACAAGACGGTTGCGGCAACCGGACGAAGACAAAGTTCAAACGAGTGACTGAGTTGGGTTGATAGAAACGATAAGGCGATGCAAGGGGTGAGATCGTGAAGTCGTGGAGCGGACGTGGACGAAGCAGGAGAAGTTGCAGACTTCGGGTGATTTTACCAGACATCGCGCCAAGAAATGACAGAATCAAGGCAGTGGAGGCTGTGGCCTGCTGATTGGCTGGACTTGGCAAGTTGGTCAAGATCGGTCCACTTTTATCCTTGCCGCTAGCCTTATTAGGCATTTGATCAGGGCTTAAAAGGGTATTATTGGTCAATGGTGCGGGACAAGAATCCACTCCATTTCTACTCAGTAGTCACGTGCAGTCTCTTTTGTTTATCTCCCCGACTGAGCTGATTGCACACATCAATTTTTTCTTCAATTCTTTCATTCAATCTAACTCGGGAATGGGCAGCCCATTGACAATCTTTGCCTTCACACCTAGCCCATCAATAGCTTCGGTCGCCTTGGCTATCCGCATCTCCATGGCCTCCTCTTCCGTCGCAAGAATAAAGTCATACCGTAGCAACTTCGTCCCAACAGCCACATCATACTGTTTCGAGATTGCTTCATCCACTTCTTCAAGGTCCACGATCAAGGATTGCTTCACACCAAAGACCGGGTCTGACGTCTCATAAGGATCTCCTCGAGGATACAACGCTGTGATGAGAGTATCGTAGCCCTCCTTCTGGAACATGAAATGCACATGCCCTGGTCGATTCGGATGACGATTGAGCGCCTTCAACATCTTACCGACAGGTCCATCGTCCGGGATGGGATATGGTACGGGCACAACCGCATTGAAATAGAATACACCATCCTTGCTCGACCGTAGCACCGCGCGTCCATCAGGCTCCGCTCGATTCGGGTTTTGTATATCATAAAATCCTTTGCTGTCCCCCTCCCATACATCACACTGCACATCCCCTACGGCATTCCCTTTTGCATCTTTGACCGTACACAATACAAACAATCTCGTCGCATCCGGGTCGCTGTGAAGCACATACCCGTTCTCAGTCACCGGCGCGTCGTGTGTATGGAACGGTCCCAGTACAGTCCCCTCTGTGAAGTTCGCTGACCGTGGATGATCGATTGAATCAACCAACATACTCAACCCCAATGTATCAGATAATAAAATCATCTCCCCGCGTAGGTCGTTGCTGATTTGTCCGATTGCTACGAGAAAGTCGAGTCCGGCTGCCCATTCTCTGCTGGACAATCGGGTCTCGCGCGCAAAGGCGTGCAGATGAACGACCAATCGCTCCATGAGAAAGCGGAGCCGAGGGTCGGCGCATTGTGAGTTGATTAGGTTTACGTTCTCGGTGATGTTCTCTGTGGTCAGGTCTTTCATCGGAGGGATTTCGTGGGTGACGGGTTTGGCACGGGACATTTTGCTGCGTCGCCGATTCGATGAGTATCTAATAACTTATTCAATCATTGCCGACAGAGGACAAACAATCCGGACGTAGCTCACACAGAATCTTATATAGAGCCCCATATTGATTTGCGGGGAAATACCAGCTCGGGTTGGGGGAGGAGTAACGATTCCGTGGGGCTGCATGCTCCCCACACGTAGCTACCCATGTGGCGGCACCCATCATCTGTGATATCATGCATCACAGATGCTAGGAAACAAGCATGGACTTCTGTTTGGCTTGCGAGAAATGGGTTAGAAACCAAAAATTGTACGGAATAGATGTCTTACGATAGTCTCCCTTCCTTATATAGAGGCTCCGCCCAAAAACCAAGACCGGAATATGTCCAACTACGAGAATCGGTTGTCATCACTATCATCATCCTCGTCATCAGTAGCATCAAGATCATGCTATACTCCCTCTCATCATGCGGACAATAGATATCACAATCATCATGATTATGATACAACCACTCATCCGTATCATCGTCCTCATTCGGTAGCCTCTCGACTCTGAATCCATGCGATAAAAATGTCTGTCTCAAATGATTTCTTCTACCCATAGAGTAAATTCCTCGAAACCATCTTTGACAGACGGGGGGGG